ATCCTGCTGAGGTGTGGAGCACACAGTGGAAGGGGATCTGGGAATGAGTTGGATATGAAGTGGGGTCAGGACATAGGCTTGGAAGGCGTGGGAATATGATGGAACATGTGTCCAGATTGTGGGATATGACAGTGTCAAATTTTCCTCACTCCATCAAATCAAAAAAATTGTTGCAGAACTCAGTGGAGTCGAAGAGTGCATCAACACCTGTGTTGGTTTCACAGGTCCATTTGGTGGTCTTCAGCACTGCCCTGAATGACCAGGAGGTGCTAGCTTGAACCACTGGCAAAGTCAAGACCCCTTGCAAATAATTTGTCACTGTCCCCATTGGCCCCCAGCTACAGGCACTACAGTGGCTCAAAAAAGTGTCTGAATGTTTATGCATTTTCAAGTAATTAGATAATAGCAAGCCAGCACCTGAGTACAATATAAAGGCATATAGACATGTCTAAAGGCTTGGCATCATAGCTATAATCTGAGATATATATCGTGGGAACTAGACCATATATAGGCAAGATATGGTAATTCTAATCACATGACTCATTTGGACACTTTTTTGACTTTATATCCAAATCACAAAATCCAACCATTCACAGATATTATTCTTAATGGAAGTAGTGCAATAATCAATATTTGGTCTTATTTTAATATTATTTATATATATGAACCCACATAACATCATGAACTTTAACATAATCATCATACAGCCTATCTCCTCTGCTCCAAAGGATAATATCCTTATTCTCTGCTCCTCTAGTTTGTCTATGAGGCAAATTGCTTGCAAAACTGGTTCTAGCAGGTCCACTATTGCTATAGTCACAAACCAGAACATGCTAGAGAAGGAAAATCATAAATTGGGATGGTCTTTCAAGCTTACTCTACAGCATAACAGAGCTATTGTTCATTAAAATCTATCTGGCAAGGCTTCAAATGTTGACCATGCCACCAAGTTTATCAATTCCATTATCCCCACTCTCATCCCCACTCAAACAGTCAGAAACACCCTTAAGGTAGCCAATCTTATGGCTGTAACCAAGAAGAAAATGCTTCTTCTTTCTGCAGCCTATAGGGGCCTTTGCCTTAAAGCACCAACATTGGACTGTGGAAGACTGGAAGAAGGTAGTTTGGTCACATGAGATAAAAACCAATAGAATGGGGTCAGATGGCCTGGAATATGTGTCAAAAAAGATAGGGGAACCATTGGGGAAAAGAGAAGTCAAGAATATACTAAAGTTTGGAACATGAAGTATGATGGTAGGGGTTGTAGGGGATGGAATGGTGTGGGGATTCTTTGTGAGGTGGAAGGAGGCATGAATATAGAGCAGTAAATCTCTATTCTAGAGGAGTGTCTACTCAGAAGCATGCCAAAGTCAGGAATTGATGAAGAAGACATTATCTTCCAACTGGATAATGACTCTAAGCATACCTCAAAGCTAGCTACAAAATGGCTCAAAGCTCATGAGATCAATGTTCTATCATAGCCAGCATAACTATAGCAATAGTAGACTTGCTAGGACCAGTTTTGTAAGCAATTTGCCTCATAGACAAACTAGAGGAGCTGTTAAGAACTATGCTCAAGGGAGAGAGAGACTGACTCAGAGGGGCTTGGCCTCAGCTCATATGCTGTGCCCCTTACCTGAGTATGTGCCCTTCATTTCAGAGGAAGTCCAATGATGGTCCAACGAAGTCCAAAGGACTTCCAGAGGCTGGCTACTCTGGTAGAGAGTGCTAGAGGACTTTTGAAGGAGCACAGGAAATGTCTGGAGGAGCATGGGAGAGTTCCAGAGGGATGCAGGAAGTGCTCAGGAGAGTTCCCACTACAAGGTAATACTTCTACAGGAAACAGGATGGAAGGGTAGGAGGTCCAGAGGACAGGATGTCTGGAGGTCCAGAAGGAATAGGGGCTACATTGGACAGAGTCTGATGTAGAAGCAAACAGAGGTAGACTACCCTTAGGTAGAGTTGGAGAGACAGGAAGTGGACCAAAGTCCAGAGAGAGGGTAAGTGCCAGAAAGGCAAAACTCCAGCCTAGGGAAGCAATCCCTAGACTTGGGACAGGGACATAGGGGACAAATCTGAAGGTCCAGAATTCTGGCCTAGGGAATCCATCCCTAGGCCTTATGGAAAAGGACAAACTCAGATGAACTGAAGTCCAGAAGAAGATTGGGCAAGTCTAATGTGATATTCAGACTAAGGACTCTACTGGAGTTGTACAGGGGTTATATACTAGAGGATATCCAAGAGGATCAGTAAGCAACAGAGTAAGGCTATGTACAAGCATGTGGAAACACATTGGTAAGTAAGATGGAACATAACTAAATGAACTTGGAGATGAAACTAGTACAAGGATTAATCAGCAAGACGGAAACAGAGATAACTGAGAACTGGAAAGGTGGAGATGCCTAAATGGGGATAGGCACAGGATCTCGGATGGAGGGTGGGAATAGGTTCAGAGATAGTAACAGTTAATATCTGGAGATCTAGGGATCCAGAAGGCAAGGTGGAAACAGGACTGAGATATGTGAGGTGGTGGATGTAGTCTGGAATCTGAGAGGAGGTAAAGTCTGGATGTCTTGCTGGACAGAATGTGCATAGGGTGGACAGGATAGGGGTGTATGGATCAGGCTAGTAGGTGAGGATCTGGAGGTCTGGAGCTCAGGGGTAATTCCATAGCAGATCTAATCCTGCTTAGATATGGAGCACACAGTGGAAGGGGATCTGGGAATGAGTCAGATATGGGGTCTGGAAATAGGTCCGGAAAGTGTGGGAATATGATGGAATCTATGTCTGGCATACAGGATATGACAGGAGCAGAGAATAAGGATATTATCCTTTGGAGCAGAGGAGATAGGCTGTATGATGATTATGTTAAAGTTCATGATGTTATGTGGGTTCATATATATAAATAATATTAAAATAAGACCAAATATTGATTATTGCACCACTTCCATTAAGAATAATATCTGTGAATGGTTGGATTTTGCGATTTGGATATACAGTAAGCAACAAAACTGTTGCAATGTTTGTGTGAGATTGATTACTTTGGCTATATCATCACAGGGATGGCAGCTATGAAAATGTGAATGAGAGCAATATTGTAGCCCTATATCCAGGCTACAATAGTTGTACTACATTGGAGATGTGGAAACATTTCCTTAAAAGGATATAAGCAATTTACTACATAGTATGCATTGCAATGGTTTTGTTGCTGATATTTTTAAATATCAAAATCCTATCAATAGACATCAGTTATGTTATTTAGTAAGTCCTATAATGTCATGTGACATGTAAAAGGGTCACCATGATATAAACAAAGCCAAATGTTGAACTTTCTCAACATTTATCATCATGAAAGCCCTCTCTGCTCACAAAAGCAACCAAATCCTTTTTCACCTTAATTTTAACCAATTTACAAGGGAGATCTCACATGCTACTAGTGTACACCATGGTGCTATTATCAGAATTCACTCTAAACCTCATTCTGACCTTCAAAAGTCCTCTGGTGGTTGTCCTTCTGTCCTTTCCTTCCCCAATGTTCAGCATGCTATATGGTTAATCAGTACAGACAAGGCTGGAAATGCTACCCAAGTGATAAGAGCACTTCAGGACATCAAGAACCAGTCTATGGCTTCTCAGACAACACATTATTACTTGAGGAAATCTGGTATGAAGCCTGTAGTGAACAAAAACACCCTCTCCTATCCAAGTGTCATAGGAGAGTAAGACTAGACTTTGCTATCAGTCACCAGCTCTGGACAGTGGATGACTTGAAAAGAGTCATATGGTCATATTAAACCAAAATTAATCATTTGGGGTCAGATGAAAGGAAATAGGCTTGAAAAAGAACAGGAGAGGGCCTAAATAATAGGTTAGCAGGAGAGAAGAGGGTGTTTTTTGTTCACTACAGGCTTCATACCAGATTTCCTCAAGTAATAATGTGTTGTCTGAGAAGCCATAGACTGGTTCTTGATGTCCTGAAGTGCTCTTATCACTTGAGTAGCATTTCCAGCCTTGTCTGTACTGATTAACCATATAGCATGCTGAACATTGGGGAAGGAAAGGACAGAAGGACAACCACCAGAGGACTTTTGAAGGTCAGAATGAGGTTTAGAGTGAATTCTGATAATAGCACCATGGTGTACACTAGTAGCATGTGAGATCTCCCTTGTAAATTGGTTAAAATTAAGGTGAAAAAGGATTTGGTTGCTTTTGTGAGCAGAGAGGGCTTTCATGATGATAAATGTTGAGAAAGTTCAACATTTGGCTTTGTTTATATCATGGTGACCCTTTTACATGTCACATGACATTATAGGACTTACTAAATAACATAACTGATGTCTATTGATAGGATTTTGATATTTAAAAATATCAGCAACAAAACCATTGCAATGCATACTATGTAGTAAATTGCTTATATCCTTTTAAGGAAATGTTTCCACATCTCCAATGTAGTACAACTATTGTAGCCTGGATATAGGGCTACAATATTGCTCTCATTCACATTTTCATAGCTGCCATCCCTGTGATGATATAGCCAAAGTAATCCATCTCACACAAACATTGCAATAGTTTTGTTGCTTACTGTATGATTGATGGTATGGTGTCTCACCTGGTGGAGTGTCCACAAACAGTTTAACATAACATACACTGAATCCCATCTAGTAGGTTCATTGAGGAGAAGTTCTACAACTGGGAGCTGTGTAAGCTCATACTTGTCATCTCAAAACCACCCCTCCTCATTACCCCTAAGGATGGTGTCCCACAATCTGTTGCACCGCTGGTTTGATGCATGTATCAATCACACAATGTTCCTGGCTTGCTTGAGAGGCTTAGCTCACAATGTCTGGACATAATCTACTTTCTTGATGATCTGATTTTCAACTGTCCATGTATCATCTACAATGGAGAAGTCAGTAACAGTGTATTTGTCAATGATGTGCTTTATGCATATGTTTATCATGTGTGGGAAACATGGTATCCTGTTTTCAATAGGATCAAAATCAATCCCGCATTGCCTGAGTAGGGTTGAAAGCTCCTGCATTGAAGTGTGATTGTTGGATGCATTGTTGAGAGTGAAATGCCCAGTCTAAACAATGTCAGAGCAAGCAACACAATACAAGTAAATACCAACCTTGGTCGCAGTTTCTGCACAATCAAGCAGGTACAATATCATGGAACCTAGAGATTCTTCATTGTGACTGCTGGGGACATGATGGAACATGATGAGGGCCGCCTTTAACATGAGTGCTGAATCCGCATTGGCCTTGGCAATCCAATGAGCCATGATGGCCATGAATGACCAGAGCTTAAAATCTGACCACAGGTCAGATGTGAAGCAGACTTTGCCCTGTGTGTTCTAGAAGGAATAAGATACTTTGTAGGACTCTTGTTAATTATGTATTTACAGAAAGGTCTTTCTTCAAGGCAATGAAGTATTCCTGCCACTGCTCAATGATCATTTCACAGGCCTTCATGTGGTGGAATAGGCTAGTCTCACCAATTTCTGGGCATAAGAGACAGATGAGGCGCTGAAATTCAGGACACTTGATCACATTTATTGCCTAGTGACAGCTGTTAATGGTGGCTTTAAGGGTGAACTGTGACTCACCTGATCATCAGCAACAATAAACTTCACAATTTGGTGATGCATCTTGTCAAGTGTGGAGTCTGGAATTACATCTTCTGGAGAGCTGGTTCCCACCAGCCGCAAGGCATCAGATCCCTGGTTAGGTAGAGGGCCAAGCATTTGCATTGTGCAAGGTGATTTGTTGAGCCATTTGTGAATTTTCGTGAGTGTCCATCCTTCAGCAAGCCATTCACTTAGATCCTTTATCATTATGCGCCAGCCAAAGTGCTCTGCTGCTTCCAGATAGAGTTCTGTGTGGTGAATGGAAGCATGATTATGGGGAGCTGAACTGGCTGTTGAACCTGCATATACCTGGACCTTGTGCATTCTGTCAATCTCATGTAGTGCTCTGGTGGAGGGTGTAAGAAATGACAAAAGATTACAGGTATGATACTTACATGCAAGGGGTGCAAGTTTTGACCTTAGTATCAGAATCAATCTGGTAGAAATGAGCTATATCAGTTGTCCCTTTGGTCTGCTTGAGATTACCAGTGGCCAGAGGGTCAGTCTAGGCAGTGCTCATGATAGTCTGGAGTGGGCTTGGATTAGAGTCCACCTATGCGATAGCAGTGGACACAGGAGTATTGCCCAGTTCCTCTTCATCCCCTGAGATATTCTCAAGGTCAAAGCTTTCTCCCTCATCTGGACCAGCATGAGCTGCATCGCTGGTTCTGTATCTAACAGCAAGTTGTCGCCGATGGGGGTTTAGGAGGGTAGTAGCATTTGCTGCTGCAGCAGCAGGGATTGGAGCAGCAGTGGAAGTAGCAACAGCAGCTGCCTGGGCTTTGTTTGCCCTGCATTGACGGCCTGGCATTGTAGTAGTAGTGGTAGTGACAATCCAACAACTGAATCATCTGTCTATATAAACATTCTTGTGGGGAAACCCCAGAAACAATGCACACACCCAGTGGTAAATCCCAAAGGCAGTGCAAGGATTGAGTCATATCACAGGGTGAAACAGGGCACATCAATGAGCATAATCTGAGGGGCCAAAATCTAGGACATAGCCAAAGTGAATTGACTCCATGTAGCCTTCTGGATCATAGTCAGATAAATATACTGATGAAAGGTCCCTTGATTGAGGGTGTTGTTAGCCTACAATGCTTTTGTTCATCCAGATCATCCCCTTCACAAAGGAGGCATTGAAGGTGCTGAGCTCTTCTTGGATAATTGAGGTCGCAATATTGTATCTCTTATCTGGATTTCTTGATAATAATCTTTGATGATGTGGGCATAGTTGTAATACAGTGAGTGGTGAGCTTGACACAGCTGAGCTCCAGTTGCATCAGCACACAATCATATAGTGGAAGGGCTGATACAACAAAATTGAAAACTCACTTCAAGTCTGTAGCAAAGCCATTGCCCAGGGCTCAGGGCCCAGCACCAACACCGCTCTTTTTGGTCAAAGTATTGATAGATACAAAAATGAGGTCTGCATCCTGGATGCCCTTATCAACATTGGTGCCAAAGAAGAGGCTATGTTCAAGAGCCTTGCAAGCAACATCCTCTAGTCTAGGAGACATCAAAACCCTGCCAGTGGGATGATTGATGAGGTAGACTCAAATGTTCCAGTTGCATGTGCATTGCAGTGTGTGATGTGACACATAACTCACAGGACCTGCAGAAGCAATTCGTGTGCACCCCACGCACACATCTGCAATTCCTTTTTGCATGCTATCCTGTGTGTAAGTGTTGCCAATCAAATTATTGTAGATATATTACAGTGGGATCAACCCACTCCATGTTTATATATATCAACAACATATGTACAGACAACTTACAAGTATGCTAATCTACGAGTTATTCAACAGCATCATTCAGTAACTGGTTACTGTTTCCACTGTGGAGTTGATGCAGCATGCCATGGGGAGCCATTATGAGGGCGTAGCCTTGCAAATAAGGTAAGCTTCAATTCAAAGACTTGATATAAGAAACAGACTACTCACATGCAAGTTGATCTGCATGTTGCCTTTAGTGGGCATGGTGGGATTGCTTTGGCCACACAGCACTGGTCAGGGGGGTGTATGGCAGGATCACTGAGCAGGCTAAAGTCCAACATGGATGTGGCTGGTGCAGTGTCTTCTTACTTGAGGTGTCTTATATAAAAGTGGTCAAAAGGCAATGACACCACAATTACACTTTTGATAAGACTGAATGCTGCCAACAACCTCAAGTTCGCAGTCTACAACTTTTCTTCTTTTGTGGTAGATAATGTGGCATTCGTGGGAGGTTACCTGCTATACAGCCCAGTGGTTTTATTCTACCTGGTTGTAAATAGGGATTTTACAATACAAGCCTAGCTTTATCTGGCAAGACAGATAATGTAGAGTATGTAGATAGAACTTTATCTAGTCTTGTGTTTGACTAGACAAATAGAATAGATTTTGTAGGTAAGTCTCTCTAGTCCTATGTTTGACTAGACAGAAAATAAAGAATAGGTGCATACTATGCACAAAACTAGGTGGCAAATAATGCTAGATATTCCCCTGCCTTGATATACTAAAGGACTTATAAAAGGGAACTAGGTAGAAGCTGATTGGATTTCCCTGCCTAAATGCAAAGGGTTTAATCCAAGGAAGATGATATGATACAAGAGCAGATGATCCAACAAAGGAATCTGCAGGCACAGATAATATGGCTTGACTTGGTACTTCTAGTCCTCTGAAACTATATGTCAGATGCACACTAGACAGCACAGGTACAGTCAAGAAAACAATAAATGATCTCAGAGTAAGTAAACCAAATGTACTTGGTCTGCACTTCCTGGCTAACACAAAGAGTGTCAATGTCAGAGAAAGTGGAAGAAGTGGAGGTTCTTTTAAATGATAAAAGAGATTCTTATTTTTATGGGTGGAGAAGTGCTCTCCTTAAATACATGAGATGGGAGAAACTGTATAGTACCAAGAAATAAGGTTGGAAAGAGAAATGACATCAGAGTTGCATCATAAATGACCTCATTGTGGAGCAAAGTGGAGTGAAAGTGGAGCCAAGTGGAGCAGAACATTCTAGCATCCAATGACATCACTATGACATCATAGATGGCTTCATAGTATCCATCAGAATATTCCAGAAATTTCTGTGGAGCTATATGACATCATCATGACATCATACCCTGCAGGTACATTTTGTAGAGTCTCTGGGAGGTCAAAGAATCAAGTAGGTAAAGAAATGAAAGAAAAATATGAAGAAAATAAAGTAGAATAAATCATAAGACAGAACAAATCAAAACACTGGTTTTTTAGATAGGGTTTTGATAGGGTTTTATCTTTTCTCCTTGGTTATTTCTAGTCAAAGTAAATAAGCCAAATGATAGGCAATAACCTAAACTTTTGTATGACAATCAACTTTGACTAGGTCAATATATGATTTCTTCATCATATTTGACTTTTCTTCAACACACCATATTTTTGCATGATTGGAGCATGCAAAGTGAAATATTGCACTTGAGTCTGTACTCAAAGTACATTTTGTGTAGTCTGAGGACTAAGCTAACAGACTATGGAAACATGGGATGATATGTCATATACATGTTCTGCATGATTCCCAAATCATGCAGGACAGCAGGTAATGAGGTGTGAAGACTGTGAAGTAGTGAATGAAGGTGATCATAGTCGGGATCTTCTGTGAATGTGAGAGAGCATGTGTAAATTAGGATAGTCACAAACTCAACAGGGATGTCTTGACATATATCCACAATGGTGGCATGTGCTTTCCATTCAAGTATGGTAGAACCAGACAACTTCTCATTGTCACTGTCATATCCCACAATCCGGACCCACATTCCATAATATTCCCACGCCTTCCAAGCCTACATCCAGACCCCATATCTGACTCATTGCCAGATCCCCTTCCACTATGTGCTCCACACCTCAGTAGGATTGACTCCACTCTGGATTTACCCCTGAGCTCTGGACCTCCAGATCCTCACTGCTAGCCTGATTTGTACCACCCTATCCTGTTCACCCTATGTGCACTCCATCCAGCAAGACATCCAGACTTCACCTTGTCTCGGATTCCAGACTATATCCACCTTCTCATATCCTGGTCCTGTATCCACCTTGTCTTCTGGATCCCCAGATCTCCAGACCTATTCCCACCCTCTGTCCAATATCCTGTACCTATCCCCATTTAGGCATCTCTGCCTTTCCAGCTTTTGGTTACCTCCTGTTCTGTCTTGCTGATTGATCCTTGTATGAATCTTCATCTCCAAGTTCATTTAGTTATGTTCCATCTTACTTACTAATGTGTTTCCACATGCTCATACATAGCCTTGCTCCTTTGCTTACTGATCCCCTCAGATATTGTCCAGTATATAACCCCTATAGATACTCCTGTAGTTCCTCAGTTTGAATATTATCTTAGATCCTGTTCTATCTGCCCAATCTTCTTCCAGACTTCAGTCCATCTGAGTTTGTCCTTTTCCATAAGGCCTAGGGATAGATTCCCTAGGCCAGAATTCTGGACCTTCAGATTTGTCCCCTATGTCTCTGTCCCAAGTCTAGGGATTGCTTCCCTAGGCTGGAGTCTTGCCTTTCCAGCACTTACCCTCTTTCCAGACTTTGGTCCACTTCCTGTCTCTCTGACTCTACCTAAGGGTAGTCTACCTCTGTTTGCTTCTACATTGGATGAAGTCCGATGTAGCCCCTATTCCTTCCAGACCTCCAGATGTCCTGTCCTTTGGACATTCCACTCTCCTAACCCTCAGATGTCCTATCCTCCTGTCCTTCGGATGTCCTGCCCTCTGTACCTTCAGACATCCTGTCCTTCATACCTTGGGACATCCTGTCCTTCTGTCCTCTGTTATCCTGCCCTCCTGTCCTCCTGTCCTCTGGACCTTTGGACCTCCCATCCTTCCATCCTGTTTCCTGTTTCCTGTAGAAGTACTACCTTATAGTAGGAACTCTCCTGAGCACTTCCTGCATTCCTCTGGAACTCTCCTGTGCTCCTCCAGATGTTTCCTGCGCTCCTCTGGAAGTCCTCTAGCACTCCACCAGAGTAGCCAGCCTCTGGAAGTCCTCCGGACTTTGTCAGACCATCATTGGACTTCCTCTGAAATGAAGGGCACATACTTGGGTGAGGGGCACAGCATACGAGCTGAGGCTGAGCCCCTCTGAGTCAGTCTCTCTCTCCTTTGAGCATGGTTCTTAACAGTCACTGGTTAACCATGGAAGGGAGCCACACAAGAAATAGATTAACATATACAGTGGCTCAAAAAACTGTCCACATGTTTTGACATTTTTCACTATCTATGATATTGTGTGAGAACGAACAAATGCCTCAAGGACATGCTTATACCACATTGTAGTATGGCTTCAGGGCTTTCATTTGAGCCCTACACCGTGGGAATCGGTGGAGATATGGTGGAGACATAAGGCTTATAAAATGATGACTCATGTGGACAGTTTTTTGAGTGTATATTAAAACTATATAAATCATTGTTTATGACACCACAAAAATCATGCCACTATTATATAAATTATGAAGTGGTGTCATTATGTTATTTTATGACTATATCTAACTATATAAACCAGAATATCTCATGTATCATAGTCATAATCACCATGAAAGCCATCTCCTCTGCTCAAAGAGATAATATTCTTTCTCTGTCTTATGCTGGCCTCTCTGCTTGCCAAATTTCCTCTAGAACTGGAGTATCCAAGTCCACTGTGGCCAAGTTTATCAAAGAAAGCCGCCCAGACAAGGAAAACTCTTGTGGAGGACGTCCATCCAAGCTTACCTCTACTGACAAAAGGGCTATTATCCAACATATCACTACAGGAAAGGCTGATAATGCTGTCCAAGCCACCCATTATATCAATTCCACCATCACTACCCCTGTCTCTTCACAAACTGTGAGGAATGTTCTCAAGGTAGCTCATCTCAAGGCAGTAACAAAGAAGAAAAAGCCTCTTCTCTCCATCAAACATAGGCAGAGAAGACTAGCCTTTGCCTTAGCTCATCAACACTGGACTGTAGAGGACTGGAAGCATGTTATATGGTCAGATGAGACCAAAATCAATAGGATTGGGTCAGATGGGAAGGTATATGTATGGAAAAAGAAGGGAGATGGCCTAACAGACAGAGAGATTAATGGGACTGTCAAGTTTGGAGGAGTTTCTTTAATGATATGGGGCTGTATGGGATGGAATGGTGTGGGAATGCTTGCTGAGGTTGAGGGGAAGATGAATGCTGAGCAGTATGTGGACATTTTAAATGACCACTTGCTGCCTAGCTTGGCAGAATCAGGGATTGATGAAGAAGATATCATTTTCTAACAGAATAATGATCCCAAGCACACATCCAGAAGAGCTAAGGAATGGTTTGAAGAACATAACATCAATGTTCTTGACTGGCCAGCACAGTCTCCTGATGTCAATGTCATTGAACATCTCTGGGGAACACTCAAGAAAAAGCTTCAAGCCTATGAAAACCTCCCTAAAGGAGTATGGGAGCTTTGGGAGAGAGTAGCAGTGGAATAGGGGAAGATCACAGCTGAGGATTGCCAGAAATTAATTGAGAGTATGCCTAGAAGGATAGAGGCAGTAATTAAAGCCAAGGGAGGTCATACAAAATACTAGAATACCTGGTTATTATTGTAAAATACTTGAGTCAAAAAACTGTCCACATGAGTCACCATTTTGTGAGCCTTGTATCTCCACCATATCTCCACCAATTCCCACGGTGTAGGGCTCAAATGAAAGCCCTGAAGCCATACTACAATGTGGTATAAGCATGTCCTTGAGCCATTTGTTGTTCTCACACAATATCATAGATAGTGAAAAATGTCAAAACATGCAGACAGTTTTTTGAGCCACTGTAAGTAAGTGACTCGAAGTTGTCACAACAACCTGGCTCAACTCCTAAGTGATTGTTAATAGAGGCAAATGCAGGAGTGCCAGAGAGACTTTGACCATGGCGAAATGGTACATGGTCACCAGTTGTGATGTTCCAGTATGTCTTTGTGATACCAAAATTAATGATAAAGGTGGTGGGCCTCAAATTTCCAAGACCCATCAAGATGTTCTGCGGTTTGATGTTGCCATGAACATAGTTATGCAAGTGGATGTACTCAAGATGTGAGAGCTAGGAAAGTAAATCAACCTATTTGTAAAGACCTCAGACTAAATGACTCACCAACTGATCCCCTATGTTCATGACATGGAGAAGGCTGAATTTTCAACTGTTTGTGAGGAAGAGTTGGTGGAGGGATGGTCCAAGAAGTTCAAGAACAAGAGCATGATACACTGACTCTCTGCCAAACCAGAGGATGCAGGGGATGCCAATTCCATCTTCAAGTTGCTTCAAAATGTGATATTCATGCTCTACAGAAGATGGGCAGTTGACAATAGTTTCAAGTTTGAGGGCAACATGATCATCATTGATGATATTCCATGCAGAATATACAATGGCTAAGTGGTATATTATAAATGGATCTGAATCAACATGAGAACAATATAGTATACCATACGAGCTAGATCCTAAAACATCTCCCAACCTAAATCTCCCATCCACTCAAACCAGGACCTTATTCATGGTAATCAACTTGATAAGTAGACAGCAAATCTGACTGAATAGTGGGAGCCTGTCAGCCTGAGATGGAGGGAAGTTGGAATAAGAAAATGAAATTCACTACATAACATTGTAACTCCCACCAGGCTGGCTTGAGGTGGCTTGAGGCTGGCTCAAGCTGTTGTTCCCACATTCTTGGCTTATGCTGATTTGTGCTGGTCCAGGTGGTTTGTGGACTGGACCAAGTTGCACATAAGTAGTGATGTGCATGGCCCAGCTTCAAGCCATGGGCTGGCCAAAGCCAGCCCTAGTTAGGCCGAGCCAGGCCAGGCCAAAGTCATGGCCTGACCACAGCCTAGGGCCTGGTCTGGGCAGTTGGGAAGCCAGAGCTGGCAGCTCAAGCCATGGCTTTTACTCTTACAGCTACACCAGTCATCTAAGACAATGACAAGCTCAATTGTTAATGTATCACTCTGACAGTCCCAAAGTTGCAAATTCTCCTTTGTCTGAGTTGATCCCTCTAACAGTCCTTCAAACAAGCCTCAATTAAAACCACTGAAATCCTTGGTGCTACTTCCTCCTTACCATGGACTTATTTGCATGTGAGCAACTTCTGTGAATCCAACACACACTTAAGCACATCTGAGATGTCTGATGGAATAGAGGCCTGAGAGAAGTCAAGTGTTTGATGAGTGTTTGCAGAGCTTAGCCAAAAGGAGCATCAGAGCATCAGGGCATGGCATGTCTGATGCTGGCTCATACTCATATGCTAGCCAGTAAAAACTGTGAGTCACCTTTTGTCATGCTTCATGAACTCAATGCTACTTAGATCTTTGAAGTGTCATCTATCTGCAGCACAATCTTGATGATTTATTGAGATAAATAGTAGGCCCATCTTCCCTTGTAGAAGAGGAAACCAAAGACTCCAAACACAAGGCTGAGGTGTTAGAAGTTGAAGCAGCAGATGATGAGGAGTGGGATACACTGCTTTTAGGTGACAATAATGATATGTCAGGGTCTGATGTTGATTCAGCAGATGATGACTAATGTTAGTATACTTGAATTAAATATAGACTCTTTTCTTTCTTGAAGGCTGTGAATGAGCCCAAGCTGGCCATGGCTTTGGCCTGGCTTTGGCCCACAGCTCGGCCTGAATTTTTTCAAAGCCCAAGCCTCCCCAGGCCAGGCCTAAGCCAGGGCTTTCAGGCCAAGCTGGGCCTGCACATCACTACACATAAGTGACTTGGTTCATGAGAATCACCAAACTGCTGGGAAATTGGCAAGAGCCCAGCCCAGCCAGCCACAGCCAAACCATGACATGACTAGTAGCATGCATGGTCTATCTGTGATCCTCATTACAGTGCAAACATGCATGACTACAGAACTACAATACTAGTTACATCATTAGGGAAATCCAAGATGACTTGAGGCATCTTTTTTTGACTTGCAGGGTCATAAAAGTTGTGAAAAGATCTTGAGTGCACAAGACGCCAAAAGGCCATGCATATTCTTAAAATCGTCTGATTTCACCTTAACTTGCATTGCTCAAGACAAAAAAACTCACTAAAAGGCAAATACCATCGGATTCAAATTATCCCAATTTTCAACCAAATAGTAACTCTAAAGCATCACAAGGTGTACCAAGACACATTAAGCGGGAAAAGGACTATATAAACTCAGGAGAAAATGATTAAAACCAGATCTAAAGAGAGCCAAGAATGGCTGCAAACAGTGCATGAAAAATGGATATCAAGGTGATTCAATCTGAAAAAAGGCAATTAGAAGGATAACTGGCACAAGTGGAGCACTGCTCACCAGATGTCTGCATGGTCATCCATCTCATCCACTGAGTCAAGGCTGTTGTGATTGTTGAAGCCAGGTTTCTTCAAGTACTTGTAGGCCATGGACATTGTCAGCCAGATTGATTCCATGCCCTTCTTATTCACCCCTCGAATGAATGAAGCAGTTTTCAGGCCCCACTTGGCAATTGAGAATGCATGCTCAGTGGCCATTTCCTTTCCAGTTACCTTGTTGAAGGACTTTGGTGTCTTTAAACAAGCCTTTCATCCTGCAACAGGTGCCTCGGGATTATCAACAACAATGGTGTTGTCAGCGACAAGGGTGAAGGTGCATTCAAGCTAGAATTAGATAAATCAGTGCAACAAACCACACCAATAAATTAACACACTGAGATGATGCCACTGTCTGCTAGAGTATCGGTATCAAGTGTGGGAACATCAGCATGCCCAATAATCTGGGCAAGATGTGCAGTAGTGAGCAGCTCTTGCACAAAAGCATGTCCAAAGTTCATTCTGAGCACCAAGCCAGAGAAAGACTGTTGGTAAAAACTGCCTGGCCCATTTTCCATCTTTGTGGCAACCTGGAGGAAGATCGGTGTTCAGGTATGTTGAATGCGCCTTTGACACTAGTTCCACCCAATTGCCATCCCCCTTAGGCCTGGCACTGGTGGTGGACACTGGGTGTTCAGACTTCACATGTGTTGTCTTTGCTTTCTTTGAGGGGGGAACTTTGTTGTCACAGCAAGATACAGTACTGACGGATATCTGGAGTGAAATTAGTAGCAAAGATGCAAAACAGGGAAAAAATACCATGGCTGTAGTATGTGAAACTTTCACGGTGTTAACTTGCTGCATCTTGACTGCAATAGGCTTCTTCACCACATCCTCTATTTCATCAACCTGCATGGCTTCCTCATCATCAGAAGCTGGTTTGTACATGATGTAGAGACTCGCTCCTCTATATTGCCACTATAGGATGATATACCACCCCTTCCCACTGATACTTGGTTCTGATCCTCTGGATAAGTCACTCATGCTATCACAAGCTGATGTGCAATCACTGCATGCACACAAACGCGCTTGCATGTCCTGTGTGCCTGCTCTAGGTCCTCTGCTACAGTCCGTCCACCTGTCCATGTCCTCACTAAAGTCCACTGGTGCATTTTTATTATACTCTTATCACTCTGATGTACCTTCCAGGCCAATTATAGTGCTATAAACACGCAGGCACATGTTTAAAACACTATTACATACAGATATTGCTACCTACTCACTTCGCCTCCACACTAAAGTGTCGCCTAATGCCCAATATAGGGAAGGGAGGGGGAGTTTTTTAGAGTACCTTATCCTAGCACCTCCCACCTCTGTGTAGTAGCAGTAGTTTGTGCATTTGAGCCAGTTTGAAAGCACTAAAGAATTGGAACTTGCGTGCTACCTTCATAGGTGTGATCGCCTCTAGTCAGCTCGATTCTCTCTCCACTGGATTTCATTTCCAGATAGCTCTAGCACCTATGCTCTAGACCCCCATCGCATGCGCTCTCACTTTCTATCACATCAGCACACTTTCATGCGTGTCTTCTTCGCGCTTCTTCCGGTATTTGCGCTTCGTGCATCCTATAGTGCTCATTTGGTTTCAGAATCTCCCTCAGTCATTTCAAGGACCTTCTCTCAGTAGCTGTCCTTAGGGTTGAGTTCAGTCTCACATCCAGGTCTTGCTTTAGTTCCCCCCATAGTCCAAAGTCCTCACCTTCAATGATATCATCAATCTCCTCTTGTGGACTCAAGAGATCATCCTCTTTGGAAATGCCTTGAGTTATGTCCATGAATTGTTTTCTCTTCCTTGCAGAATTAACTTGAGATTGTCATTGAGCAAGAGGTGGTGGGACGAGGTCTGGATCAGTGTCATGGAAAGTAATTTTAACAGTGGACTTGGGCAAAAAATCAGTACAAACAAATGAATAAAATCAACTGATGGTCACTGTTCTGCCAGTGCTTACTACTTTGCCACAATTATGCAATGCAACAGCACACTCAAATGAATCATCAAGATCCTCATCTCCAAATCCTCCAACAAGCTCATCCAAGTGTGTAACTTCAGGCATCTTGGGCAAACCTTTGGAGCTAGGCAGTTGAGGCTCACAAGGATGTGAGCTTAGAGAAGGACCAGTTGAGTCATGCGATATCTGAGACTTTGAAAATATGGTAGATGGAGGAACTTGACTTGCGCTAGTGAGTGAATTGCTTGTGGTCTTTGGCTCGTAGTAGACATCCTTTCTCCAGTTCTGAATGTGGCCACCCAAAGTTGATTTGGCCCTTGATTGCAAAGTCAGATTGTGAAAGAAAAGTGTAGATTCAGAGAGAATGAACATGGTGGTTGAGGAATGCACAACTCACAGTAAGGAGTTGCCTTTCTTGTTCACACATGGCTGATCACGACTATCAGCCTTCGCAGTGGATAAGTTCTTGTGAGCTTTGACTATGGCATTGCTTAGTGACCATGTGTTCTTCCCTCCTTTCTTTTTCGTCCCATCTGTCATATCCCATATGCCAGACATAGATCCCATCATATTCCCACGCTTTCCGGACCTATTTCCGGACCCCATATCCAACTCATTCCTGGATCCCCTATCCTGTCCACCCTATGCACATTCCATCCAGCAAGACATCTGAACTTTACCTCCTCTCAGATTCTGGACTACATCCACCACCTCACATATCTCAGTCCTGTTTCCGCCCTGCCTTCCGGATCCCCAGATCTCTGGACCTATTCCCGCCCTCTATCCAAGATCCTGCGCCTATCCCCATTTAGGCATCTCTGCCTTTCCAGTTCTCGGTTATCTCTGTTTCTGTCTTGCTGATTGATCCTTGTATGAGTCTTCATCTCTGAGTTCATTTACTTATGTTCTGTCTTACTTACCAATGTGTTTCCACATGCTCATACATAGCCTTACTCTGTTGCTTACTGATCCTCTCAGATATCCTCTAGTATATAACCCCTGTACAATTCCTGTAGAGTCCTCAGTCTGAATATCATCTTAGATCCTGTTCATCACCTTAGATCTGCCCAACCATCTTCTGGACTTCAGTCTGTCTGAGTTTGTCCTTTTCCATAAGGCCTAGGGAAGGATTCCCTAGGCCAGAATTCCGGACCTTCGGATTTGTCCCCTATGTCTCTGTCCCAAGTCTAGGGATTGCTTCCCTAGGCTGGAGTCTTGCCTTTCCAGCACTTACCCTCTCTCTGGACTTTGGTCCACTTCCTGTCTCTCCAACTCTACCTAAGGGTAGTCTACCTCTGTTTGCTTCTACATCAGACTCTGTCCAATGTAGCCCCTATTCCTTCTGGACCTCTGGACATCCTGTCCTTCTGACATTCCACCCTCTGTACCTTCAGACGTCCCGTCCTCCTAACCCTTTAGTCTTCCTGTCCTCCATACCTCCGGACATCCTGTCCTCCTGTCCTCCTGTCCTCCGGACATCCTACCCTTCCATCCCATTTCCTGTAGAAGTACTACCTTGCAGTGGGAACTCTCCTGAGCACTTCCTGCATTCCTCCAGAACTCTCCCACGCTCCTCCAGACATTTCCCATGCTCCTCTGGAAGTCCTCTAGCACTCTCCACCAGAGTAGCCAGCCTCTAGAAGTCCTCCAGACTTCATCAGACCATCATCGGACTTCCTCTGAAATGAAGGGCACATACTCAGGTAAGGGGCACAGTGTACAAGCTGAGGCCAAGCCCCTCTGAGTCAGTCTCTCTCTCCTTTGAGCATGGTTCTTAACACCATCATCACCTGAATCATTGTCACCTGCCAGGAAATCTTCATCAGCATCCTCCCTTGCCAGTTGTGCCCTCATAGTGATGCCACCAACAATGGTAGGTTCATCATCATTGCTTGCACTGGCAGTACCTCACTGCTTCTTAGGTAAAGGATGTGGCCTGACAGCCTTGGGTTTTGTCATTGTCACCTGGGCTTCTTCCATGCTGGCCTGCAGTTTTGCAAGCTGGTTAAGCCCCACCACAGCCAGTGCTTCCTTGGCTTCTTGAGCGACTTTGAGATGCTTCTCATCAGCTGCCTTCGCTTTGGGCGTCTGGTGCTTCTGTTGGGCATCTAGCACAATTTGACCAGGGTGAGCAGTTGCATTTTTGGTGCAGGTGTGGCAGATTGGCTCAATCATTTGAGACATTAGTACCAGCAAATCCAAGACTTGGAGGGATGGAAATTTGAGTTGGTTGAGAGCAAGGTTTTTCAAATGATCTGAAATGAATTTGTATGTCCTCTCCTGACATGCCAAACAAACACTATTGAATTTAGGCTTGCACTATGCTTACTAGTATCCACAATGCAGAGGGCCTTGCTTTGGCCCTTGGCACTTTTGCTTGCCTTTATCTTCCTCAGCATGCCAGAAATTGTCCCTCACACTCAGGTTGCTTGGCAAGACTTCAGCACATTCCAAGTCCCTTGCAGCAATGTGGGCTGCAAATGTTTCTTCAAGACTACTGCTGGTCACACAAAGCATATTCTTTCTGCCCACCCTATTGTATCTCCTCCAGCCTCTCCAGAACCACACATAAGCCACCCCAACAACATCACCGACAATCCTTTTCAGGACAGCAAGCTTCTAGGTCAGCCAAATGGTGATGGTGATGAGGCATTACAAGCTTCTCCTCCTCCCAACATACACACAGAATTCTTTGGATCTGGAAACTTGCTCTATTGCAACTACCATACATCATTGAATGGTTTGTTTTTGCATTTGTCCTTCTGTTCAGACTCTAATTATGAGTTTTAAGGTCGACCTTGTGATAAACATGGCCATTTTCTCCCCGAGGGTACACTACCTCTACCTCCTGAGCCCAAATCACTGAATGATTGGACACTGTTTCAAAACCATGCAGAATTCGAAACCACCAGTTTTTCTACATAAAAAATCAGATGCCAGCAGGACAAATTGACCATCTTCTTGACCTGTGGGCAACAACACTTTTAAAATCTGGCAGCAGCCCACCCTTTGCAGATCACAAAGACCTCTATGCAACAATCAATTCAATCACACTAGGCAATGTGAAGTGGGAGGGCTTCTCATGCACATACACAGGTAAGAAACCTGATGGCTACCCATCCTGGATGGATGGGACTTATGATGTCTGGTACCAAGATCTTCAGGAGGTCATTCTCAACATGTTGGCAAATCCAGCATATGCTAATGAAATGGATTACCGGCCTTATCACAAGTACACTACCAATGGAGATGAACAGCAGTTATGAGATTTTATGTCGGCTGATTAGGCTTGGAATCAGGCAGTAAGTGTTCAATTTTATCACCATTACCACCCTCCCTTTTCTCAGCCCTGGATTACCAGAACTCCCCATTTCATATCCTCCTTTTTCTCAGTCCTGGATTACCAAAACTCCCCATTTCATACCCTCCCTTTTCTTAGTGCAAGACTCACCGTTCTTCATACTCTCCCTTCTCAGCCCTGGATTACTAAAACTCCCCATTTCATACCCTCCCTTTTCTCAGTCCTGGATTACCAAAACTCCCCATTTCATACCCTCCCTTCTCTTGGCCCTGGATTACCAGAACTCCCCATTTTTCATCCCCTCCCTTTTCTTAGCACCAGACTCACCATTCTTCATCTCCTTCACTCTAAGTTATTTAAATTCAGCATTCTTAAACATGACTAACTATACTCATTACAGGATATCATTGCTGGAGACCCAGAAACAATTGGCTCCACCTTCATGCCCATTATCCTCAGAAGTGACAAGATGACGGTTTCTGTTGCAATGGGGAACAATGAGTACTACACACTTTATCTTTCAATTGGAAATGTTCATAACAATGTTTGCCATGCACATCAAGATGCGCTTGTGTTAAGGTTGTGTGCTCAAGGGGGTTGGATCACAAGGGCTTGGCCTCAGCTCGTATGCTGTGCCCCTTTCCCAAGTATGTGCCCTTAATTTCTGGGGGCTAGAACAGTCATCTGGAGTTTTCTGGGATTTGACTAGGGCAGACAATGGACATCCGGATCTGAAACATGAGATAAATCCAATGGACGTCCGGATGTTACCTGGGCAAGTGGATAAGACTAATCCAGACGAAGTCTGGACTAGAAACTAACAGAGGATAGACTACCTTAAGGTAGAGTCAGAAATGTAGTCTAGGATGCAATTGTTAAGATCACATGCTCGAGGGGATTGGATCACAAGGGCTTGGCCTCAGCTTGTATGCTGTGCCCCTTTCCTGAGTATGTGCCCTTAATTTCTGGGGGCTAGAACAGTCATCCGGAGTTTCCAGGATTTGACTGGGGCGGATAATGGACATCCAGATCTGAGATGTGAGATAAATCCGACGGACATCCGGATGTTACCTGAGCAAGCAGATAAGACTAATCCAGACGAAGTCCAGACTAGAAACTAACAGAGGATGGACTACCCTGAGGTAGAGTCGGAAATGTAGTCTAGGATGCAATCCTAAGACTCGGAATATGACAAGAGACTTATCTCGAGTCTGGAGGACACAGGAATGAGCAGGAACTAAGATGATATTCAAACTGGAGCATTTCCAAGAGTTACAGGAGGTTTATATACTGTAGGTATCATATAGGAATCAGTCAGCAAACATAAAGGCTATGTATGAAGCATATGCAAAGTCTATTAGTAAGTAGGACGGATCACAAATAATGAACACCAGAAATGAAATGTATGTAACGGATCAATAATCAAAAGGAAAACATGGTTAACCGGAGTCTGGAGACAGGGGCAGTCTAAATGGAGTTGGGCGCTGATATAGGGTTTGGATTCTGGAAGGGAGATAAAGATAGATCAGATCATTTGAGATCCGGATATCCAGAGAAGTGGATTTAGAGTTGAGAGTCCAGAATGGCATATGACAGCTTGTGGTAATCAGCTTCCTTGCAATGCCCAAAAGTACATCCATATCTTTTGAGCAATCCAACACTCGAGTATTAATTTCAACTGTATAGCTACAAAGAAACACACAGATGACCCAAATTTTCGCAAATTCCATCACCAATTATTCCATTCATCACTGTCTAGGATACTTGCATCACTTTGGCCTGGGATGTCAAGACCTGAAATCACGAAGTTTGGAGATGGTCATTTTTGGTGTGTAATTTATGGACTAGGGCCATACATTGCCGATTATGAGGAGCAAGTTCTCCTTGCATGCATAGTCCACTTCTAGTGTCCAAGGTGACAAAATATTTGTATTATCTCATTAGCATTAAGACTAATTCTCTTTTAGATGCAGCTCTCATCATGATAATCTTGACACTACCTCAGTCCTTCAGTGCTGCGAATATCATGAAGCCTTGTTTGAAGTGGGTACTTATGGATAACTGTGGACAGAGTTTGGAATAGTCACTGATTTAATTGTAAGTCTACATGTTCGCCCTGAGACCTAGAGTCAGGTTGACATTTCTGTCATTCAGCCTTTCACAAATGACTTCCCATGCGCTGACATTCATGAAACAATGGCCCCAGACATCCTACATCAAGTTATCAAAGGCATGTTTAAGGACCATCTCGTGGATTGGGTGGAGAAATACCTTGTGCTTACTCACAGGAGGACTGAAGTGGACTGTATCTTAGATGATATTGATCACAGGTATGAATCTAACATCCTTTTACTAACTTATTGACTAAATTCTCACTCAGGATTGTGGCCATTGCCTCATTTTCTGGTCTGTGCCACTTTCCGCAAGGATGCGGCTTCAAGCAATGGACAGGGGATGACTCCAAAGCCCTCATGAAGGTGAATTTGTTCCTCTTACCAATGACTTTTACTGATAAACTTAGGTTTACATTCCCGTGATCAAGGGGCATGTACCAACAGATGTTGTTCGCACATTCCATGCATTGCTAGAGTTCTGCTACCTTGTACATTGAAACACCATCACAGAGTGCACCCTGGATGAAATTCAAGATGCTGTCTCTCATGTCCATCAATATCATGAGGTTTTCAAGACTTCCAGTGTCATTTCAACATTTTCACTGCCATGACAACACTCTCTTATGCACTACGCACATGTTATCCGGCTTTTTGGCACCCCCAATGGACTTTGCTCATCAATCACTGAGAGCAAACACATCAAGGCTGTGAAGGAACCATGGAGGTGGTCAAGTAAATACAAAGTGCTTGGTCAGATGCTGGTCACAAACCAGCATCTTAGTAAACTCACCACTGCATGTGTTGATTTTGAAAGCCATGGAATGTTGAAGGGTACCTGCCTTTCAGCTGAACTCGAGGCTCTCGGTGTGTAGTTACTATTTTCCCTCAAATTTATCCAGTACTAATGCATGCTTAGGTATGTCAGACAATCCTGATGTCCCTAATGATGAAGACCCCAATGACCCCCCACCAAACCAAGCAAGTAATCTTGAGGACAGCAATGACTTAATGATTGACCATGGCCCGACCATTCTACAAGCACACACTTGACTTGCTCAAACAGTTCATAAGTGTCATTTGTAGCTATATTTATGGACTATGAGTTTAATGTAGCATCATGCACAGAAACAAAGCATGCCTGCAATGTATTGGCTCTTGCTGATGAATTGCACCTTCCATCTCTCCCTGCCTTAATCTGCCACTTTCTTTATGAGCAAACATGCCCAGACAACACACTCAACATGTATGACATCCCTCTTGCTGCCTGCCCCAGGTATGAAGGAAAGATATCAGTCTTCAACTCCATGTGCTCAAGATTCTATGCACCAAGTGACCTTTCCAGGATCAGTGGCATGCGAGTAGAACATATCTGTTCCTGCCCTATGTGGCAGAATGAGTTTTCTCATCATGATTGTGTTTTTGTTAATACAGGATCAGACACTGAAGGAATCCAAGGGCTCAATGTTGCAAGGGTTCAGGCATTTTTTTCATTCAATTATGCAGGAACAGTGTACCCATGCACCATTGTGCACTGGTTTGATGTCATTGGGGGCTCACCTGACCCAGAGACAGGAATGTGGGTGGTTCGCCCAGCCTACTATGCCAACTGTGCACCTACACACACTATCATACATGCGGACACCATCTACCATGCCACTCACCTCATCCCTATCTACAGCAACCAATTCCTTCCTCTCAACATCACGTTGCACATGTCCTATGATGCTTTTTGAGCTTATTATGTTAACAAGTATGTTGATCATCATGCATTTGAAATTGCATCATAATCTTTTAATTTTCATGTTTGAACTCTCATTATACAACTAGTAATTTACCTTGGTAGCAGTTGTAACAGCTTGAATCTGATTATTCTCCTTAAATCTATGTATCATGTTTTTGCTCTTTTTGCACCTTGAAAGAACTTTGACTTTGTGCACCTTATCCCACCTTTTCAGCAAAATAGGGCTGGTCAATTCTAAAATGTCGTTGTCAATGTTGACTTGAGCTTATGGTCACCTCTCGTAAATTACTTAGGCAGACCCTAAACCTTTCCTGATTTGGCCACTACTGTGTTGCCTAAACCATTGCATGGGAGATGTTCTACACAGTATCCTTGTCCTAATTCTCAGGCCTCTGAAAGTTAACTAACTACCTAAACCTTGCCATGAGTGATCCTCATTGTATAGAGCCTCTGAAAGTCAGCTACCTAAACCTTACCATGTAATATTAGTTCCTAAACCTTTTCATGGATTATTCCTAGTAAATCTTTCCATGTAGTGTTGCTTCCTAAACCTTTCCCTAATCAAAGTCTTTTAATAATCCAGCTTAATGAGTCTCATCAGTACCAGAAGTACTGTGTGTTGGACTCTGAGAGATCTGAGAGGACAAAGACTGAAGGATCCAAGATAGAGAAGGGAAGTGAGTGAGAGGTACAAGCACAAGCTGAAATGGACAGAGGCGAGTGATGTATTGATGTCGGCTCATGCCCTACATTATTTTCTATGTTTCATTCTTATATCTGAGTCATAACAGTACTCACCTTAAAAGCATCAGTAGAAACACCCTCACATCTCAGTTCTTTCAAGATACTGAGATGTAAGCCTTAAATATTGTCACCCACATGCTACAAAGTCTAACAATAATGTAGTGTACTTGTTGTATAGGTAGATGAGACATTTACAGAGTTCTTTCAAGATACTGAGATTGTACTTGTTGTATAGACTCCTCACCCCTCTCACTCATCTCATAACAAGACTGCATGCAAAATTGCTTAAACTACTCAAAACTTGCCCAAGCAAAATATATGGGCCCTAGTCGACTACAAGTATCATGAACAAAAGGTTTAGGAGGACATTTAGCAATAGAACATAGGTTTAGGAATACTACATGGCAAGGTTTAGGTAGTTAGTTAACTTTCAGAGGCCCAAGAATTAAGACAAGGATACTGTGTAGAATGTCTCCAATGCAAAGGTTTAGGCAACACAGTAGTGGCCAAATCAGGAAAGGTTTAGGGTCCACCTAAGTAATTTACGAGAGGTGACCATAAGCTCAAGTCAACATTGACAACAACATTTTAGAATTGACCAGCCCTAATTGCAACTTTGGTTCGAAGTCCAAAGCTGATTAATCAGCTGAAAGCCAAATAAGGACTTCATGATTTTACTGATGATCATACATGAATCTATAAAGTAGGATGCAATGTGTGGGAAGTGTCTCACCAGCTCATGTGGCTTTCACATAGGGCCATGTGGTTTTTGCTAAACGCCATGTGTTTTCACTTAGCTCGCTTAAACCTCTTTTTGGAATGGTATCTCGTGTGGTTTTCTTGCATGAGCTTGCTAACAATGAGAATAAGAAAAAGGCTTGCAAATTGAGAAAATCGAGCAAATTGGAGAGGGTAAATTTCACCAAGTCCAAATATACTGCCAAACACGATATAGTGGACAGTGATCTGCACGCCTACTGCGCCGCGGCCATAATATGGACAAACAGAGTGGTTTTCCTACTATATGGGAACGGCATCAAGAATAACAAAAGCATAATTAGAATTTGGTTGTGCAATTTGGTAACACAATTGACTACACAAATCACTACACAACTTGGCTGCTGCTTTTGATTAGAATTCTCAAGTTAAACTGCCTTCCCTGCAGCCAAGTGTAATACAGTGCAATACATTTTTGTGGGTTTCATTTCTTATCAACAAAGATAGAAATTGATTGACTTACTTATTAATGGGTTCAGACAACTCAAATTTTGCACTTGCTAAACAACTGTTTGAATAACAAAGATGGATCAAAACATTCCTATTCGGTGAGCTGTCAACTATATAATAATTGCTATGTGCAGGGTGCATTATGCTAATGTCTGCATGTACTATTCAGACAACCACAGATTACGCCAGAACGTGATTGGCAATCCCAACGTGAACATGATAGACTTGGTCGACTTCAGATGACTTCACCTACCAGACACAATCGCCATCATGCTGTCCATAATAATAATCAGGATGTGCCTCCACCTCCTGTACCATAGCCAAATTTTGTGCCAGCTAATGAGCCACAAGCAGGCCCTGTTCCACAACCTTTTGCTTGGCAACCTCCTCCTCAATTTCCATATGGGCCATTGCCAGTTCACCAATATCCTGGCTTGCCACAAAATGCAATTGCACGTGTACTGCATGCTCATCATCCTCCTGTTAATCGACCTCCTCCTGTTGATGTTGATTTTGATGTGGTCTTGAATGAGTGAACAAATGCAGCTGGAAATAATAGACTCCATCAATGTAATCTTTGTTGGGAGCAGGAGAGACAGGAAATAAGACAGCAAGTGGAAGAGGAGCTTATGGCAGCTGGAATATGGCCTCCACATGTACCTCATATTCCTGTTCCTAATGAACCTGTTCAACCCAGACCTCCTGCACCTCCTGTGCTTCCTGTGCCTCCTATGCCTCCTGTATATGGCCCTATTCATTATGAGGGTGCAATTGATCCTCACAACTTCAATAATCCCCTCCACTACTTTGCATCTAATCCTGCACTACCTTTACATGCACCACCTGAGCCTGATTATTATCAATTTAATATTCAGTTTCAGCATCATTTCCAGGAAGAGCAGATGGAAAATGAGCAAATCAGAAATGATTTGCTTCATAGACAAGCACAGGAGGCATTTCGCCAAGAGCAGCTCCAACAGCAATTGCAGCAGCAAGAAGCTAGGAGGATCAACAGAGAGGTTGAGGAAGCTCTTCACCTACAGCAACAGCAAGCTGAGCAATGGCAGATGCAACAGCAGATGCAGCAACAGTTCTGGCAGCAGGAAGCTCAGCAAGTCAATAGACAGGCCCAGCATGCTCTTGAACTGGAGCAGCATGAGGCTGAGCAAATGAATAGACAACATCAGGGTGTCTTGCAAGTAGGTCAACATGAGGAGCAGCGCCACAACCGCCAGGAGCAGAGGGTTCATGAGCAGGAGGAGCATCTTGAAGAGGCACTGCATGAATATAATGATCCAGTGTCTCAAGAAAATTGTGAACAAGACGAGGAAAGAAGAAGAACTCAGGAACATGAACACTGCCTACAGCATGGGGAAGAGGAACAGCATATTAACCAGGCAGTTCCTGTCCCTGATGGAGGTCGACCATACACAGAGCCTATCACTCATCATACTCTTGGTCCTCTTAATATAGAATGCACAAACTGCCATGCAATGCACTTTGCATGTGAAAAGCTCTCCAACTCCTCTCAACGAAACCCACGCTTTGGAATGTGCTGCTTGCAGGGCCAAGTCAACTTTCCACCCTTTCCAGCATGGCCACCTGAGCTGCGGCAGGCATATACAGACCGAACTTTCATCTCAAAAATACACCAATATAATAGTGCTCTTGCATTTATATCAGTTGGTGTTAATATTGAGGATCATGCTCTTCAAGGATCTGGCCCAAATGCTTTTCATATCCATAGATCTCTCCATCACCTCATGGGCAGTCTTATACCCCCAGAAGGCCTTCAGCCTTCATATGCGCAACTCTACATCTATGACCCTGAGGAAGCCACAAACATCTGTGCCACCTGTCCTGGAAATGAAGGTCTTGATCGTCACATCCTCAGAGAGCTCCATGATATGCTGTATTGAAGCCATCCCTATGCTCCTTTGTATAAGCAGGCCTATCAAGTCATGCGAGAGAAGCCTCCAGAGCAGCACACTGATGTTCATGCACGCATCCATTTCCAGCAAGGCACAGATGGTCGAAGATATAATCTCCCTACTGCCAATGAAATTGCTGTGATTATTCCTGGAGATGGATCTGAGGAGGTGTCTGACAAACATGATATTGTCTTGTGACTTCAAGGTGGTCAACTCCAGCGTGTCAGCCAACTCAGTCACACATACTCAACCCTGCATTATGTCCTTCTCTTTCCTTCTGGTGAAGAGGGCTGGCATCTTGACATCCCTCTTAACAATCAGGGTGGACGTCAACGAGCAAAAAAAGTCGCCCAGTTGCTCTATTATGCCTATCGCCTTCACCCTCGCCCGGTTCACATGGACCATAATAACATCTTTCATGGTGGACGACTGTTCCAGCAGTATGTGGTTGATGCTTGGGCCTCTATAGAGCAGAGCAATTTGAACTGGATCAGGAACAACCAAAAGTGGCTGAGGGCAGACTGCTACTGAGGCTTAACAGATAATGTCCTTGATGATGGTGTGAATGATCTGGCTCAGACAGGTCGCTCCATTATTCTTCCCTCCTCTCATACTGGGAGCCCTCAGTACATGCACCAGCTGCTTCAAGATTCCTTGGCCATTTGCCATGCCTGCAAGAAGCCTGATCTTTTCCTAACAATGACTGCCAATGGGAGTTGGCCTGAAATCACCGAGAATCTCCTTCCAGGTAATAATTCATATTTGATGCACTATTTATGACTTCAGCCTGACAACTTCTTATATAGGTCAGAGCGCTGTGGACTGTCCAGACTTGGTGGCTCGCATATTCTATCAGAAGCAGCAGGCTCTGTTGAAGAAGGTTCATAAAGGCTACTATGGAAAGGTCACAGGTTTGGTGTACACCATCAAATATCAAAAACACGGTCTGCCCCATATGCACCTTCTCATCTTCCTGGAGCAAGAGGATAAGATACGCACTGCAGAACAAATCAATTCCTTCATCTCTGCTCAAATTCCTGACAGAAATGTCCATCCACAACTCTATGAGGCTGTGGAAAAATATATGTTGCATGGCCCTTGCAACCTGCAACATTGCTTGGAGAATGGACAGTGCAAGAAACACTTTCCAAAGTCATTCTGTCCCCAGACCTTGATGAAGGATGATGGTTATCCAGAGTATGCAAGACCCAACAATGGTCGCACCATCCAAAAGAATGACAACATCCTCACCAACAAAGATGTTGTTCCCCACCCCCCAGAACTCCTGGTGCAATTCAACTGCCACATCAATCTGGAAGTCTGCGCCTCTATCAAATCTGTCAAATATATTCACAAGTACATCTACAAAGGAAATGACTGCGCTACTTTGGAGATGAGAGGAGCAGTGGATGAGGTCAAATCATATCTCGACTCCAGGTATATCAGCTCAACTGAGGCTGCATGGCACATCTTTGAATTTTCAATGCATCTTGAATGGCCCTCTGTCTACCGCTTGCCAGTCCACCTCCCAGATGAACATATGGTGTTCTATGATCCTGAGGATGATGCCCATGATGTTCTTGAGCGTGCGGCAGCCAAAGAGACTTGCCTCACTGGATGGTTCAAAGCCAATGTCAATGAGAACTTTGTGGCAGCTGGAGCCCACAACCACCTCTATCAGGACTTTCCCTCAAAATTTGTCTGGACCAAAAATGCATGGAAGATACACCAGCATGGAACGGCCATTGGAAGGATGTATGCTGCTGCACCCAGCTCTGGAGAGTGCTTCTACCTGAGATTGCTTTTGACTGTAGTGAAAGGTATGATGTCTGTGACAATTGTTATTGATCTAACTCACCATTTTTTAAGGGGCTACCTCCTATGAGCATCTTCGGACATTTGATGGGGTTGTCTACGAGACTTTCAAGGAAGCATGTCAGCACAGGGGTCTGCTTGATGATGATAATGAATGGATCCAGTGCTTGCAGGATGCATCTCATATGTGCACTGGACATTGCATGCGCAATCTCTTTGCCATCATCCTCATACATTGCAATCCCACAAGCCCTGATGACCTTTGGAACCGCTTCAAGGAAAATCTCTGTGATGATCTATGCCACCACCTCACCCATGTTCCATTCAGCATACCTGACCCTACAGAGGAGGAGGTCCATGACTATGGTCTCTATCTCATTGATGGTGTGCTTCGCAAAAATGGACAGTCTTTGGAAGCAATCCCTCACATGCCTGTTTCTCAAATGGCAGCAAGATGGGGGGCCATGGAGGGCAATCAGCTCATTGCTGAGCAGCTTCAGTATAATCCACAGGAACTTCAGCAAATAGTGGATGTAGGAGTCCCTTTTCTCAATATCGAGCAGAGGGTGGTCTTTGATGCTGTGGTACATGATGCAATGCATCGCAATGAGGAAAGACCTGGACATGCATACTTTGTCCACAGTGCAGGCGGATGTGGCAAGACATATCTCTGCAGGCTCATTGCTTCAAAACTCCGTGCTGAAGGCAAGATTGTCCTTTGTGTGGCCTCCTCTGGAATCGCTTCCCTCCTCCTACCAGGCGGACACACAGCTCATTCACAATTCAAAGTTCCCATCCCCATTCATGAGGACAGCTCATGCAACATAAAGAAAGGAGATGTTGTCCATGAGCTTCTCAAGGCCACCTCTCTCATCATCTGCGATGAAATTCCTATGCTTCACTGCCATATTCTGGAATGCCTCGACCGCACATTACATGATCTTCTGAATGTTGATGCCAATTTTGGAGGAATAACAATACTCTTTGGAGGAGACTTCAGACAGACCCTGCCAGTGGTGCCTCATGGATCCAGGGAGCAGATAGTGGGTGCCACATTTTGCAGATCTCGCATCTGGCCAAACCTTCACATCTTCCATCTCAAGAGAAATATGCAGCTTGGTCAAGATCCCGCTTCTGATGAATTTGCAAAGTGGCTCCTTGAGATTGGAGCTGGCAAGGGCACAGATGGAGATGGAACCATGACCCTCCCTATTCACATGCGCTGTGCCAACAATGATGTCCAATCTCTCATTGATGTCCTATACTCTCCAGTTCTGCACCCTGGCCATCCTCCTGTGAATGACTCCTTCTTCCTGGAACATACCATCCTCTCTGCAAAGAATACTGATGTGGATGAAATCAACACCACCATTCTTGAATCATTCCCTGGAGATAAAGCAGTCTTTACCAGTGCAGACTCAGTCACTGAGAGGGACTATGACTACATTCCCATAGAGTTCCTCCACACCCTCACCCCATCAGGCTTCCCTTTGCACAAATTGGAGGTCAAAGCAGGTGTTCCTCTGATGCTCTTGTGCAACTTAAACCCCTCTGAAGGCCTCTACAATGGAACCTGTATGATCCTCCTGTCTTGGACCACATGTGTCCTCAAGTGTCGCATTCTTAGGGATGGTGTCGATGAAGCTCACCAAAATGATCAAGACATGGTCCTGATCCCTCACATGACCCTGGATGCCACTTCTGAGGACAACCCTATTCCTCTCAAGTGTCGACAATTCCCTGTTTGTCTTGCATTTGCCATGACAATCAACAAGGCACAAGATCAAAGTGTCAAGTGGGTTGGACTCAATTTGCGGACTCCCGTCTTCAGTCATGGACAGTTATATGTGGCTTTGTCTCGGTGCACTCACCCAGAGAGAGTGTATGCTATCTTTCCAGAGCATGAAGAAGGCTCAAAAACAACAAATGTAGTGTATAAAGAAGTGCTTAGAGGCCTTACAGATCCTATCGATGATTGATGTACATAGAATTGTACTTTTATATAGAGAACTGACTGATGTGATGTATTATGTACTTTTATGTGGTGTAGTAGATTGTACTTTTAGCTGCTCAAAAATGTAGATTTCAAGTTTTCAAAATTCCACTATGATCATTAGTAATGAGTAAGTCAAGGTGCTGCAGGCACCTCCCAAAGGAGTGCAAAGCACTCCTTTGCCTTCCTGTGCCAAAGGCACAGTGAGTATTAGGATGAAGCCAAGGCCAGGAAGCTAAAGAGGAGTGCGAAGCGCTCCTTTTGCTTCCTGTGCCGAAGGCACAATGGGTGGTGGACTAGTAGGACAGTATAGCCTGAATGAAATTCATTGAAATACTTCGAAATACAGTTGTTCAGCAAATTTCCTGAAATTTCTTGTAATTCTCTTGTTTTTAATGCGAGTTTGACAGTTTTCGTAAAGTTTCCAAAAGAGGTTTTCCCTGATCAGTGTGTAAAATTTGAAATTGTCACAAGACTTTCAAAGTCCGGCCACATAGTATACACGGATATGCCGACTGGTTTTCATACTGTACTCCGTCCAGATGCTGATCAGAGCAGTGTCATGTGTTTTGCAAATGATATTATAGATTTATTCAGCAGAGATAGGATTTCCATCGACTTCACAACAAGTTCGAGAATATTTGCTACCTAGGCTAGTAGCCTAGGTAGCTCTGCTACACTCTTCATATCGTGATTTACGCGAGAGTCATCATTTGGAGAAAATTGAGACTGTAATTAAGGAGGAGAAGTCAGGTCCACGTTATCCTCCAAGCGGACCACCTTAGATTTATGGTGATGCTCATCAACCCAATTCAATATTTTCTCAAAGTTTCTGCATCGGTGAGGAGTATTGAAGTCAGGAAGAGGCCTGTCGAGTCCCTTCACCCAGTCGTAAGTGAGCATCGTCACATCGCCGCGACACATAAGGTTCTGCCTGAGCATTTCGATGCAATGATCTGAGGTACAACATGCTAGTGAGCAGTATGTGAGCTTGGCAGGGAGCAATATACCTACCGAGATGAATGCGCCGGAAGACTTCGGGGGAATCTTTGAATTCATGACTCGTAGAATTATCTTGCTCACCCCAGCTGGCTCTGCGAATCATGTCCTACAGGGGAGTGAGTAAAAACCGACTAGCCTCCCTGGGTTACAACTGACTAGGCAATGGAGCTGGTGAATGACTTCTACACTTGCCATGTAACCTCCACCGTGTTCGTCCGGATACCTGGCCATAGAGGGAGAAGGTTTCTCCCCTGTTCTGAGCAGTTGTTCAAGCGTCATACGAACTGGACGCGCTGGGAGAGATTGTCAATAAATGTCCATGATGTAAGTGAAGCATAGGGTCCAACCATCAAGAGATATCCTATCCCAAGCGGCGTTGATTTCTGGAGACGGAGGGCCACGATATATAGAAGGGGTGCCCAGAGTTCCATTGAATCTTATAATGCCGACGTATTCAATGGCCTCGTTTGCTGGAGCTGTGACGAGTAAGTAAGGTCCTGTGCGTTGATGTTATCCGTCCACCTACAGTACAGAACTACATCATCGATCGACGGCGCACGCACCCATAGCACGAAAAACACCATTGTCATGAACATCAGCACACCATGGCTTAGCCATGGTAACCAGCTAAGGAGATGGGATTTTGTAGGAGGTCTTGTTACTGTACTGCTATCAAGAAGGTTCGTATCATCACGATCATCGACTCCGTCGACAAGAGAATACGATGCAGAATATTCCTTCCGCATACTAGCTGGCGCAAGAAAAGGACTCGAAGTTAGTAAGGTTTCAAAACAATCGGGATGCACTTGGAACACAAGCCGTACTCGTGGGCAAGTTGGAAGCCAGGGCCTAAGGACTAAGGCCTAAGTACTAGAAGGGCTTGGAGTTTGCTTTCTGATGGAATCATTTGAGCATTAACCTGTGCCTGATGAGGAGTAATGACGAATCCAGCCGTTTCAAGTTCAAATTGCGCCGCTATCCAATTTGGACTGTACCCGAGATCTCCGGCAGTTAACAGGTACAAACAGGTATACAATTTACCATCGTGGCGCGGGTCACCTGGCGTCGTGTCCCTGGCGTCGTGTCACCTGGCGTCTGCATCTTCATATGGCCACACCGGGTTCCTGGACTTCTCCATCTCAGGCTTACCCGAGTTCCTCGCACCTCTCCGATCATCTCGGACCTGCATTTCCCCATTGAATACTACCTCCCTTCCAGCGCTCCGCTGGGGCATGTGACTCTCACCGTCGGAGCTGCCTATGATAACCTAACACACTTGAGACACAGCCGACTGGGGGACATATTCGGAATTAATACACTCCTAAATATTCTCGAGGTATGTATCGCATCTACCCTCGCGTGTTCCCAACTACTATCCTTACAACCCCCGAGTTCAACGAACAGAGCTCCCCCAGAGTCATGATCAAAGATTCTCCGCAGTACTCTCCTGTCGATACTTTTGACAATGATAATGAGGAGAAATCATCTGGTGATACAGAAAGGTTCCGTGCAGAACCTCGTCACAAGTCGCATATCCTTCGCATGCGGCCTATGTTGAGCCTATGGCGTGTTAATATGCACATCAATGCTTTTTTTCGCGCTGTGGATGGGTACGCCTTCGCCCCGCCTGCGTGACGATATTCCTGTATACTGTGAGCGGACAGACCACATCGAACGCTATAGTTATTAATTAATTATAGCTCCAGCAATTGCTGCTGTTGAGCCCGATGATTATAAGGTTTAACGGAACTCTCGACTTTCCTTCTATCTATCGTGGCCCTCCTTCCCCAGAAATTGATGCAGCTTGGAACAGGATAGCTGGCGATGGTGCGTCATCCGATTTTTCCTGTCATCCTCATTAGTAATTGTTCGCATCCATAAAACCTCAGTGCTACCGACTCGAATGTCGCTTGAGGAAATTCTCAAAGCCGGCGACGTAGACTCACCTTCCAAGGTCAAGTATCCAGCTAAAATTGATGGGGATTTCATGGTATCTATGGAAGCCCCTCACCAACTCCATTGTCTGGTAAGCAATACTACACCGAAAATCTAGTCGTTCTTGCCTCACGTTTTGTAGAATTTACTTCGCAAAGCCACGTGGCTCGAGTATTACTGAACCCACGGATATTTCGTTCCAGGACGAGCCCGAAGTGATCCGCATGCATCTTGGTACATCTGCTTTTTATTGATGCACCTCCTGCTTATCGTATACATTACAGATCATTGCATTGAAATGATCAGACAGAATATCATGTGCAATGCCGACGTGACGATGATAACATGGGACTGGGTTGAAGGACACGATATCCCATACCCTAACTTCAACAACCGCCACCAATGCAGGAACTACGAGAAAATCTTGGATTGGGCTGATAAGCACGCCGTTCATATCGAAAGATCTGAGGTCACTCGCCTCGAAGATACGATTGAACTCCCCTTACCCATCTATCCAATGAACCATGATGTATAAGGAATAACGTGCTGCTTACTTACTACGTACATAAATTCACGAGTATCTTGCAAGAACGGCAATGGCTGTCAGCTCAGTCGAATTAATGTATTGTAACTACATCCAATGGCATGAATGAATGAATAATACATCTGGTCATCTATATAAGCTCGTGTAAACTCAGGTTCCTGAGTACCTCAATGGCTGAAGCTTCAAGCACAAACAAATCTAAAACTAAGTAGTGGGAATAGCTTGCGAATCGTACATCATCCTTGTTCTCTAACGTGATGCTGGCCAATTCTTTCGGGTATTTTTTAGTGCCGGTTGTGTATCAGCACTTCTTTCAGCGTCTAGGTCTTAAGTGTTGCTGTTTGAGTCGCGCCTCGATTCTAAGATGTCTGATGGCAAAGCCACAAAAGGACAATGATAGAAGTTGTAATTAGTATCAGAATTGATACGGCTATCCATGGGACACCGGTAGTAGTTTCTAGCCGCCGTTAATCATGGAGCTGACCTAGACAGATTTCCCTTATGCCGAGGTGGTCGGAACGAAACTTCTTGTAAGTCGCTCCTCCACATGTGCCGTGTCGAGTTCCCCATCCCAGCAAGAGCGGTAATTGAAGGCGCAGTTCTCCGCGTTCACAAGGATTTATCCCGGTAATCAGAAACTGGATCCTGGAATCAGACCTCGTTGCAGACCTATGTTTAAGACCTTGACGTGATATGCCGCAGCAAGTGTGAAATATCAATCATTGAGGGTGCAGATAACGACTGAGAAGAGTGAGGCACATGCTGATACTGATAGCTGGGCCGCCACCACCTGACGTTAGCTGACTTTATCATGGTTCAGCGCTGCAACGCATGCCGATGCGTGGAAAGGACCTCAAAGAACTCGTACGCTGTTGATCCTTTTACATAGGACGGCACGGATCCCGAATACCGATCACTACCTCACGGGTACTGTACAGTCAAAAATCTACGTAGATATTTATCGTGACTCGTCCCAATATGGCAGGATTCGCATCAAGGACTATTACGGAATATTAATGGAAGCTTTTCATTTTACTAGCCTTTCCCGTGGTCTTCGAATTACCCATTGTGGTAATTTTAGGTGGCTTTATAAAGAAAACCTATTTCTATATATAATTATATGGTGATATCTGCGGCTGTCCTTTGATGTAGGACTGTCGTCCCTCTTACATGTCACTTTCTCGCGTGCCCATGCACTAAGCCAATCCGGAAATGACAATTCGGGCTTGATGGTCTTGCCTCGTTAGTGCTAGTGAATCTTGATGGCTGAGTGCTGAATCTTACTGGCTACTGTAACCGTCCACTGATTAGAACAGTCCCTTGCAAAAGTTCTGGGTGGCTAAGGCTTCAGCCAATTCAGGTGACTTGTCAGAGTCATGAGCGGACCTCGTAACGCAAGGTATAAAGTTCTCTTGAAGATTCCAATGTAATGCATCGACAAAGTACCAGTCGCACCTCACAACTCAAACATGAAGCTTTCTCTTGTCTTCAGCGTGCTCGCATCCATGGTGGTTCTCGCTACAGCATACCCCACTGAAGGAGCTGCTGGCTTCGCGAAACGTTCCAGTGAGTATTCATAATTCATCACCATGCGGAGGTTGACAAGCGTAACTTGCTGCTAGATGTAGAGAAGCGCGAGGAACTTGGTATCAATCCCGCCAACTATGACTTCACAACGAGCTACAGGAAGAGGGATGAAGGGAAGCGCGAGGAACTTGACGTCAGTAACGACCACTACTCGAAGAGGGATGAGGGGAAGCGCGAGGAACTCGACGTCAGCAACGACCACTACTCGAAGAGGGGTGAGGGGAAGCGCGAGGAACTTGACGTCAGTAACGACCATTACTCGAAGAGGAATGAGGGGAAGCGCGAAGAACTCGACGTCAGTAACGACCACTACTCGAAGAGGGGCGAGGGGAAGCGCGAGGAGCTTGACGTCAGCAATGACCACTACTCGAAGAGGGATGAGGGGAAGCGCGAGGAACTTGACGTCAGCAACGACCACTACTCAAAGAGGGATGAGGGGAAGCGCGAGGAACTTGACGTCAGCAACGACCACTACTCGAAGAGGGGTGAGGGGAAGCGCGAGGAACTCGACGTCAGCAACGACCACTACTCGAAGAGGGGTGAGGGGAAGCGCGAGGAACTTGACGTCAGTAACGACCACTACTCGAAGAGGGACGAGGGGAAGCGCGAGGAGCTTGGCATCAATCCCGCCAACTATGACTTCACAACGAGCTACACTTGACGCCAGGTTCTACGCAAGTGACTTATAGCTGTATCTCTTATTTTTTTTGTGAAAGTCATCCATCGTACTAGGTCTGGCATCGCCGCAACCTTACCTACAAGTTACTTCTCTGTACATCTACAAATCTTATCTGGTTGCTTGGTTTTTGACATGTTGTGTGCCTATGTGATACAATCCCAGTTGTCTCACTCTTTCTGACTCAACTATAGACCCAGCGTTTTTGCCATTGAGCTATCATCTGGTGACATTGTGTATTGCATTTTCCAACTCGTGTGTTATCACCTTAAGTGCTCTCAGTTCTTCAAAATGAGAGAGATGGTACGTCATTTGTAGCCTGCTCGGTTCTAGCTGGCTCTCGTCCGAGGGATATTATCAAGGAACAACCGTCTTCTCTTGAATGGTCTTGCTACGTGTCCTTCATATCCTAAGTGATAGCATGTAGCAACATATATATCGCGCATATGGCTAGAAGAACAAAACGCAACAACAACAGACCTGAGAAAGCAATAAACCTAACCGAATTGTTAGGCGTCGTCCTCTGTCACTCACCAGGACCCCTACTTCTCATCGATGTAGCTCATGCTATGACATTGTCTTGATGCTACTCAGCCGCACCACAAGAGGAAGCAGCGACACATTCTCACTCGACGCGTAGTACTGCACGCAGTCTAGATGGAACTTGTACAAACAATTGTCAGTCGGGATTGCAGTAACCGCATGAATAAAACAACATTACCTTAAACCTAGAGACAAGCAGCGTCAGAATCTCACTGTTCAAATACCGCACGCAGACGATGGGGCACTCACCAGTGATTAAAGTTAGACTCAAACTTCTTCAGGAATTCCCAGCGTTTATTCATCGCCTGGTCGCCGTCACCGCTCTCTGCTGCTGCGAGCGCTTGATTGGCGGACTTGGTGAAGGAAGAGGTGTACAGTGCGAATGTAGAGCACGTCACTATCATGCGGGAGTAAGCCTGAAGGTGTGACGATCAGCGGGTGTTTGGATCCGAGGTCACACACATACCCTCAGCAGTTTGGCACTCGTCAACATGCATTCTTTCAAGCAAGTGTCCAGAAAGTCTACGTGATCTCTCAGAAGCTGGTCTACAGTGGTTACCTTGGCCAATTTCGCCTCTAGCGCCCGCCAGTTAGGTTCAAGAACCTCGAATGTCGTGAAAGCCAGTATTTGCTGAACGAAAGCGAGCATACGAGCTCTCAGGAGCGCAACTCGCAGTCGCCACTGCTCGAACTCGGGGTGGTTCGGCACAGGACGCCGCCAGGGAGTTGTCTTCTGTTCTATCCACATCGATGCGAGCGACTGTTCTACATGCTTGAGATGCAAGAGAAAACGGAAGAGGAGCTGATAACGCAAAATCGTTTTGCGAGAGATGACGAGCGAAAGCGGGAATTTCACGTTGTAGTCGAGTGTAAGGGCATCGATCGCTTATTCGGGATGAGCAAGGACGGTAGCGCAAAGACTTTACGCACATACCTAACATGGGCTTCTTGTCATCCTTCTCCCGGTCGCGATCCTTCTTTGCCTCTTCATCTGGCACGCCCTCGCCTTCCTCGCCGCCGATCACGCCGCTTACACTGATTACCTTGAGTAGCCATTCATACAATCCGCTGCTCGCGATGCTGACTCGCACATCTTCGCGGAACGCGGCATCTTCCCCTGTAAGTGCAAGGTCGAGCAGACTCTGTAGCTTGACGATACTGACCCCTTTCGCGGGCTTCTTCAGCTCTGTATGGGCAAGGTCTAAGAGGTGAGTGAGGAAGGACGAGGAGGCCAGGAAGAAATAACGCTTGAGAGAGCGGAGCCGAGGTATGAGCTGTTGGTCTTGCAGCAGGAGGCGTAAGAGTGTGCGATTCGCATGTGTATACGCGTCTTCGATGAATTTGTAAAGCCTGAAAAGCTCATGAAAAGAGACACGGGGACTCAACCAATGAAGAAACACACTTTTCATCTTCCATGGATAGGGAATTTTTCGTTAAATTCTTCTGATCGGCTTGCACCTCGATTCCACATTCACGTATCACGTTAAGATATTTCCCTGCAAGTAAAAACTTGTGTTTCCAACCCTCCAGAAGGGGCGGTATACAAGCGCCACCGGGTAATCGACCTCCAGCAGTACGTGGCGGAGGAACACCTGTATGTTGGCGCTTCGAAGAAAGGGTGGAGCCATCACGAAGCTACCCAGACATCAGTATACATTTGCCCCATTTGCTGAGACACATAGCTCACCGTATATCGCCTTTCCCAATACTCGTCCGTGTAATCTACTTCCAAAATGCCCTTACTGATGAACTTGCTCTCCTTGACACACAGCTCCTCGTATGGGTCTTCGAGACGACCCGTAGTTGTCCATACTCGGAGCATCTCGACATAGGGCACCCCCGCTGCAGTCAGGAGAGTCCCGTATACCTTGACCGCGGTAGGGTCGCCTGACATGGTCTGCATTCGCTCGTATATCACCGTCAGCACTTCACCACCCTTCACATTAATAGGTGCATCTGATGTGCTCTTTTTCATGTCAGACAAAACGGCCTTCAGCTTCGCCCCACCGAGCCCAAGTGCTTCATCTCGCGCCGCCTGCTCTGGATCAGACTCAGAAGAAGATGAGGAAGAAGAGGCGTCGTCGTCATCCGTGGTAGCCAGTTCGAGGATGAGCTGATAAATAAGAGATAGAGTATGTACTGTTGGGTGAACATAGAACCATAATTTCTGTAGACTGAATTGCGGTGAGGTGTTGAATGCATGCTCGAGTTGAGAGAGGAGAGTTTGGTAGTCCTTTCAAGGGATGAGCAAGACGACACCTGAGGGATGGGGAAATTGACCTTGAGCATGTCCCGGATGGCAGCACAGAGTGCATGATTGACAAGCCCAAAATCGAGGTGGCTGCGGCTCTCTACAAAAGATGAGATAGCGGTGTAGTAAGTGCCGAGGGGCACTATCCGTTCCGTTAGGTCTCGAAGGGACGAATCTGTAAAAAGTATAAGCGAGAACGATCTCCCCCGAACTGTCAGACAAACCTAGGGGAGAGGATACAACAAAACGTATTCCCTTTAGTGGGTCGTCATCTTCTGGCGAGTATTCAGGATGGTGGGAAATATATGTTCCTTCAATGCCCTGTAGAGGTTCAGTCAAGTACGCGGTGAAGCATGGGACAGAAGCACGAGAACCAAGAAGAAACGAATTTCTCAAGACCAATTATGAGATTAAGTGGGAACACCAAACGTCCGGTCATTGTTGCAATGTAAGTTGAATATGAACTGAAACGAAGGAAAGGGAGAGGATCAAAATTTGAGATGAATAGAAAAGCAAAAGCCGCAATCGAACACCTGACATGAACAAGGTCATAGGTTGATCCGGCTGATACCAAAAAACCGCCATAAACCTCAAACATAACGACCACTCGACATACCATCAAAACATAGAGCAGATCTTCCAAAATCAAAGCTTCTTGTATATCCACAGGAAGATTGTCTAACACATCTTCCTTTGCCTTTCCCTTCGTCTTAGGTATCGAAGCAGACGCGCCAACTCGCGAGTTCAATGGTGCGCGCACGAACGAAGTCTCAGCGATAAACGACGGCTCGTGGCCTGCATCATCAATACTGTAATATGCAGGTCATTAAGGACTACGTACTGTTGCCACGGCTCTCTTGTGATGAGTACACGCGAACATTTGCATCTTCGTAGATATCATCGCTCAGCTGCTGTCTGTTTCTGCGAACAGAAGCGATAGTGCCTGTGATCTGAATGTTCGACCATCTGCATTGTAATAATAACTATGCATGACAGGTAAGGAGACTCGTACCTTGCTGTACTCTTTTGCAGATAAACCAAGGTTCTTCTTGCGACCTCCTGGACGCGTTCGTGGAGTGTACGGATCCATATTAATGGATGGTTATGCAAGTTGTAGATGAACGCGGTAGATGCACAAGACGCGTAAATGATAGCTGGTTACTATTTTTGGTAGTCACGTTTTTCTTCCAAACCCCTCAGAGGCTCGGAGTCGAACTGCAATCAGCTCTGTCTAGATTTTTGTTGGGAGTGGGAGGACACGCTCAAGACACGCTAGCTTGTATATATTGATGAACTTCAAGGCCTACCATAAGGCATGCCAACGTTTCATTCCGCAAGGCCATGCCTCGCATAGTCAGTTCCATAGCTCTTCTCTTCAGCTAAAACATAAATACACCAAATATTTCCAACAGAGCTGGTCTCCGCGCAACCTCTACAACCTCCGGGGGTGGTCCCGTGGGGCCCAGGCCATTGACTTCACTCGCTCGCCCAAGACGCTGTTTCAACATCGCTTGATCTTGAAAGCACTCATCCTGTCACATCAGCGCGTCTCTTGCTCTCGATTCAGCGGTTACGTGGCCCTCTAAAGCTATGTCTTCACCTTGGGTTTCGGTATCTGTTGATGATGTTGGTTGCCGTTTCGAAAGGCCGAACCGCACCGACTTCCAGACGTATGTTCGTCGATTTGCGCCACACTATCGCACACTCTACAGCAGGCTCTCTCATCGAAAAACATGTCATGCACTCGTAATCATGTCCAGGAACGCGCGTCATATCTATTTCATACTGGAGCGAGTGTTTCGGGTGATGTTTAGTTGTCAAATTGTCGCTCAGGAGTTTGGTGTGCTTCTTACCGAACGTCTGTTACACGCAATTATCTCACTCTGTCAAGCCCATCCAGAAGGAAAACAGAATATACTGTTTGCTGCCAATCTATTATTTCTGGGAGTTGGGGACTGGCGCTTCCCAGCGCCGCTACGATCATTGACGTACTGAGAATACATTAATTCGACTACACTCTTAATCGTTGCCATTCTTTCAAGATACTCGTGAATGTGTATAGTGAGTAAGTAGTACAATATTCCTTACACATCATGGTGCATCAGATGAAAGGGCAAGGGAATGTCAACTGTATCTTCAAAACGAGTAACCACCGACTGTGGGATATGAACAGCGTGGACAGCCCAATCCAAGATCTTCTCGAAGTTCCTGCATTGGTGGCGGGTGTTGAAGTTAGGGTATGTGGTTTCGAGTCCTTGAACCCAGTCCCATGTTATCATCGTCACGTCAGCATTGCACATGATATTCTGTCTGATCATTTCAATACAATGATCTGTAATGTATACGATAAGCAGGAGGTGCATTAATAAAAAAAGGATATATACCAAGGTGCATGGGGATTACTTCGAGCGAAGTATCTGTGGGTCTGTAATACTCGGGCCACGTGACTTTGCGAAGTAAATTCTGCAAAACATGAGGCAAGAATGACTAGACTTTCGGCGTGGTATAGCTTACCAGACAATGGAGTTGGTGATAAGCTTCCATGGATACCACGAGACCCCCACCATATGTAGCTGGGTACTTAACCTTGGAAGGTGAATCTACTTCGCCAGCTTTGACAAAATCCTCAAGCGACATTCGAGTCGGTAGTACTGAAGTTTCGTGGACGTAAACGATCACTAATTAGGATGACGGAAAAAATTGGACGACGCACCATCTTGAGCTATCCTGGCCCAAGCGGCATCAATTTCTGGGGAAGGAGGGCCACGATAGATAGAAGGAAAGTCGAGGGTTCCGTTAAACCTTACAATCACGGGCTCGACAGCAACAATTGCTGGAGCTGTGGTGGATTAATAATTATACCGTTCTATGTGGTCTGTTCACTCACAGTATATAGGAATATCGTACATGCAGGTGGGACGAAGGCGTGCCTATCCATAGCACGAAAAAGATCATCGATGTGCATATCGACGCGCCATGGTTCAACATGGGCCACACACGAAGGATATGCGACTCGGTACGAGGTTCTGCACAGAACCTTTCTGCATCACCAAATGATTTTTCCTCGTTATAATTGTCAACAGGATCGACAGGAGAGTACTGTGGGGAATCTTTGACCATGACCCTGCGGAAACTCCGTTTGCTGAACTCGGCGGTTATAGGGATAGTTGGGAACACACGAGGGTGGATCGGCGATACACATCCGAGAAATGTTAGGAGTGTATGAATTTCGAATTTGTCTCCCAATCGGCGCCGGCTGTGTCTCTGGTGTGTTAGGTTATCGTACAGCAGCTCCATCGGTGCGAGAGTCGCATGCCCCAGCGGAGCGCTGGAAGGGAGGTTGTATTCAATGGGGAAGGACATACCCGTGATCGGAGAAGTGCAAGCAACTCGGAGAAGTCTGGGATGAGTAGCAGATGGATTTGTACCTGACGTGCGGACTCATCCGCACATGCTATTGATCTGTGACGGACAACTCGAAAATGACTCCATGGATGATTGGACGAGGCAAGATTCATCGATTCATCTGTCGTCATCAGGAATGTCTACACATAGTCTCCATGATGACATGGCCAAAGTCTGGGACAGGCCCATCGGTTCCTCCCAGCGGAGTATGAAAGTTGCTATGTGCATCTCTGTTTGCTCACCGTCTGGAACAGCACTAAGGACTTACTTCCATAAACGTTGGGAGCTTTTTAAAGCACACAATACCGTTGGCTGCTGTCATGTCTCAGATGCATGTTGTTCTAGACCGGCCAAATTTCTGACAACATGGCCAAGAATTTTGCCGATTCTGCCGGTTGTAGCTAGCAGAACTTTCAACTGACTCCTTGGTAGGTAGTTCTACCCCTTGAAGTTACTTCATATAGACTTGTGACCAGTCTGAGGCGAGCCGTCGATAGACACTCATCGACAGACTTTGTGTTATGTGTTTTGCAAATGATATTAATTGATTCAGCAGATATAGGATTTCCATTCGACTTTGCAACATGTTCAAGGGCATTCATAGATGGCTCTGCTACATTCGTCATATCGTGATCTACGCGAGAGCCGTCATTTGAAGAGAATATTTGGAGACTGCAATCAAGGAGGGGAAGCCAGGTCCACGTTATCCTCCAAGCGGACCACCTTGGATTTAGGGACGAAAACACGATGCCCATCAACCCAATCCAAGACCTTCTCAAAGTTTCTGCATCGGTGAGGAATGTTGAAGTTAGGAAAAGGATCTTCGACTCCCTCCACCCAGTCGTAAGTGAGCATCGTCACGTCGCTACGACACATAATGTTCTGCCTGATCATTTCAATACAATGGTCTGAGGTTACAACATGCTAGTTAGCGGGGCGTGGCCCGGGAAGGAAAGAGTATACCTACCGAGATGAATGCGGAAGCTTTCAGGGGATTTGTGGGATTCATGACTCGTGGAATTATCTTGTGCACCCCAGCTGGCTCTGCGAATCATGTCCTACAGGGTAGTGAGTAAAAATTGACCAACCTCCCTGTATTACAACTTACAACGCAATGGAGCTGGTGAATGGCTTCGACAGTTGCCATGTAACCTCCACCATATTCGTCTGGATACCTGGCCATGGAGGGAGAAGGTTTCTCCCCTGTTCTGAGCAGTTGTTCAAGCGTCATACGAACTGGACGCGCTGGGAAATATAGTCAGTAAGTGTCTGTGATGTAAGTGAAGCATAGGGTGCAACCATCAACAGATATCCTAATCCAAGCGGCGTTGATTTCTGGGGACGGGCTGCCACGATATATAGAAGGGGCGCCCAGACTTCCGTTGAATCTTATGATGCCGATGGATTCAATCGCCTCGTTTGCTGGAGCTGTGACGAGTAAGCAAGGTCCCGTGCGTTGACGCTATCTGTCCACCTACAGTGTTGTCCCTAAGCTATGTAGGCGGTATTCCTAGTGATGACACCTATGGAGTCCCATTGATCATCGATCATCATCCATACTTTAGGGAATTAACTCGTCCGTACCGCGGGTGAGTCCACATGTCGTACAAATCTATCTGCTATATCTAATTTTGTCTAACCTTCCATACTCTTCCGCGAATCCAGAAAATGCTCAGATTGAATATTGACGTATTTCATAAGTTCTTGAAGCCTCCGAAGGCCGTGCGGCGTGGATTACCAGCCTAAGCCGAGCTGTGGCTTTGGCCCGTGGCATGGCCTGATGTTTTTCAAAGCCCAGGCCCCCTCTTTCTTATCACTTTCTTGGGTGAGAGGACCCGCTCCATGCACTGAGCCAATTTGAAGATGCATCGATAAGAACTCGGGCTTGCGGACTTGCCTTGTTGGGATTAATATTATGCGCGCTGAGTGATTTTTCAAGAGACTAACGGCTGATTAACTTGAATATTACCGTTCACTTAGAACAACCCCTTGCAAAAATTATGAGTGGATAAGGCCTCAGCCAATTCAGATGACCTGAGCCTACGAAAAGGTATAAAATCCTCTTGAAGATTCCAATGTAGTGCATTGACGAAGTACTCATCGCACCTCTCAACTCAAACATGAAGCTTTCTCTTGTCTTCAGCACGCTCGCGTCCATGGTGGTTCTTGCTACGGCATACCCCACACAATGAGCCACTGGCATCGCGAAACGTTCCAGTGAGTATTCATAACTCATCGTCATGCGGAGGTTGATGAGCATAACTTGTTGCCAGATGTAGAGAAGCGCGAGGAGCTTGACTCTGACCTCTTCGGTTACGATTATCACAAGCGCGAGGAGCTTGACTCTGACCTCTTCGGTTGTGATTATCATGATCATGGCAAGCGCGAAGAGCTTGACTCTGACCTTTTTGGTTACGATTATCATGGCAAGCGCGAAGAGCTTGACTCTGATCTCTTCGGTTATGATTACGAGAAATACAATTATGAGAAGCGCGAGGAGCTTGACTCTGATCTCTTTGGTTACGACTATCAGGGTCACAAGTAACTTGATGCCAGGTCTTAAGGAGGTGAGTTATAGCCGTATGCCTTATTTTATGTTGGAGTCACTTATCGTACTAGGTCTGGCATCGCTGCAGCCCCGCTTACAAGTCACTTCTCTGTACATATGTGTATCTGTCTGATTGCTTGGTTTCCTGCGCGTGCAATACAATCCCAGTTGTCTGACTCTTTTTGACTCAACTACAGACCCAACGTTCTTGCCACTAAACTATCATCTGGTGACATTGTTAGGATTTTGGAAAGTAGGAATCCCGCTCTGGTTGACCGACAAATTAGCACGACCCTGCCCAGTTGACAGGTGTAAATGACACCAGATTCATTTAAATTAAACCTAACCGAATTATGGGCGTCGTTCTCTATCACTTAGAAGGACCCCAGCATTTACTCAGACAGAAAAATCACCGTATATCGCCTCCCCAAATATTCGTCTGTGTGATCCACTTCTAAAATGCCCTTACTGCTCTCCTTGACACACAACTCCTCGTATGGGTCTTCGAGACGACCCGTAGTTGTCCAAACTCGAAGCATCTCGACATAGGGCACCCCCGCTGCAGTCAAAAGAGTCCCGTATACCTTGACTGCGGTGGGGTCGCCTGACATGGTCTGCATCCGCTCGTATATCACCGTCAGCACTTCACCACCCTTCACATTAATAGGTGCATCTGATGTACTCTTCTTCATGTCAGACAAAACGGCCCTCAGCCTCGCCCCACCGAGGCCAAGTGCTTCATCTCGTGCCGTCTGCTCCGGATCAGACTCGGAAGAAGAAGAGGCGTTGTCGTCATCCGTGGTAGCCAGTTCGAGGATGAGCTGATAAATAAGGGATAGGGTATGCACTGTTGGGTGGACATAGAACCATAATTTCTGTAGACTGAATTGCGGAGAGGTGTTGAATGCATGTTCGAGTTGAGAGAGGAGGGTTTGGTAGTCCTTTCAAGGGGTAAGTAAAACGGCACCTGAGCGATGGGGGAAATTGACCTTGAGTATGTCCCGGACGGCAGCGCAGAGCGCATGATTGACAAGCCCAAAATTGAGGTGGCTGCGGCTCTCTACAAATCTCTACAAAAGAGGAGATAGCAGTGCAGTAAGTGTGGGCGTTTGGGTCCGAGGTCACATACTTACCCTCAGCAGTTTGGCACTCGTCAACACGCATTCTTTCAGGCATGTATCCAGAAAGTCTATGTGATCCCTCAGAAGCCGGTCTACCTTGGCCAATTTCGTCTCTAGCGCTCGCCAGTTGGGTTCAAGAACCTTGATTGTCGTGAAAGCTAGTATTTGCTGAACGAAAGCGAGCATGCGAGCTCTCAGGAGCGCAATTCGCAGTCCCCACTGCTCGAACTCGAGCATGTTTGGTACAAGACGCCGCCAGGGACTTGTCTTCTGTTCCGTCCACATCGTTGCGAACGATTGTTCTACATGCTTGAGATACAAGAGAAAACGAGAAAGAAACTGGTAACGCCAAATCATTTTGCGAGAGATGACAAGCAAAAGCGGGAACTTCACATTGTAATCGAGTGTAAGGGCATCGATCACATGTTTGGGATGAGCAAGAACTCGCACGTCTTCGCGAACACGGTAGGTATCTTCCTCTGTAAGTGCAAGGTGGAGCATGACTCTGTAACTTACCGACACTGACACCTTTTGCGGGCTTCTTCATGGGCAAGGTCTAAGAGGTGGGTGAGGAGGACGTGGAAGCCAGGAAGAACTAACGCTTGAGAGAGCGGAGCCGAGGTATGAGCTGTTGATCTTGCCGTAGGGAGCATAAGGGAGTGCGATTCGTGTGCGCATACGCGTCTTCGATGAATTTGTAAAGCCTGAAAGTGCCTATGAAAAAAGACATGGAGACTCAACGTTGCCAATGAAGAAACACACTTTCATCTTCATGGACCGATTTCATCTTTTGACCAGCTTGCACCTTGATCCCACATTCACGTATCACGGTAAGATATTTCCCTGCAAGTAAAAACTTGTACTTCCAACCCTCCAGAAGGGGTGGCATAGTACAAGTGCCACCGGGTGATCGACCTCCAGCAGTACGTGGCGGAGGAACGCCTGTATATATGCTAGCGCTTCGAAGAAAGGGTCGAGGCATCACGAAGCTACCCAAAGCGTCAGTACGCATTCACCCCATTTTCTCATGATAACTGTTTACTATTTTTGGTAGTCACGTTTTTCTTCCAAACCCACTTCATCCTCGGAGTTGAACGTTTCAACTTTCAAGGCCTACCATGAGGGATGCCAACGTTTTTGCATTCCGCAAGGCCATGCCTCGAATGGTTAGTTCCATAGCCCTTTTCTTCAGCTAGAACCTAAATATACAAACAGAGTTGGTCTCCGCGTAACCTCTATAACCTCTGGAGGCGATCCTGTGGTGCCGAGGCCGAAGCCATTAACTTCACTCGCTCACCCAAGACGCTGTTTCAACAGCGTTGGATCTCGAAAGCACTCGTAGCGTGCGTACCACGGTGACTTCATAAACGAGAAAATATTTAAGCGATGGTATCTCCCCGATACACTCCCCGATGTGCGCCCTCGTCAGCACGCGCTTTCTAGTAATGGTGATCTCGATGCGTTTGCTGGGCGTACCGAGCAACTGGAGAGAGCAAAAAAGAAAGCATATGACGAGAAAAGGAAAGGCTTGGCTCCTGTGGGCAGTTTAATGCTTGCCGAGGTGGAAGCGACGCCTTGATGTGTTCATTTTTCGGTGCTGCTTTGCGCATAGTGTCTATGAGGCGCGAAGAGTTGTCATTCATGGATCCATCCTGCTAAATGGCAAGAAGGTGCGCCAGTTTCTTTCTCTAGTGTTAGCTTCGACACTAATGCACATTTTCAGCATACGAATGCCAACACACGTCTAGCCCCAGGCGACATGATCTCCGTTGACCCTGCAGCAATTCGTTTCCTCCAGGAGCCTGGGTCTTCCAAGGCAAAGTCCGAGGGTGAACAACCCTCAGACTTGGAGCCTAAAATCGAGTCCTCGAATCTCTCCCAGCCCAATCCTCTGCATCTACGAAGTCCTCGTTGACGCCTTTCAACCTTCCTCCATACGCATCTCCTTTCATTTTTATTCCTGCCTATGCAGAAGTCTCCTTCCCCACCTGCAGTGCCATATACGTGCGCCACCCAACGGCACGCCCAGGATACAGTGAAATCCCAACACCTTACGACGCCGATGGTGAAGTTATTCGGCTGGCATGGGAATGGTACTCAAAGATGCGTCCAAGGACAAGGAGTAAGAGCCAGATGGCGAGGGAACCTGAGAACCGTCGGCCGAGCGAGTCAATCTGATTACCTTAAAGCTACCTGTATCTTCTCTGTTATCTTGACTTTGATTCACGTGAGGATTAATATTCGAACCCGCGCGTGTCTGACGCGTCTGAAATCGCCAAGTTCTTTCATGTAGATCTACCATCATACTATGGTACTGTCCCGGACCCTTCATACGACGACAACGACAACGTTGGATTTGAGCACAATGCCGGACGAACAATGTGTTGCATGCTATTGCTGCTCAATGCTTGCGCCATAAAGATGGATCCATGTATCAGATCTGTCAGACCTGACAGGTCATTGCGAACACCTCAAGAAACACGGTCCTGGACTGAAAGCTCAAGGGTATCTCTATAGAACATCGTTATGGCCTGCATTTAACTATGAACAAGGACTGGTAGACTTTTGTTATGTGCATATACCCTGCTAATACATGATTCGGAAGGATAAAGATACTAAATCAGCCGCACTCCACTGGTGCGATATACTATTCAATTAACGACCTTCCACGGGAGGAGCGCTTCCTTCAAATCAATGATGCCTGTAAGCACGCCGGCTTACCTGAGTTCCCATAATCAGTACATATACTGTCACTGATGCTGAAAGCTAAGCTTTTAGTATTTCACCTTTTGGTGTAACGGTTATGCGGGCGGCAGTCTGACCAAGTTACAATGTCGTTGCAAAGTGAGTCGACCCTTGAGACTCGGATTGCACACTCCAAGTCAGTACTTACCTGGTTGCTAACTCAGAGTCGAGAGATATATCTACCAGTGAGCACCCCCTCAGCGTTCTTTCCATCCTCATCTTCTGACTTGAGCTATGTACCAGAGCAGTCTTGTAGGCTTCCGTCTTGTATTTCTACTGATGTGTTAGTTAGTTTCAGAGACAAGGACGTACACTACAAACATCTTGTTGCCGACTCTGACACATCCCCGTCGTCAGCTTCACATCTCTTACTATTGAGGCATTTTCGGCAGCCGCTGTCGCGGCGTGAGATGCATTCAACAGCTTTTCAGAACGAAGGTTCTTCTGCAAATATTGGCACTTGACACACATGGTGAAGCAAGTCTTCATCACTGATCGCGCGCAGTACTTTTACATCAGTAGGACTGTACTCGGTACTCTTGGCACGAATATACCTGAAGATGGTCTGAATGGTGCGGCTGTTGTCTTCGTGGCTGTGGCTCTCGTTCCAGCGGAATCGAATGAACCTTTCGTTCGTAGCACTATCAACTGGCCATTCTTCACCCTCTTTCGGCCACCAAGGCAGCGTTTTTGGAGGTCGAAACGGTAAATGATAATGATGTCAGTGTCTGCATTGCTCACCAGTAGCACAGGATCACTTTTTGCTTCGAGGCTCACCTCTTCGTTCGTCGTCGTCATCCTCTCCATCATCAGTCTTCGTTCTTGTTATCGTCTTCATCTTCATTATCTGTCTGCAATGCTTCCGCCAGCCTCGCCTCGAAATATTCCTTCATGTCCGTAATCCATTTATTGTGTGTTGTGGATAGCAAGGTTTAGCTGGTGAGCGACGACATCCATGACCTGTAACTCACATACCATGTTCTTTCTTTCAAACTCAGCAATGCATCGCTTGACCGCTTCGAGTGCTGATATCACCACAGTTTTCGACAAGTTGCCAGTGTCCCTCAATCCCTCAGCAACCTGCAGCAAGTCTAATGTCATGCCACCAAAGTTCAGAGGTATAGGACTGTATAGATTCGGCATCCCCATGCTTCTATCTTGTAGTGCTGCCAAAAATTCACCAGACTGAAGTTGAACGTTGAGGCATGTTGTAGCAGTTGATTCCTTTGTCCGCACTGGTCTCATGTACATGTCTGGGGCATTCAATGTATCATTTTCAAGCTCCAGAACACTTAACAGAACGAGCGTGAAGCAAGCTTGTCGTTTAACAACAGTTTTGCGAAGTACCCGTCCTGTATCTTGATCGAGTATTTTACGGGAAGCTGTGGTTCAGCATGGAAACATGCCATCAATGATCTTTGGCCAGCTAATCTCCCCTGAGGCTAGTCAGACCCTTAAAAGAAGGGCGATTTTCGTTCGTTCTATTATTAAAGCTGGTTATAACAGCAGATTCTACCCGACACGTTCCGACCACGTTTTATGATGTACTCACGATGTTCAATGGACATGCAATGCGCAACAGCCATGTGATCTGTGTACATAGGCTGATCGTCGTGATAATCCATCAAGATGCAGCCCGTTCGTCTGCTGTGGAATCATGGGAGGATGTGGCGCTGAGGTGAGATTAACTCCGAGCTCATTGATGTACTTTACTTTGCGTGTGATACAAGGAGATTCTGCGGCCAACAAGGACTAGTGATCTTGTATTATTCATCAGATAAGTGCTGCAGCCATGTATGCAATCTCTTGAAACATTACACGCTGGTGATCAACGTTTCAAATTTCAACAGCTAGATGCTGTGGGTGAGTCCGCAGATTGTTGCGATGCTATATCGCTTACCTAAAATACTATCAGAGCGACATCTGGCCGTTCTTCGATTCGGACTCGAGCCTACCTGAGTATTTAAATATAATCATAGTTACCAGCTATTCAACAGCCAAGTAAGAGTTGCGTTACGATCACAGGTACTACCATCGACGACACCCATTCCAAAAACTAGCCATGAGCAGGGGAACGGGGCTCTTACGAGCGATGCCCCATTCTGTGGTTGAACAACTGTGCAGTTCAAGTTATCAAGTTATCACTGGCATTTTATGATAGCAACACTGACATGTCCGACTTTGCCGTGGTAACAGCATAAGGTGGTTCGAAACTAAAAAGAAATCGCCTTTTGGGAGCTGAGCGGCAAAAGTCTTATCGAAGTTGTCGCCACGACAATGTACCGCAGTCAACGTTGTTCTTTTGTTGCAAGGCAAGTTGATGTAGTAGTATGATCATGAGTTGTATGTCTGTTTCTTCACGCGTGAAGCTTGAAACATGATTGCATTAGTATATTCGGAGTTCAAGACAGTAAAACTGGGCCAAAGTTTTCAGATCACGCCTGGCTCCTCGCAATCAAACGCAACCTATGGCCGATGATCTGATTTTAAAGAAGTGCTACTCAAGGTACGTCGGATCCGTATGTGTGACTGACAATGTGGCCCATTTCTATATCGGAAAATTAATTGTTATGAAGGTTTAATGGATCATATATATACTGGTGCGGTCCCTCCCTTCAAAGCTTGTGTTGTCCACTTACTTGATCTTTCGCCAGGCCACTCATTTCCTTCCTTCTTTTCGGGTGGGCTTCTGGAAGTCCCCACTGTACCTTCAATCCTTTCATAGCACCCTCTCGTTAACATGGGTCTGGACGACAACCTTGTTTACCATGCCGACATTTTAATTTTTGGTATTATCCTCATCTTCACCCTTGCCAGTCTCCGCGCGCGTATGCTCGTTTCAGCCGCAGGTCGGAATGGTCTCAAGGTCACCTCCTTCGTTCAATAGTACCTCTCTCAGCCTCTACCAAGCCAAGGATCAACCTCAACCTCAACCTTTCATACCCTGATGACCCTGAAAAGCCGTCCTTTGGCAATTTCGATCGCGGGGACTCCTTGACTGCCTGCGCCCCATTACCAGTCTCTACACCAAATCAATTTGGCGCATGTCGTTGATAAGAAATCTCTGCCGAAGGTTCCAAACCGTGACCCTACTTTATCGTCTATCTGGCACCCTGTGGCGTCTGTAGTTACGCTCCCGTATTCACAACAGCTACTCCGTTAACCAAGCTCTCCTGATGCTGGCGTACATCAGTATCATATTCTACGTGTCTTTCTACAAGTCAGACCCATTTACGGACCCTCTCCGAGCTGGTTTTGTCATCACTTCTCAAATTCCTTTGTATATGCATTAGCCACCAAGAACAACATCATTGGTATGATGGTAGGCGTTGGATACGAAAAAGTGTGTTTGATCAACATGATTTTCACTACGTTGCTGATTGCGGCATGCAGTTGAACTTTCTTCACCGCTTGGTCGGTAAACTGATGGTCGTTGGTGCAAATGTCCACTTCATCGGTTATAGTATGTACTGCCATGTGCCTTCTCCGCTTTTGTCTCATCTGATGTGTGCTCGGGGTAGTCTATAAATGGAGCCTCGCTGGCGAGATCAATAAGAAGCTCGCCGAGGATTATATTCGCTGGGGAATCGTGGCATTGATATGTTTGGACCTCCTGGGATTCTGCTCGACCGAATACGTTCGGTCAAAATCATACAACCTCTTTATGGCATCGCATGTTGTGAGCTTCACCGTCTTCTTATTCGCTGTAAGTAATTCCCCTTATCTCTTTACCGACGCTAATTTTGTAAAGGCATGCTACCATGTGCCTGCCTGTGTTCCATACGTGGTGGCTGCGTGTGTATTCTATACACTGGATCACGTCGTTCGTGCCATCAAGACCCGCGTCACTACGGCTAAGCTGCGTCCTCTTCCAGAGCTCGGAATTACCCGAGTCGAGGTGTCTTCAATCAATGCAGGATGGCGTGCAGGGCAGCACGTCCGCTTGCGTGTCCTGTCTTCATCCATGGGATGGTGGGGATGGTCCGAGGTGCACCCTTTTACCATCGCAAATGTGGCAGAAACGTCGGAAGGAATGGTTCTTATGTGCAAGAAGACTGGCCGCTGGACAGGCAGTCTCTTCAGTATGGCTCAAACAGCTTCTTACGGTGAAACCGGCATGGAAGTTGGCCGTGATGTTAGAGTAATGGTGGAGGGCCCCTATGGTATGTTGTCGTGTTACCGGGGAGTCAATGCATCTCATCACACTCCTTTCTTTTCTCGCAGGGGGCGTGGGGCACACTATGATGTCGAACTATTCTGGGGCGATGTTTGTTGTTGGTGGGAGCGGCGTCTCCTTTGCGTTATCGGCAGTGCCGGATCTGATCCAAGCACCCACGGACGTGAAAGTCATTGATATCATCTGGTCCGTCCAAGATCCTTGTACGTATCGTTTCACCACTTTCCTTGATCGCGATGCTTATCTGCCCACGCACAGCATCCCTCACCCCTCTACTCCCCCTCTTCATGAACCTCGTACGGAATAGCTCATCTGTCCGTGTCAACGTGCACGTATTCTACACCCGTGCAATCAGCACGACATTCGACGGGATGAACCTTCCGCAAGGCATCACCCTCCTGCCTGGCCGTCCCAAACTCGAGAAGCTGCTTGATGCAGCCATCACGAACACGACATCAGCTGGGGGCTCTAACGGTGTGTTTGTAGGCGTTTGTGGCCCTGTATCGCTGGCGAATACCATGGCGCATGTGGTGAAAGACTCTGACGTTCGTTTGTGCACGGCTGTGGGTGGAGTTAAGCTCCACGAAGAGACCTTTGGGTGGTAAATCGGATTCATCTTGCGGTGCAGCCCGTTGACGGGCTATGCACCACTTATCTGTTGTATTGTTATGTATTTTTATCACTATCAACTAGGTATGAGCTCTAGTAGCTATAGATGTAGAAGCCCAATTTTATCGGCTGGTCCGTCTTGGATTTATGATGAATGGACTCTTGAAGACTTGAGGACGTTGTGCAAGAATCACGGTACGTGATATCATGGAGTGTACGGGGCGGCTGGTTCCGCGAACCAATTTGTTGACGCCACGTGAAGCCCCCACGTGATCTCCGTTGATCTCCCCTGGAGAAACACCAACTTGAAGGTATCTTCCTGACCGTTATCGCCATCGTTCTCCCTTACCCTTCTCGCACATTCAGATTGACCCTGAGTCCGCTGGTTCTTTTCATGGAATCGTCGGAGTTCAAGTTTGAAAGGGCCGCTGACTGGTATGCGCTCAGAATCCAGATGGATGTATTTCTGTACCACGACGGGCCACAGCTCCGATAATCAATAGTATATCGTGATCTACTCTGTTGACACGTACTAGTTCCAGGCGCAGTCGGCGTGATGTTCCGGTACCATTCTCCTACGCCAATGATATCGAAGGATCCCAGACGACTCACGAGCGCACACTGCAAACCGTGTGGCCTATACAGATCTCCTACGGTACCAGGCTGCTACAACTGCCTACAATACTTACAGTTATTCGACTGTAACATTGCCCCGGGCTCGAGCACAATATCAATACAGCTGTCTTTCGTCCGAAGGTGACCGAACGCTTCTTATCTCAGGCTATAAGTATCTGCCCCAAGTTCAGCAGCATCATTTCGTACCTTATCTCTGCTATCAACCTGTGCTTTACAGGAACCATGTCTTCAGATTCCAAGGCCCATGTGCCTCTGGTCATCCTCGGGGCGGGGGTGATTGGACTTACCACCGCCTACATTGCAGCCTGTGACTCAGATGTGGCCTTTGATATCACGATCATAGCAAGAGATATGCCTGGTGATTGGCATTCTCAAGCTTGGGCAAGTCCATTCGCTGTGCGTACTTTTCGAGCGTTCTTGAAGCACCTTCACATTCTTACTTCAATCTTGCTTAGGGCGCAAGTTGGTCTCCAAATCCATTAGGTGGCACGGACGAGCGCGTGCGACGATGGGAGCAGATAAGCTTGTTGGTGACATATCGTTAATGTTTCGAGTTTTACGGACGGAGCTTCTCAGTGATAGGTTATGGGAAATGGCGCCATCAGGCTTGGTCAAGGTCAGTCTTTGTTTGAACGCTTGTCAATCGGCATGACTCATAGATATTCCAGAGGTCACCCTCTAAGGTCCTCGGAGAAACGGATGGTGTTCTTTCTACTATCTGGTGGAAAGACCTTGTGCGTGATGTAAGTCCGATTTTTTATGTATTGTTGTTCTTAGATCCTATAAGGGTGATAGTTTAGTTTGCTCTCAGAGTCTGAAGTCCCTGCACCATACAAAGTGGGAATTTCTTTCAAGACGGTCACCATCAACCCGACGGAGTATTTATCATGGCTTCGATCAGAGCTGGAGTCTCGTGGTGTTGTGTTCCGTCGCCAGTACATAAGGAGCTTGGATGAAGTCAAGCCTTTTGTAGGGAAAATTGGGCTGTTGGTCAACGCAACGTCTCTCGGTGAGCAATTGCCAGCCCTTACCAGTTACCAATAGTTATCGACGGTCGGATCTAAAGGTTCACGGTCTTTAATCGGAGTAGAAGATACAACCATGTATCCGATCAGGGGACAATCTATTGTAGTCGAATGTACTGGCTTGAAGGAATTCGTGACAGTACGGTCCGGTCAGTCCATACCAACGGTTATACCCTCACTGTCCTGACGTATCCTTGCATGTAGGTGGCGGGTTATCAGAACAGGCCACATCCATTATTCCTCGTCCTGGACTGACACAAACGAATACCGCGTTTCTAAACGGAACATATCAAGTAGGAAACTGGGACACGTCCTTGGATATGTCGGCTGCGAAAGGGATATTTGAGCGGTGCTCCGCCATAGCGCCATGTTTGAAAGATGAAGGGACGAAGATCCTTATGCACAACGTTGGCCTCAGGCCGGATAGGAAAGGTGGTCCACGTGTGGAAGCTGAGCGCATCTCGCTTCCTCTTGTACGAAATGACGGTTTAGCTCCCAACCCGGGTGAGGATGCCGAACAACAGCAGAACATAACAGTTATTCACGCATATGGAATGGGGTGAGAGCGCTCTCCAAAAATTATTCGAGTTTTAACCTTGAGTCTCAGAGCTGCAGGCTACCAAAGATCCTGGGGTGTAGCTATCGAGGTTCTATCTCTACTGAAGGAGAACATGTAGACAGGCTGCCGAGATCAATGGCACGATGTCTAGTTCTACCCGTTTCGAGCTTGCCATCGCACATGTACAACACTTGGCTTGAGCCTGACACTCACCTAATACAACCCTCCATCCCTCAGTCCTTGGCTTAAATCCTGAGTGTTTTAAGCCAACTGGCACTAGAACAGATTACATTCTCTTGGGTGGTGCGGATTTGAATCCTGCCGACGAATGTCCTATATCACACCTTGATAATCACTTATGGACAGTTCTTTGGAGGTTCATCTCAACTTGGGAAGCGTCCTGGTCAAAGCGATAACAGAATCGAAATCTGTTCATCCTCGACTGTGCAAGTTTGGATCCTGCCAACGAAATTTCTTCTCCTTCGGAATACACCTTGACACTCACTCGATGGTTTCGTCGGAAGCCCATCTAAACTCGTGCTAACTATGTGGTTACCGCAACAGAATATAAATCTGTCTCTGGGCCTATGCAAGCGCAGGTTCGAAACCTGCCGACAACAGTTATTTTTTATCCGAACACACCTTGACTTCAAGATCTGCTCGTGGATAGTTTCCTCTGGATGTCGGTCTTAACTGGTCTTAGCCGGGGTGAGTGACCGCAACAGAATCAAAATCTGTCGAACCTGCCGATGACAAGGTTTTTTTTCCCTATCAGGACATATGTGCAATTACAGTGTGTTGCATATGAAACTGAGGTACAAGTGTTTGAAAAACTCGACCTCACTGCCTTCACCGGGATTTTTTCATCCAAATTAGGCAAAGTGATGTAATACTTTCCGCGCGCTAGACCACATTGCTAAATCGAAGGCCTGGACGGTGTGTGCCAGTAGTCTCTTACCATTCGGATCTTTCTCGGTTCCTTCGAACGACTTCAAATCCTGGGCACACAAAGTCCGGACACCCTCACATCATTCACAATGAAAGACCCCAGGTCCGGATTTCTTTCGCTCAGGTTTTGAACTTTGAGGTCGTTCGAAGGAACTGAGAAAGATCCGAATGATCACAGGGTACCAGACACTGGCTCTGGCGTCTAACTTCATTCTGACAAGCGAAAATCGCGGATCTTTCGCTGATGGGCCGGCGGGCTTACTTACTATGATGCAACCTGACTTGCAAGGATGACGACAGTAAGATCCGAGTAATATCAGGATACCAGAAATAGTACTTTGGCCCAAGCTTGACGCACTATGGCACCCGGGCTACTACTAGCTTATGGCATGCTTGTCTTTGTTTATTACTAGGAAACATGATATAAGGGTCGCTGACCGGGAGCGCCGTTTCTTCTTCGTCGTATCATTCCCAAAAGATGGCAGATTTGAATGAACCGGAGGCCAAACTTGAAGCTCTCTTGGACATCATCAATTCCTCTGCACGCCAAGCAATCGCCGAATACAAGAGCACAGGACATGGGGTCCCTAGTGCCGACGCAACTACCTTCCACCCTCTCGACTTGGCATCAGACACAGTTGCCCTCAAAAAGGCAATTAGGCTGTTCGAAGGTGCATGTCACCAATTGAACGCAATACTGGCTCCCCCCCAACACACGGTGATGAATGTGAGTCCCTCTTGCAAATGATCTTGGCTCTCTTATTCATTTCCCAAGTTCGCTTTCAATTACGACTGGGTTTGCATAAATGTTGTCCTGCAAGCGCGCATTGCAGATGTTTTGGACAAACATCCAGAAGGTCTTAGCATCGATAGACTGGCTGAAGCAGTCAACCTCGACAAGAGCAAGACTGCGCGCGTCTTACGGGCTTTGACCCTCATGGGTTGCTTTAAAGAAGGTAACGTGCACGACAGCTGACACATTCTCTGACGCCTCTAATATATTAAACAGTCGAACGAGACGTCTTCGCTAACAATCGACTATCCCTCATACTCAAGTCAACAAGCAACACTGGATGTCTCGCAAGGTTTCAAACTCAGGGCGCTCCGAAATACGCCGGGATTCTCTATGAGAGTATGATTGACGAAGAATTTTCTCGTTCAGATGAGATCGACAAAGCACCCCGGGTATTGGCCTCCAGGAAGGACGGCATGAAAGGTAACTACTGGGAAGCGATCAAGGATGATGTGAGCCTTTATCGTCACACTGCCCTCAGGCTTCGCTTACTTAACACATTTTATAGGATGAGACACGAGAGGTGGGTGCAGAGTGCTTCATTCACGACTGCCGGTTCACAGAGTCACATGTATAGGCATTTCACAAGGCCATGCTTGGCCAAAATGAGATGACGGGCAGTTCTGCAGTTCTGCATCGTGAGCCATCGCTATTTATGAATCGTTGGCGTGACTGATGCAGGTCGCAAGACTATCCTTGGGATAATATTTCATCTGTAGTGGATGTCGGATGTAGCGTTGGGACATTTTCCACTCCTCTGGCGAAAATGTTCCCTCATCTCAGAATAACTGATCAGGATCTCCCGGAAGTTCTTGTGGAGGCACAGGGTGTGAGTTCAAACATCCAGTACCTGTAATCATCTCAGCGGGCCCATTATTCATATTTGATTAGGTATGGAAGAAGAATGCTCCCGAGGCACTGCTAGACGGGCGCGTGGAGTTCGTGCCACTCAATTTTCTCGAGGACGCACCTGTTGTCGGGAAGGATGTTTATTATGTAAGAGCTTCTTTTCCTCCATGCATCCCCATCAACTCAAGCATCTTATCATATAGTTAAGGAACATTCTCCACGACTGGCACGACCGCGAGGCAATGACGATCCTTCGTAACATTCGCAAGGCCATGGGACCAAACAGCCGAGTGTTGATTCGTAAGTCAGCTGCGGTTCAATGGAGTATTCTCTGCAAAGCCAATATCTTGTGTGCCAGATGATCGCGTCCTCTTGCGCACAGTGCAGGAACCTGGATTTGGAACTAATGGATTAAGCACCGTAAGTTTCAGAGTGCAGCCTGCTGCCTGGCATATCTCTGAATTCACGATCCCAAGGCCCCTGAACCTATGTTACCGAACTTTGGGGCAGGCACTCACAGATCGTACCAAATGGACATGACGATGTGGCTTGTTCATAATTCCAAGGAACGAACCTTGGACGAGATGAAGATCCTTGGGCAAGTTCATCTTGATTTTTTTGCCGTGGTTGACGATGGCTGACTGGTGATAATTGACAGGGCCTCTGTTGGCTTAGTACTCATCCAGGTTTATGATCTTGCAGAGACAATGCTCATGGAATTCAGAATCGCTCAGAGCTGATTCCAGAGGCAAGTTTTTCGATACGTGGTGTATATCATTGTCTGCTGCCATAATTCGCTGAAGACGACAAGAACAAACAAACTTGAAGTTAGTAGTAGAGCAAAGCCTCCACGTTCACCTAGTTATCGAATAGGGAGAGTCAAAGTTACCAATCTTCAAAGACACGATTCAGAGTTGGATCCAAAAGACGATCCAGCATTTTTCAAGTTTTTTCATGGATGCTTGTAAATGGCTGGGTGTGCAGATCACTTAATGCTCATCATTTACTAAGCAGCACTATGGTGACCACAATGGTCAATAGTGAAAGGGGCTGGCAAGATGATGCAAGAAATTATACCTGGCAGACTTCGAATGTTTGAACATGAGACGATTTGGCCCACAATCAGAGTTGCATATATGCACACACAACGAATCTCGTACATAATTCTTGTGATCAGCAGATTTGACAAAGACTGAATGAACCTGTGCAATGTCTATGTATTGTTCGCAAGCGAAAGTAGAGAAATGATCAATAAGAAGTCCGAGACTAGGACATGTAACTGACAAAAAATCACCTGACAGACACTGATTCTCAAAACACAGATGAACTCAAGTGACCCCAAAATACCTGCATAAAATGCATGTCAAGATGACCAAGGATCCATCATTGGAAACTTCTTAGTCAAAGACCACCATGGTGACAGGAGGAGCCAAAGCATCAGTAAGAGGATGGAAGGATGAGGAACTGGTAGCCATGATGAGGGCAACCGAAATGAACTGAGGGAATAAGATAGAGGTGGAAGTGTTACACTCGGCGTTTGTGAGAACAGCTAAACAGTCACAAAGAGTCTAAAGCATACACCTATGTACAAGTCATGCGAGTTAAGCAGTATATTGCAGGCCCTGGTCTGCATAGGTCAAGTTAAAGAAATACAAGCATAAGAAATAGAGTATATATAAAGGGTTTAAAGCGGAGCTTTAATAAATGAATCGGAGATGGAAAGTAAATAGCAAATCAGAAAAGAGAGAAGAGAATCGTACGATAGAATGTCATAGAATGTCTAAGAATGATTAGTAATCGTGAATAAGTGAAGAGGTGAAAGAGAAAAGAGTAGAACTGTAACAGGAAGTATCAAGCCAAATAGACAAAAAATATCGACAAACAAAATAAAAGGTCCAGTATGATTGGTGTTTCAGAGAATCGACAGTCCTCGAATGCCAGTAAAGGCAGCGAGGAAACCTGTACTGTTATGCAGCATCATCTCTGCACGGAAACGCTAATTATTCCCTGTTCGATTCGGAAACGACTGAAACACTTGGTGAGTAGGATTAGGGTTTCGATGTGCTAAACCAATTGAGGCCTGAACGGTGTCTGCCAGTAGCCTGTTACCATTTGCATCTTTCTCGGTTCCTTCGAACGACTTCAAATCCTGGGCACACAAAGTCCGGACACCCTCACATCATTCACAATGAAAAGACCCCAGGTCCGGATTTCTTTCGCTCAGGGTTTGAATTCTTAAGTCGTTCGAAGGAACTGAAAAAGATCCGAATGATAACAGGGTACAAGACACCAGCTCTGGCTTTAACTTCTTTCTGACAAGTGAAAACCACAGGCCTGTTGCTGATGGGCCGGGCCCACTTACTATGATGCCACCTGACTTGCAAGGGTTAGCATTGATAACGACAGGAAGATCCGAGTGATAACAGGGTACCAGGAATAGTACTTTGGCTCAAGCTTGATGCATCGTGGCACCACTAGCTTCTGGCATGCTTGATTAGTCGGCCTGGCGAGTCGGTAATGAAGTTACGAAGTTGTGTTGTTTTGATGCATTGTCAGCTTCTGCCTTCTGGCATCTGTACGGGCGGCGTTGATAAGTTTTTCATGATGATTAATCCGATGCTGTAACATTGATTGATGTGACTTGCACCGACAGTCAATTCGTATACCGTCATAAACAAAGGAAACTGTTAAGACGCGGTGGGGCCCCGTTGAGTCGAAGGTGTAGGTATAGCCGAGGTCCGAGGGCCCCGTCTGCGATTAATATGATGTATTGGTATGTGAAAACGTACACATAACTTTTACAATGATCTAACCATAAGTCAAAAGCCACCTTGAAGCCATCCAATCAACACCCCATAGAATTTAGTCGGCACTTTCACAAAACTCGCATTTCTAGCTACTTAAACGTAAAATTCTCAACATAGATATCATTCTCTCTCTAATACAACTCGTTACGAGGTTGAACGAATACGATCGAAGCAGAATTAAGTGAGATAGTTGAAAGTGCCGAAGTCACGCAGAAATATCACCTGCTGATGTGTGACGAAATTTCACCACTGCACACACGAAGTGCCGACCTGTACTGCCATCACCGCCGCTGTCAATTCTGCGCTAAGTGGCACATCCTACAATGCATCCGGTGGTCCTATTGCATGAACATAGACAGCAATGTACACGGTCCGAGTCTCATTACTGACATCCCCCTCAATTTTACAACTACAACACTGGTCGTTACCCTCGTACTTAAGTAGACATATCTACTAGTAAATAGCACTTGCTCGTTTACGCCGAAAACCAACTGAACTTGCCTGTCAGACTGCAGAGCTCACTTTGACCTATGTGACATGTTGTGACTTCCAGTGACATCTATGTGACTGCCAACTTCTGTGGGGCGCCGGGTGCCGATTGCACTGGAAGGGATAGTAATCAAGATTACGCGTCGACCCCGCTTGCTCATCCCTACCTCGAGTGTTGTTTGATTAGTCATCGTTTTGCAGTAAAATTGTTATACGTACTGCTTGATAACCACATTGATTCACGTGATGTCTTCCTCACGAACTATCAACGTCGTGCTTCATTCTGCTTCATTAATCACTAATCATTCCCTGACAACCTGTGTGTTTCACCACCAAGACATATCATTGCTACAATGTCGTCTGTGTTTGATGTGATCCCGCCAATCTCCGAATCTAATGCGTTGGGGGGTTCCTGACATATTAATTTACCGATGCTCATGTGTAATCATTCATTGTCCAGCTGGATGTATCCTCAGCGAAAATAACTTCAGTACCTTCTCGGCGCCCGCCATGCTTCCAAACTATGCACCTAACCTGGGCCTAGCAAGGGCCTCAATGGGGTCTGAGTGCAGATCCAAAAATTGTCATCATACCAGATATATTACCCTGCTCAAATTGTAGAAAAAAGTACTTCAAGTTACCACGTATCATTTGTTTCTTCGACTATCGAATGTAATGGGGTCTGAACAATTGATCTATTTTAAGTCAACAGGTGCACAGCGTCAAAGGGTCTATATATTTTAGTGTGATCTTAAGGTTACGGTGGGAGTCCTTATCTGAAATCTGGCGCGGACGTCTTTGCAGGCACGTACGGTATGTATATATAGGTCTACCTAATGCAGAAGGAACATAATCGAGACTGTCTTTTGCTTGTCTCTGGCTTAAATCTAGCTTCTCCTTCTAGTGGCTGTGTGATAGAGCATTGATGGCTACTAATCGAGGTCCGAACTAGAGTTTCTATTCACGTTCAAGCAGACGTCTTCACAATTGTAGCAGGCTTTTGAGTGCGTTTGTCCTCGCAAGTCGCTCGGTAACCCAGTCATACTTTCACAGACATGACATTGATGGGTGGCATATAGAAAGTCACACTAAACGGGATTGATCGACAATACGGGAAGTGCCGGTGGGGAAATTAGACATATTTTACAGTCTACAGACAAAGACCCTCAAAGACCTTCCTCCGCTAACATGGGAGTCGGGATTAGGGGGGGGGAACTTCTTCATCAGAATCAACGCTCAAGTCCTAAAATATTCTGCAATGATTGCATTCGTGCATTCACTAATTTAGTACGACGCTTATTTTTGTCTATTACTGGGAAACATGGTATAAAAACCACTGACGGGAGCACCGTTTTTTCTTCATTCCCAAGGATGATGGACCTGAATGAACCGGAGGCCAAAGTTGAAGCTCTCTTGGACATCATCAATTCCTCTGCACACCAAGCAATCGCTGAATACAAGAACACAGGACATGGGGTCCCTAGTGCCGACGCAACCACCTTCCACCCTCTCGACTCGGCGACAGACACAGTTGCCCTCAAAAATCAATTAGGCTGCTCGAGGGTGCATGCCACCAATTGAACGCAATAATGGCTCCCCCCCAACACACGGTGATGAATGTGAGTCCCTCTTGCAAATGATCTTAGCTCTCTTATTCATTTCCCAAGTTTGCTTTCAATTACGACTGGGCTTGCATAAATGTTGTCGTGCAAGCGCGCATTGCAGATGTTTTGGACAAACATCCAGAAGGTCTTAGCATCGATAGACTGGCTGAAGCAGTCAACCTCGACAAGAGCAAGACTGCGCGCGTCTTACGAGCTTTGATCCCTCATGGGTTGCTTTAAAGAAGGTAATGTGCACGACAGCTGATACATTCTATGAAGCCTGTAATGTATTCAACAGTCAAACGAGACGTCTTCGCTAACAATCGACTATCCCTCATACTCAAGTCAACAAGCAATACTGGATATCTTGCAAAATTTCAAACTCAGAGCGCTCCGAAATACGCCGGGATTCTCTATGAGAGTATGATTGACGAAGAATTTTCTCGTTCAAATGAGATCGACAAAGCACCCCGGGTATTGGCCTTCAGGAAGGATGGCATGAAAGGTAACTACTGGGAAGCGATCAAGGATAATGTGAGCTTTTGTTGTCACATTGCCCTCAGGCTTCGCTTACTTGACGCATTTTATAGGATGAGAAACGAGAGGTGGGTGCGGAGTGCTTCATTCACGACTGCCGGTTCACAGAGTCACATGTATAGGAATTTCACAGGGCCATGCTTGGCCAAAATGAGATGACAGGCGGTTCTGCAGTTCTGCATCGTAAGTCATCGCTATTTATGAATCGTTGGCGCGACTGATGTAGGTCGCAAGACTATCCTTGGGATAATATTTCATCTGTGGTGGATATCGGATGTGGTATTGGGACATTTTCCACTCCTCTGGCGAAAATGTTCCCTCATCTCAGAATAACTGATCAGGATCTCCCGGAAGTTCTTGTGGAGGCACAGGGTGTGAGTTCAAACATCCAGTACCTGTAATCATCTCAGCGGGCCCCTTATTCGTATTTGATTAGGTATGGAAGAAGAATGCTCCCGAGGCACTGCTAGACGGGCGCGTGGAATTCGTGCCACTCAATTTTCTCGAGGACGCACCTGTTGTCGGGAAGGATGTTTATTATGTAAGAGCTTCTTTTCCTCCCTGCATCCCCTGTAACTCAAAGCATCTTATTATATAGTTAAGGCACATTATCCACGACTGGCATGACCACGAGGCAATGACGATCCTTCGTAACATTCGCAAGGCCATGAGACCAAACAGCCGAGTGTTGATTCGTAAGTCAGCTGCGGTTTAATGGAGTATTTTCTGCAAAGCCGATACCTTGTGTGCTAGATGATTGCGTCCTCTTGCGCACAGTGCGGGAACCTGGATTTGGAACTGACGGGTTAAGCACCGTAAGTTTCAGAGTGCAGCCTGCTGCCTAGCATATCTCTGAATTCACGATCCCAAGGCCCCTGAACCTCTGTTGCCGAACTTCGGGGCAGGCACTCACAGAGCGTACCAAATGGACATGACGATGTGGCTTGTTCATAATTCCAAGGAACGAACCTTGGACGAGCTGAAGAACCTTGGGCAAGTTCATCTTGATTTTTTTGCCGTGGTTGACGATGGTTGACTGGTGATAATTGACAGGGCCTCTGTTGGCTTAGTACTCATCCAGGTTTATGATCTTGCAGAGACAATGCTCATGGAGTTCGGAATTGCTCAGAGCTGATTCCAGAGGCAAGTTCTTCGATACGTGGCGTATATCATTGTCTGCCGTCATAATTTACTGAAGACAACGAGAACAACAAACAAACTTGAAGTAGTAGAACAGACCATGACAACTTACCCACATAGTAGAACAAAGCCTCCGTGCTCACGCCTAGTTGTCGAATTATTGAATATTAGGGAGAGTCAGAATTATCAATTTTCAATGGCATGATTCAGAGTTGGATCCAAAAGACGATCCAGCATCAAGTTTTTTCAAAGAAATCCATTTGCTCGTCGTCGTGGCAAGCCTCGTATCCTTAACCAACAGGACCTCTCATTTATCACATCCATTCTTGATTCCAACCCATCCCTGTTCCTCGACGAAATCCAAGAGCAGCTGCTTGAAGCACAGAATGTCGAAGTCTCGATTGCCACACTCTCGCGCAGCCTTCGTCGACTCGCAGTCACACACAAACGGACATCAAAGGCAGCCACAGAGCGAAACGAGTTGCTGCGTGCAACATGGCTGGCAGAATATCGGCACTTACCAAAGGAGTATTTTGTACGGATTGATAAGTCTGGAGTTGATAATCGGACGAACCAGAGACGATATTGATAAGGTTGGCATTGTCAGCTGGTCAAACATAAATCATACTATACCTTGTAGAGACAAGCTCGCGTCTGTAAGAGGCCTTGTGGACTGGCATAGTTCACCTGAATACAGCGAAACCCTGGCGGCAAATTCATGCAATGAGTTCACACAATCATATTGACCCTACAAAGAGGCCGGAGCTACACTCTAATTGGGAATTCCGCGCTCGATATCGACTAGCCTATCGGGACGTCACAAGCCCTGAGAATGAAGACTATCAGCTCAAAGGAGAACAAACGGAGGCGGGCCATCAGAGAACCGGTGAGAAGAAGATATTGTCATATATCGTAATATATAGGAAAGGATTTTGTCATATTGGAATATAAAGCAATATATGACCATGTAAATGCACCGCAATCAGCATAATCGCCAGCAAGAATCCACCGGTTCACTGATGCGAGTACATACAATTGTTCAAGTTGAGGCTTGGCGTCCGATCCGCAGTGTGACAATGGCTGTTGTGGTTAGAGGTTTCGGTGGGGGTACGGCACCCACCGAATATATGCAAATACGTTGCGTCCAAGTCAAAGGGTGAACTTTTTAATGCAAACGACTGTAGCAAAAAAAAACCATCATTTTCGCTTGTCAGGAGGAAGTTCGATGCTTTCGGACCGCGGTGAGCTTACAGCATTGGTGATGGAGCAACGCGATTAGTGGAGCAGACGAGTAGCCTATGTAGTGCCCTTAGCGTTCCGAAGTACATAGGTCGGGAGTGTTGAGTATCCGAGCCATACCAGTTAGGTACCCGTACCCGTGCAGATGCCAAATATTAGTACTTCTTCTTAAGCTGGTGTAGAAGCCTCGTTAACTGGGAGTCTGTTTGAACTGTGAGTGCTTTCTTGCTGCTGCCTGTGAGCCTGCGTGAACTGTAGACCCCTGTGGCTTCCTGTTGCAAGACCCAGATTTGTGACCCCTGAGAAAGCTGTAGTTTACTGATCCGGCCCAATATCTCGCTCAGGTGCTTACGGGGGTCCTCGCCCGGGCATTTCCGACGCTAAGGCGATTCCGCATAGTTATGGAATCAGCTGTAAAAAAAGTTTTAGGGGTTGACGAAACCGCCTTCTTCGACGAGGAAGATCCGAGTGCCCGGAAGTCAACTCGTAAAAAATATTGTACTACGTTCATGCATTGACTCATTTAGTACGGCACTTATCTTTGACTGTTACTAGGAAACATGATATAAAAACCACTGACCGGGAGTGCCGTTTTTTCTTCATTGTATTATTCCCAGAAGATGACAGACTTGAATAAACCGAAGGCCAAACTTGAAGCTCTCTTGGACATCATCAATTCCTCTGCACGTCAGGCAATCGCCGAATACGAGAACACAGGACATGGGGTACCTAGTGCCGACGCAACCACCTTCCACCCTCTCGACTCGGCGACAGATACAGTTGCCCTCAAAAAGGCAATCAGGCTGCTCGAAGGTGCATACCATCAATTGAGCGCAATATTAGCTCCCCCCCAACATACGGTGATGAATGTGAGTCCCTCTTGCAAATGATCTCGGCTTTATTGCTCATTTCCTAAGTCTGTTTTGAATTACAATTGGGCTTGCATAGATGTTGCCCTGCGAGCGCGCATTGCAGATGTTTTGGACAAACATCCAGAAGGTCTTAGCATCGATAGACTGGCTGAAGCAGTCAACCTCGACAAGAGCAAGACTGCGCGCGTCTTACGGGCTTTATCCCTCATGGGTTGCTTTAAAGAAGGTAATGTGCACGACAGCTGACACACTCTCTGAAGCCTGTAATGTATTAAACAGTCGAACGAGACGTCTTCTCGAACACTCGACTATCCCTCATACTCAAGTCAACAAACAACACTGGATGTTTTGCAGGACTTCATTCTCGGGACGTCGCGAAATGCGCCGCAGCTCTCTATGAGAGTATGAGTGACGAAGAATTTTCTCGTTCAAATGAGATCGACAAAGCACCCAGGGTATTGGCCTTCAGGAAGGAGGGTATGATAGGTGACTATTGGGAAATGATCAATAATGACGTGAGCTTGAGTCATCGTCATACCGCCCTTCGCTTACATGACACATTCTATAGGATGAGAAACGAGAGGTGGGTGTAGCGTTCTTCATCCACGACTGCCGGTTCACAGAGTCACATGTATAGGAATTTCACAGGGGCATGCTGGGCCTAAATGAATTGATGGGCGGTTCTGCAGTTCTGCATCGTAAGCCATCACTATTTATAAATCGCTAGTGTGACTGACGTAGGTCGCAAGACTATCCTTGGGATAATATTTCATCTGTGGTGGATATCGGATGTGGCATTGGGACATTTTCCACTCCTTTGGCGAAAATGTTCCCTCATCTCAGAATAACTGATCAGGATCTCCCGGAAGTTCTTCTGGAGGCACAGAATGTGAGTTCAAACATCCACCCATAACCATCTCAGCGGGCCCCTTATTCGTATTTGATTAGGTATGGAAGAAGAATGCTCCCGAGGCGCTGCTAGACGGGCGCGTGGAATTCGTGCCACTCAATTTTCTCGAGGACGCACCTGTTGTCGGGAAGGATGTTTATTATGTAAGAGCCTTTTCTTCCCTTGCATCCCCAGTAACTCGAGCATCCTATTATACAGTTAAGGAATATCATCCACAACTGGCAGGACCGCGATGCAATGACGATCCTTCGTAACATTCGCAAGGCCATGGGGCCAAACAGCCGAGTGTTAATTCGTAAGTTAGCTGTGGTTCAAAGGAGTATTTTCTGCAAAGCCAATACTTTGTGTGCTAGATGATTGCGTCCTCTTGCGCACAGTGCGGGAACCTGAATTTGGAACTGACGGGTTAAGCACCTGTAAGTTTCAGAGCGCAGCCTGCTGCCTAGCATATTTCTGAATTCACGATCCCAAGGCCCCTGAACCTATGTTACCGAACTTCGGGGCAGGCACTCACAGATCGTACCAAATGGACATGACGATGTGGCTTGTTCATAATTCCAAGGAACGAACCTTGGACGAGATGAAGATCCTTGGGCAAGTTCATCTTGATTTTTTTGCCGTGGTTGACGATGGCTGACTGGTGATAATTGGCAGGGCCTCTGTTGGCTTAGTACTCATCCAGGTTTATGATCTTGTAGAGACAATGCTCATGGAGTTCGGAATTTCTCAGAGCTGATTCCAGAGGCAAGTTCTTCGATACGCGATGTATATCATTGTTTGCCGCCATAATTTACGAAAGACGACGAGGTCAGACGACAAGCAAACTTGAAGTTAGTACATAGTAGAACAAAGTCCCCTCGCTCACGCCTAGTTATCAAATGACATTGATCATTTCATAAATCGTGCTCGGTGCTTCACTGAATATTAATGTTCCAAGGTCACTGAAGTAGTTTTGTATTTCATTTTGCGTTGGCAAGTAACTGCTAATCCTATGACTCAACTGTCAGTGCATGATGTTCTTCGACTTGTACTACGGACGTCCATCTTCACCAGTCTTCTTGCTAAGCCAAGTGGTAAGCATGGAGTCAAACCCGACGCAAGAATGTGATCGATCGATAAAACGTAATTTGCCAGACAAGTTGCGGACAAGAGTAGAGGAAATTAAACGCATGCATTTGGAGCCGGGGAGACTACCTCTATAAATCCGGTCAATACCCATCCCCAATAAGTACATACGACGAAGACCATGGCCACGCAGGGTACGCAAAGATGACAAAAAACGCGAAGGAATAGAAGGCGCACTCAAATGTGTGGCTGGAGGAGAGACAGGTAAAATTGCAGATGCGATTATGTACCTTAAATGATAAACAGGGGGAATAAATGTGTCTCTATAGTCTATGTCTAGAAATGCGATGTTGATGGTCCATCCTGTCGAGTTCGCTAGTCGTGAGTGTTCATGCTCAGCCTTCAGTCCCGGCTCACGTCCCTGCAAATATGTCGTGAGTCCATTGCTCTCATCAAACACACGAAGAAATGGAAAGAGTTTAGTCGAAAAAGGTATTTGGAAGTAGAAAGGGAAGACAAAAAAGGTCAGCACTCACCGTCCCCATAACTTCACCCTTACCCAGTCTCCAGCAACCAGGCTTCGATTTCGCAGGGAGAATAGAGTGCTCAGGTATGCACTCCGCCAGAACATGAACGTCGCAACACCTCCGCTCGTCCACTATAGCCCAGTCAATTTATATGTCCTACAGCCACGGAAGTAAAATAACATACCTCACGCCCGAAGATAGGCAGGTCAGCAATTGCCTTGTCCGAGCCGATGTAACTATAGATAATGCGTTAATACAAGGACCAAGTACAACAAGGAAACACGCACGCCAACGATCCTTGATGACTGTAATGGAAAGGCTTCAATTTGATCTTGTCTATCTGCCTCTTCAGTTTCTCTGCCCCTTCGCTGGTCTCAGCATGAGACAGGTCGGCCTCGAGTTTGTCTTTCTTCGCAAGCAACTTGAACACGCGCGAGAGGTATGAACCCTGCTGGCTTGCGACCTGGGCAGTTGGAGCGTAAGATGAGGTCGTACAATCACCGATAGCGAAGATATCGCGAGCTCCCTTCATGCGGAGGTGATCATCGAAGGTAATTCCGCGCTTATTCGTCTGATCTTCAGGGAGCTTCGCCATCAGATCCCGTGTTATTTGGCGACTAGTGTTGCCCTATGAGAAGACACATGAAAAGCGGAAACACCACAACGAGAACAGAACATACAGCAGCCCAGACAACCATCCCGCACGGCACCTCCCGTTCGACACCATCGGGACCCTTGAGAACAACGCTCTTCTCGTTGACCTTCCTCACCATAGTCTTCGTGAGGATTTCGATGTCGGACTCCTTGAACGTGCGCTCAGTATAGGCAATCAGCTCCTTGCTGAACGAGGGAAGAACATTGGGAAGAGCCTCGACCAGCGTGATGCGGATCCGTGAGGCAAGCTCTGGGTACCATGACTTGAGATCCTCCTTGAAAATGATAAATATAAGGTCAGGCGACAGGAAGTGAAAGAGGAGAAAAATGACACTCGTACCTCGAGGAAGTCACGAAGTTCACCACTAAGTTCAATACCCGTTGGTCCACCGCCTACCACAACCTGCCAAAACAATGAGCACATGTTTCTAAATGATGAAATTCACGTGGGAGAAATTCATCTATGTGGGCAGCAATTACAAGCATCAGAGTTCCCTCATAATGGAGAGGTCCACTTTCGAGAACACGAAACGCGGAGCAACAAGAGAGAAAAATCAGAGAATCGTCAAACGTACCATATGCAACAACCGGTCTTTCTCCTCATCACTTTGGCCTGGGAAAGCAGCACTCTCTACGCCTATAAAGTAGTCATGAGCCGTAGATCACTATTAATGAATGATGCGAAAACGCACAGTCCAAAAAACGTCTTTGCATCTGCAGTACATCATTATATTCAATAAGGTGGCAGAGACCAGAAGGAGGATAGGCGCACCTTCTCAGCATCATGCAGCTCTTTCATGAAGCATGCATGCTCCTTCACACCAGGAATACCAAATGTCTGCGTCTCGGCACCGACAGCATATACAAGATAATCGTACGGTATGGTCGTGCTGGATATTTGACCTTGGATCTCAGAGTCATCTGTGACAAATCGGCCCTTGTTATTCTCTGAAGGAATAGCAAGGGGTGGAAAACACACCTGAGAGCGTAACAGTTTTGTTAACCGGCTATTGCAAATAAAGCACTTTAATCTCTGCTGGTTAATATATGAGAAGAGACGTACGTCAACTTCCTTGGCCTCTGCTTCAATGACTAAAACCTGACGTTCTTTGTGTCGGGTCAGGTAGCGAGTAGCTGTATTTTTGTTATTGTTAATATCTGCAGCAGGCAAATGTGAAGGAACTCACGCTGGAGGATAGATCGTGCGTTCAGCGTACCAACTGCCACGGAGGGAAGGAGAGGCGTGAAGAGGAAGAAGTTCTTTGGGGAGACAACAATCTAGTGGATCAATATGCAATTAGTTTGTAAACACAGCACCATTGAACATGTGACATGCAGTGTTATAATCGCCGGTGTCAAGCCCTTTAAGGAGGCTCGTCGCTCCCCAACCGCTGCCTAAGATGACCAGAGTCTTCTTTGAGGGATCAAACGGGAGCTGTGGCCCCGGGTTTTTTTCCTTATGTGCGATGTAGTAGAAGGTTGCGGAAGCTGTATTTCAAAATTACATGGTTAAGGGAAGGTCAAGTGAATGAACGATCCACGATCAGTCAAAAATGTTGCTGGCTAGAACATAGCACTTGCCTCCGATCACTGTTACGAGTGTCACACGTCCCAGAGTCTGCAAAAAAGATCTCCATCTCCCTTGAGACGGCGGTGGTGGTGAAGTCTATTCATAACGAAGACTCAAGATATCAACAAGAAAGCTGGGCGCGAGAAACACACCTGTGACGCAGCGGCGCCCGTCGAGGCTACAGAACTTGATTGGGCTCTGGAAGTCGAAGCCGTCAAGAAGTGTTTTTGTGCATGCACGTGAGAGCGGACAAGCGACCTGCTCGTGGACATAAGACGGACTGTGCACCGAAATAACCCATTATAAAAAATCTGACTTGAAGTTTGATCAAAGCTTACCATGTCGTGCAGCCTGCATCGGATAGTTGTACAGTCGAGGAAGAAAATAGAGGTTCTGAAAAAAATAACGGCTGTATTGTATAAAGGCGAGTGACTCGGGGACGTTCTTGCCGGAAATTAGTTTGCAAATGACGATATTTGTCACGCCGACCAATATTAACTTCGCCCCCGGTTTGTCTCCGTTTCGGCGCCTAATGAAGTGCTTGACCTCCGAGATAACCCGAAGGGCGAGTCTTGGTTGAACATATATTTCAAAATTATCTAATATCCGAGCCAAGCCCGCAATGCGCATTCTGGAAATCACCTCACTTTTAATTGGTACATAAGACACGTTTTCCTAGACTGAATTTTCAAGTTGAACGACGCGGCAGTGACGGTTCCGGTTTACGGACTTCAGCGTTACACTCACCCAACGACCGCCTGGTTTCGAGACTAGTATGCCGCAATACTAGTCAACCAGCTGCATCGCATTAGTTGAACTAAGTCATAGGCTGTGGCAATAGCGCGGCTGGCCTTGTTCTTAGAAGGCCTGACCAATCGGAGGCATGGCGCCATGGGCCGCACCCCCTAATGAGTAGTAAACTCATCTCCATGGCTGCACTTTACCAGTACTCAAGTCAACTGGGGTGGCACCGGCCGGACAAACTAGAACATACTCCGGCGCGAATAAGCACATCGACACTTTGCGAACAATGTTCCCCCTAACACAGCTCTAGACTGGGCCTTCTCTTGAGTATGATAGGGATTCACTAAATCTTGGAGTCTAGCATCGGAAGTAGCTTGGACACCATAAAGGACAAAAGACTAGTAAGGATGATTTCAGAGCAGACCAGGTTCAAGTGACAAAAACCCACACTATTTAAAAACATAGCATTCCGCTCTCCACGCTGCGACGAGTTCCTCGGTTTTCTCCGTTAAGAGAAGTACTCTCAAAGAATTGAAAGGCGTCAATTTCCTCACGTTTCTCCCCGTCTAGCAGCAGGTGAGTAATTGAGGAGGGATTGATGTACGATGAGGCTGTTTCTCCCTGAAGCTGGAAAACAGCCTGACTCAACCGACCTCGTTGCGTTTATGAAAAGTCCGGAGCTGCGTCATAATACTACAGCGGTGAGTCTGACTACAGTGCCGCTAGTGATGATGCTCACAAAACGTTTTACGACGACTCCCGTCGTCAGTTGTACTGCAGCAAGAGATACTACTCAGAGTCTTAGGTGTGACTTTGACCGAAAGGAACACGCAATGTCTATTATTTATAGTCGTAATTCTCACCATAAGCCCAGTGAAACAACAAGTCTTATAAGTGCTCACCGGATGTACAGCATGCGTAACGTTTTTGTCACTGTTTTCAAGCATACACACAACACCCGCAACATTAACACTGCCAGACAGATGTATACAGCAACTGCTACATCACACTGGTATCTGGTATCATAACAATATATTTCTCGATTGATTGGATTACACCAGACTTGTCATAATGCTGACATCGTGTTGCCATCGTCGCACATCCTCTCGTCTTCGTCGTCTACCTCCGGTCGTCATCCATCCCGTTCAACATATACCGCAGTATGCCCTCCTCTTCATCCCTGTCCTCATCCGCCAATACCTGCCCTAACATATACCGCAGTAGAACGGGTCAGAAAGAGGCCAGCATCACTGGATTTGTCTCTTGAAAGCTCACCACCTTGCGTCATACTTCTGCCAAATCGCCCCACAGGAGTTCGTGCAGCCGAACATCATAGTCAACACTGGGCGTTTAATGCCATTTGATATCATCCAGATTTGGAAATACGGCTGCTAGCAAGAATGGGACAAGTGCTGTCACCACATGGGAGTGCCCGACATGCAGTTCTTAAAGAGCTATTTGGTTGAGCCAAAGGTCCGTATATCCGCCTGGCACATGAGGAGGCGTCGGCACTTGTGTGGCATCGAAATTCAAATGCAGGGTACACAACGAGGTGCATCGCGTGACGAACGATAGTATTGCGATGGAGGTGACCGCGGGAGTGTCGGTCTGATGTTCCGAAATGGATCTCAATACACGAATACCCGGCAAAGCAACCGCGGCATCCTCGATGAAAGGATCGTCAAGACAACAGTTTTCCAGGATGATGAAATCAACAAAAGTCAGCCTTCTGAACTCGAGTAGGGGTCGAAAACATCAGAAGGAAATGAGTGGAAGGCAGAGCCGCAACATAAATCGCGGCCAACACAGATGTGTTCCAGGTTGGTGAATGTTTGGTAACACGTCTCCGGGATAGTATGAAGGCAGTAACTTCTTCCGGTAAAGTAGGTGTACAGCAGAACTTCACCTTCAAGCACGCCAATCGTAGGGTAACAATTTGAAGAAGGAAGGACGTGCACAGTCGTAGGCTATCGCCACAGAGAATGAGTGCCAAGGCGTCCGAGGGCATCGGATGTCGAGCAACTGTTTCACTCAACACTTGTTGCGTTTGATTTCCCTCGGACTCCGAACGGCTGTGAAAGAGTTCTATGCCAGCTAGAGGTCCTAGCAGTGATTCTGTGCACCGATCTCGTCAAAGATCGACTCTTGAACCAAACGTTAACACCGGTCAGACCATCGCAAAATCGCTGCTGAAGAGAAAAAACAGATTTCAGTCAATAAAGATTTTGAACCGTTGCGAGCCAAATGCAAATCTAACCCACAATGACATTTCGTCACCAGCGGGATTTGCCAATAAATCTATAAAATTCTTGTCAATCAACTTCATCCATGACATCAAGCATAACCACAACCGTAAACATGTCATTAAAGATATGAGTCTAACTTCCTAACGTCCTACCATGTACGTACGTATAAAAAGGTCATAAAGGGTTTAGGGAAATGAGAGAAACAAAATAACATCACAGCACAGCGATGATGAAGCTAAGGTGGACTGGCGGAGTATACGAGGTAAAATGATAGCGAAATACGGAATGCGAAGTATTAGGAGGTGGAGCTAGACCGGGGGGCAAGGGGGAATAGGCGAATAGCTGAAGATAAATGCTTATCAAAGTCTCTTGTCACCCAAGCGTAAAATCAACAATATCAACCAACTCGCTCTCCTTCGTGAGCATCGTACATTGAGTACCCTTCCAAAATGGGTCCATCCGATAAGTACAGAGAGGCAGTAACTCTTTGTTTGTCCCACTCGCTATAGCCGATGTCCAGGAACAGCCCAGAAAAGGAGTGTGAGCGCTACGACGCAAATGGAGACAAGAGTCGCAACCCAGATGGCACGACCCAATAATAATTTCCTCACGTACGATTCGCGGATAGTGAGCGTGCGGAACGGTGTCGACTCCGACTGTCCAAGGAAAACGAGGATCGGGTCGAGTTCGTATTGATGTGAGATAAGGAATAAAATTGCGAATGCGAAAGGAATGAAGAGCTGCAGAGTAAATAATTTGTTAGACATTAGACTACACCAAACAGATGGGACGCACGAAAAATCGCTTTGATTTAGGTTGTACATCGAGAAATATCAGGGAGAAGCCGGCGGCAAGGCCGATCCACAGCACAATGAGACCGATAACGAGTCGGACTAATGCAGACACGGGAGTGAGGTTTCCAAACGCTTTGCTCCTCAGAAAACGTGGAAAAGCATCTTGCTCCATTGCCCTAAAGCAGTACTCCTTTTGGGCATGGAACATATCAGGAATATGTGCCATCATATTCAGGTCGCTCTGCGATTTCGGCTCTTGAGTGCTACTGAGAGGAAATGTGTGTATACGGAGGGCGGGAGGGAGGTAAATTTCGTGATTTTCCGGCGAATTTACGGTGCCAACGGGAGAGAGATACCGGAAGAAGATACGCTCGGCGGACGCGATGAGGTCCATACGACTAATTGCAGCAGAACGTGGGATGACCGTTGGCGCACGTGATGCACGTTTGAGATTGAAAAGGGCTGATGTCCGCCCTGAGAGGGAGAAAGGTGTCGTTGACCGTGGTGGATCAAGATCTGGACTATTCACAGCAGTGGGAGGGGATGGGATGTACTCCTTTTCATAACCAGGTGTTGTAGAACGCTGACCACCACGCTTCTCGTCAGCAGGGTGACCCATAGCATTTTTTTCCTGGTCGTTGATCATCTCGCTTGTGCTCGTCGTACTTCGCTTTACGGCATTGGGCTGAAGCCCAACGACTGTGCCGTATATTGACCCACGACGGCGTGCATATTCCCAGTACTGAGGCCAATCCTCTTTGATTGTCCGGCCTGACTTTCGGACATCTTTAAAATATGCCCTACAAAGGTTCTCGTGCTGCTGGACATCCAGCCAGAAGTCCAGGATATCTTCTGCACCTTCACGTTGGAGGAAGATACTTAATTTAACATGATATAAGAGACTGTTCAAATACTCAAGCAAGCATAAAAGCACTACTTACTAGAACATGAATAAATCCACGGGCGGTCGCGTCCTTCTAGAGAGGACTTCTGTGAAAGAGGGCAGCCTGTTCCTGCGGCTGTTGAGCCAGTCTTCTTGTTGTCTGTTCTGGTCGTCGTCCATAGTGGCGGGGAAGGGAGCTCACCAGGAACCTCTTGGCGTCGCAATCAGCAGCGAGGGTGGAATTGGCAGGCAAGACAACCAACAAGATATAATTCTCATGCCATTGCAACCATGCCTGTTTAGATTATTATGTAAGCGCCCGTTGAACCCGACCGTGCATCAAGAAAGCGTTGCAGAAACGTTGTTTGCCTTAACATTGGCTGTGACCTGATCTTATTCAATTCCTGCCATGTCCACGTTTGCAAAAACATTGTCTCCTGCTCTCCGCGAAATTCGCATCTTTTGCTGCCAGTCAAACCAAGCTTCGGCGGGCACGCGGTGAGTTCATGGTTTCTGAGTACAGGACAGTCACTCATATGCTCAATGATCACGTCTGCAGGCAATTCATCTTGTCCACATACCCAATCATCAAGAAACACAACCCAGACCTTCCCGTCATGATACGGGAGGCAAACGGCACACCCGCGCGGATGTTTGCACGATTTGGTGCGTGTAATGCTCGTGTCCTCGGACAAATTTATGCATGGCTGTATTAATTTGCGTTCCCGTAGAACGCGGAGTTGAGAAACACGTTGAGCTGGACGATCTCTCATCGTCAGATGTGGCTGCCAGTGTTGCTCGGATATTAAGCGTCTCATAGTCACTATGCTATAATCACTCCAGCGTTGTATCCAATTCAAACATTTATCTTGCCATTTTTTGTCTGACCCCTACTTAAAATGAAGTTCCGAGGTATGCGCAGGTATACATGCGACGCCTAGTTTAATTATGCAGGCTACTAATATTGTGCAGGCAGTTGCGACATTACTTGTCAGGCAGCCTGCAGGCCGCCTGCTCGGATATGAACGGGATCGCTGTATGTAAGACGCACCGACTTGGTGCTTATCTGAACGACTGACTTTGCAGATTGTTGGTAGTCTTGTATTAGTTTACAACCCAGTGAGTCCATATGAAATCCCAATAACCCGTAATCACATAACTAATGACCATCAAATTGTCCATAATAGTTTTCATACTACCCTCTACTTCCTCTCATCCCCCACAATGCCTTCGCCGTGCTCTCCAGCATGCTCCACACCAACTTCTCTGTCATGTTCTTTCTTGATATTTCGCAGCAACCAAAACTGATAAAGGAGAATAAGACATCCACATACGACTGCAACCGCAACTGTTACAATAATTGCTGACTCGCTTGTTGTGCTGTAGGTTCCATGCTGTACGCCGTAGATATTGGAAAGTACTGAGATGACACCAGCGAGCGAATTGAGTAAGCCAGGCCTACTCAGAAGTTCAATTCGTCAGTCAACTGGCGACACTATACTCCACTCACACAAAGATACGATTCACAATCCAAATATAATTTAATTGCCATCTCCACCACAACCAAATCATGCCGACGCCGCCAATACCGGTACAAATCCATGCGATGACATAACTATAGGCGTTTGGTGAACAACCCCAATTCCCGTAGTTTCACCATCACTCACAGTGGTATATTAGAAACTACATTCAACAGTTGTGCTTCCACACCGCTGAGTTGCTGCTGTTGCAGGGACGTAAATGTTCCGGGGAATAAAACAAATCCTGCAAGTAGGATCCACGTGAAGAAAGATGCCATCATGTTGAACATTTGCGGGATATCATCAAGTGCCAAAAGCATATTTATATAGCGAGTCTGGATATGTCCGGCAGGCATATTTGGCAGCGGCGGGCGCTGCGTCGTGTGGTGAAGCAGTTCTGCGGGAATAACAGGGGGTGGCTCAGGATGAGCCTCTTGTTTTCTTGGTGCCAGTTGAGCAGCAGGGACTGTGCGGCCGTGAGGCCGCGACCGGCTGCTGGATGGGCCTGGGTTGAGCGAAGGGTGATCCGAAGGAGAGGACATGTCAGAAGATGATGCATTCCGATGACTGAGTGCAGCAGCTGCTAACTGGTTCTTGGGAGGTGTACCATTGAGAGAGGTGCGTGATCCGTTCGGAGTGACGGAACTACCATGACCATACATAGGCTGGGTGACATTTGACGCGTATCTGTGCGATGCTGCACTTGGAGGGCGCGAATGAGAACGAGAACGATGGTGTGTACTATGATGAGAGCCGTTATGACTGTGATAAATGCTATTTTGCTGCATGCCACGATGTGCATTCTGTGTGCCTGGGTGTGCTCCCGGACGTGTATTCTGGGCTGCATTCACACCCTGATTCACACCCTGTCGGACGCTGTGACTGGATCCCTGATGTTCCGTCCCATGGAAGTATGGATGCTGATAAGCCGAAGTAAAGGGTGGGGAATTTGGCTGGGGAACAGGGAAGCTTGGGGCATAGGACGGGGCGATCTGTGGTGTGGGTATCGCTGGAGGGGTGTTGAGTGCCGTTCTAGGCGGCTGGGGTACGTCTCGTATCAGGGGGGTTTGAGATAAGTTGCTCTGCCTGGAAGGGCTCCGATGATGTGACGGTGAGATAGGACCCGGAGATATTGGATTGGCAGGGTTCGTCAAGGAGTGCACCTCCATCTGTGCAAGCAGAGACCCTGGTGAGGGGACAAATGGGTCCCCCACGCGTTCTACGGAGGAGTTTCGTGAGGGAGTCCGGTGGGGGCATTCATAGGCTCTGTTGTCCTACGCGCTGGTGCAGGCCACGCCGTTTTGAACGGCGGTGCCACGGATGGGTGCCCGGGGTCACTTGAAGTCCTTGATCGCTGTCGTCTGTGCCCAGGTGCGCGCTGGCCTGAAGAATACATCGTCCGGGACATGATGTTCGTTAATCAAGAGGGAATAACGGAGGTTTAGGACAAAGAAGGAATCCGGACAATATTGGCTGCGGCCTTCCGGTTATCTTTGTCTCATCACACGTGTTAAATACTTATCCAGGGCACAAGAAATATCGATGGAGGTGCATATTTCTATGTAGAAATCGTCGAAGTCAGCATCGCGAGGAACTTTTTGATTGAAAGCTGTTGCCGTTACGAGAATTCCAGAACTCTTTCCACAGGCTGCACAGCAAGATCCAGCCAGATATTTGATATATCACGGGGCCGGGCCGCTGTCGACCGGAAAGTGGGAGCTAGCACATAGGCGCGGTGACCAGCCCGTCTATGCATGAGGCAAGCCATCGATAGACGCTCGGACTATTAGTAGGATCAGGAGCAGATTCTCAGGGTAATGTGACGTGATGGATATTTAAGTCCATATCAGAGCCACGTGAACCTTTGCTATTAGAGGCCTAACAAGTCTGCAATGTATTGCTGAGTTTTGATCGACGACGATGTGACATTGCGCTGTTCGACGTTAAACGTTAACGTTTCAACGTTCATTTCTATCGCTTTATTCTGCTTTCTGCAGCAGCTTAGTGTTATGGGAAGAAATGGTAGAACTTGGCAGAGCCGTGTTCTGCCAGCGTGGCAGGTGACAGAATTAACGAAAAAATTTGACGGCACTCCAAGTGAGTGTGCTACATTGATGTTCTCTTCTGATAATATAAAAGCAAGGCTGTAGTAGAGCGAGCTTCGTGACCTCAGTACGGGATCGTGAACATATATGTGACTTGCAGAGTCTCGGATGCCCTGGAGTTGGTATGCTATTTGTAGGACAAAGTAGGACGTAATTCAGCTTTATGTCACAATGAATAAGGTGCACGCGTTTCCGAATCAATGCCGAAAGCTGGCACGCAGAAGGTTAGGCTTATATCTGAACAATACAGTGAAAAACATTCACCATTTGTACAGCCAGCTGAGGAACGATCCTGTTTCGCACTTCCTCAGCTTGTCCGCAGATATCACCTATGTTCGGCTCTCGTATCTCCGTTGGGAGATATTCGAAATATTCGAATCGCCCGACGGAGGGATGGCTAGATGGCCACACAAAGTTCGAATTTGAAGGACGCGGGCTTCATGTCGCAATATTGTACGTTTGAGCCGCAGCGATGCACGGGATTTATTTACGGCTAGTACCACTTGACCAGTTATCTTGTCTTGGACCTGGAAAACTCGGGCCTGTGATATGAAGCAAACATTAAGTTCAATGACAGGAATGTGTGAAAATTGGAGTACGCACAAAGGCGCCCATTCCAATGCGCGAACCAAGCACTGGGCCGGGCCTTCAGGATTTAGCTGAACTATGGTCCTTGAAGATGTTTCCTGGAATAATCAGTGATGCGAGGACAGGATAGTTCTGTCTAGTGTCCATGTGAAAACCTTAAAAGTTTAAAGTATGAGTCGCAAATATTAGTGATCATGACGTTCACTGTATGGGGGATATCCTATCATACACATCAAATTCGCAACAGGCATAGCGGTACACAGAAAGCTACCACGTGGCTAGAGTCATCCCATGAGCTTGGATGTTTGTCACATACATCGCCGTTTCCTCCAAAATAACGAGACCAGACTTCGTGAAGATCAGCTCAGCTGTAGTGCTGTTTAGGTAGAACTTTCCAATGAGTGTGCCTTCGCCATTCCAGACATTAATACCATCCCCGCAACCGGAATAAACGTTACCCTTGGTATCAAGCTGAATGCCATCCGGTGCACCGGAGTCAATGTAGGCGAACACTCTACGATTCGTGAACGACTGCGTCGTTGGGTCAATGTCGAACTGATAGCTTTAGAGTTTGCTTTGAGTATCTAATCACCATCACGCTGGGCAGGAAAACTCACATTGTGGCTGGAAAGGTCTGGTTCGTTCCGAGGAAGCCTCCAAGAACACCCGTGTCGGTGCTAATGCATTATCCTAGGATTGATCCACAGATGTGAGAAAAAACCCAAACTTACATGAATGCAGTTTTGCCATTGGGTGCGAATGCAATACCATTCGGATGTACAAACTGGTCAGCGACAACTCTGACCTGCCCAGTGGATGGATCAAAGCGGTATACTTGTGATGGTAACATTGGTTCAGGACGGAAACCATTAAGCCACCCGTAGCTGAAGAAGCCATTAGCATTGTAGATATGATGATCTCATCGATTGCTCACGCGGGATCGGTGAAGAACATAATGTTCGTGCCAGGGAGGATTTTGATATCATTGAGCGAGTTGAACTGCCTGCCTAAGAAGTTGTCCAGGATAACAGTGGTATTGTAGGGAGGGTTGGGATTGACGCGAACAATAGAAGGAGGAAGCAAAGCACGACCTGAGGTGACGAACAGAAGGTCTCCCTTGTATGGGCCTGTTCCCCCGTTGACCATTTGGACATTATCGGAGAGGTTGAGCTGAAAGTCATGACGGTTAAGCATCAACGACCAAGCGGAGCGACCCACTGTTTGAACCTGAATATTGACATCTCCAGCCGTAGAAGCCAGCGCCTGTGTCGACTTCTGTCATGTTGATCATACCAACAACGCTGTTGTTATGCCAGCCACTGTACCCAAGTGCACCACCGGCATTGCTTGCAAAGAAGACCAAGTTGAGGTCTTCAACATAGATGGGTGCCTCATGGGCAAAAGCAAAGTCAGGGTTCGAAGCAATTTTACGAATGGTGGCAGATGGTCCTGTGACATCGAGGAACGAGCGGTCAAAGACCTGAATGAATGGGGGTGCAGTGTTGGTGGGGTTAAAGCCAATAGCGGAAGAGTTGCGCCATTTTGTGTAGTTTGCTCCTACAACATTATATAGTAGGGGGTCGATGTACTGCGAGGCAGACGTTCAGATGTAACACTGCAGAATTGCAATTGTCAACGCACAACTGCTCCAGGCGGCGACACTGTCATGTACGACGCGACTGTGACAGCAAGGATGACAGCCAGAATCACACCCACTGCTGACCTTATCATTGTTGATTCAGATGAGCTACTCCCCAAGTCTTGTTTCCTGATTTCAGCAATGATTGACGGTCCCACTTTGACTAGTATGATAGTCTTGATAGTAATGCTAGGATTAACGGTCCACCGTTATCACCTAGAGCTTTTTCAGGGTCGCTCGACAGCACACGATGATAAGTTCATTTTGAAATTTCAAGGATAGTACGGTAGTAGGCCGGCCGGTCGAAGTCAGTCTAGGCTGACCGATGATCTTTTCGATCCCAGCAGAGCATTACGTACTGCATGGCGGGAGATTGAGAAGAGTTGTTCCTAGTTAGGAACAACTTTTAGTCTCCCCTAGACAGCCCTTTAAAGCTTTATAGACGAAGGAAGATAGTCGCAACTCGTTCCTTCTGAGCATCAACATGAATCGACTGCTCAATGCCCATTGCCGGCGCGTCTGCATCGCATGATCATTATCAGTCTCGACCTCCTCGGTTCCCAAGGAAAGGCCGACAGTCAGACTCATTACATGATTCGATACACGAGGAATCAGGATAGACGCTGGTATGTAGTATCCTGTGCAGTTTCCTACCCTCGACGATTCAGAGTGGCTTGGCTCTCGAGGCAAGGGAAGAGCGCATTTGATGACTGATACTACCCACTTCTAGCGTCACTCGGGGGTGACTCATGCGCTGAAAACGTTAGACAAGTGGTCGAAGGTAAGAAGGTGCATATTAAGGAATCATGTTGTGTGTTTCTGACCTCAACACAGAATGATTCGTACGTCGAGAAATACTGCAACCCTCACCTGAAATAACAATTAGTAGTGTAAGTCCTTCAACCATTAAACTTGTTTTGCAGGAGCACTTATCAAGCTGGCATAAAGCTTGCTGACGCTCATCCTGCGCCCAAAATATCCATCCTTCATTCCGCTAATTCCCTCGTTCGAATCTTGGCAATGCTGAAACCTTTGGAAAGGCCGGTAGATCGTCAGTGCTCAGGGAGATACCACGCTATTTTTCGGATCTGCAGTCAAGCACAGCGTGGTACTCAACCACGCCGATGGAAAGCTGCAAAGCTTGTCGTACACTGTGCAGCTGTCGCTCAGTTTACCATCGGTCCAGAAACTCGGACAGGACGGTCGACATGCTTTGTCCATCATCGGGATCTCAACGAGGCCCTGGCTATGCGTCTATTACCATCTCTCCCGTAAATCCAAATCATATATGATGGTTTATGCAGACAATCTCTTATTCATCATCCAGACACCTTTGCCAAGATGCTCGCGCCAGTTCGACATTACGTGCAGGATCGGTTGACACCACTTGCTTGCGAGAGATACGCGACTACTGGCGCATTGTCTGTTCAGATTTGATACTTATATTGCGGTAACATGGGAGTGCCTCCTCGGCATTTGTACAGTTGTGTACCATTCGATACTCTCAAGCTCAGGCCGGAGAAAGTTGAAGGATGGGCATTAATTTTTGAAGGTCAGTCACCATCAACGAATCTGAACTCCTGATATGCGGAAGCCTGTTTCTTGCAATATATGCCGAGCAGTTTCGTGATCAACGGCTAGATCTGATATCCATGTCACGACACGTACACGAACCAGAGATCTATGTGCCAGTGTCAAGAGGTGCCGGGATTGAAATTGACATGAAACGCGTCCTAGACACTGCCGAACTCTCACAGTTTAGCTTGTCTGGGGACTCTGGGCAATGAACAACTACTTTAGCCATCTTGTGCCCTTTCACGTAGGGATGTATACTGCTTCTCTTGCTGACTCGACACTCTAACAGGGTTTGAGATCCATCATATGCAGGGCGCGCGTTAACTTCTCTCAGACTGAACATGGAACCATGATAGATTGTGCCATGCTATGTAGATAGTTGTATGCAACATGTTACTAAGGGCGGTTACGCAGCGAATCTACAATGTGGCAAGATTCAATCCCTGAGCTTGGATATCTACCAGATACATCGTCTCCTCGTCCAAAATAACAAGACCGGACTCCGTGAAGATCATCTCAGCCGTGGTGCTGTTAAGATAGAACTTCCCAATGAGCGTCCCTTCAGCATTCCAGACGTGGGTACCCTCGCCGCTACCTGAATAAACGTTTCCCATTGTATCCAGCTGAATGCCATCGGGAACACCGGAATCAGAGTAGGCGAACACTCTGCGGTTCTTGAACGTCTGCGTCTGTGGATCAACGTCGTACTGGTAGCTATATGTTTTACTTTAGAATCTCATTCCAATCATGATTGATGTAAAAAAAACTTACATCGTGGCCGGGAGGGTCTGATTCGTTCCAAGAAAGCCTCCAGAAATACCACTGTCTATGCTGATACGTCATCGTCACTTTAGCCGTGGATGAAAGGCGATACAAGTACTGAAAACTTACACGTATACACTTTCGCCGTCGGGGGTGAATGCGATACCATTCGGATGCACAAACTGGTCGGCGACAACTCTGACCTGCCCAGTGGATGGATCAAAGCGGTATACCTGCGATGGTAGCATTGGTTCAGGACGGAAGCCGTTAAGCCACCCATAGCTGGGAAAACCAGTGTTATTATAGTAAATATTGTAAACGTTATTTTCCAATGATCTACTTACGTCGGATCAGTGAAGAACATGATGTCCGTGCCAGGGAGAATTTTGATATCATTAAGCGAGTTAAACTGTCTGCCCAAGAAGTTGTCCAGAAGAACGGTGGCATTGTAGGGAGGGCTGGGATTGACGCGCACAATCGAAGGAGGAAGCAAAGCGCGACCCGAGGTGACGAACAAAAGATCTCCTTTGTATGGACCTGTGCCCCCGTTTACCATTTGGACAGTGTCCGGAAGGTTGAGCTAAGAGTCAAGATATTCGAGATCAACAATATGTGCCTAACTCAGCGGAACAAACCCACTGTTTGAATCTGTATATTGACATCTCCCGTTGTAGAAGCCAGCGCCATGTCGACTTCTGTCATGTTGATCATGCTAACGACGCTGTTGTTATACCAGCCGTTGTACCCGAGTGGACCACCATCGTTGCTCGAAAAGAAGACTACGTTGAGGTCTGGGATGTAGATGGGTGCTTCATGAGCAAAAGCAAATCCAGGATTCGAAGCAATTGAGCGAATGGTGGCGGATGGTCCGGTGACATTGAGGAACGAAGGGTCAAAGACCTGAATGAATGGGGGTGCAGTGTTGGTGGGGTTAAAGCCAACAGTGGACAAGTTGCGCCATTCCGTGTAGTTGGCTCCTACAACATTGTACACCAGAGGATTAATGTACTGTAAGGGACGTTAGGTACAGCATTGCAGAATCACGATTTTTGACATACCACTGCTCCAGGAGGCACTGTAAGGTCAGAATTACTCGACGAGGCTTTCGCGCACGACACAAGAGCTAGGTGACGGTCAAAATCACACCCGCTGTTGATGCTGTCATCTTTGATTAAGATGTATTTCCCCTATTTCCAGTTTTCAGAGACAGTCAGTGGTTGCACTCTACTGTCAGCTAGAACGTCACAAGTTGCAGAGGGTCCACGGCAAGTGGGGCTCAGAAGTCACCCTTGTTGCATATAGAGCTTTTATTATTCAACAGAGCACGGTCGCAGATTTGTCGGCGTTTCGCGGATGGCCGATCAAGACAGTCATTCGGTCACGGAGAGCTGTCCAAAGGTCGCATGACCGTCAGTCGTGTGGATGAGGACGAAGAAGAAGACGCAGGACAACCGTACTTAAAGACATTCTTGACACCGACTTGGGAACACCAGAGGTAACGGGCCGCGAACTTCCGGATCACATGGCCTTGAAGTGACGAAACAAGTAAAAGCGTTCTCTGAACCAATTCGGAGGCGTAAGAATCTGGCAACCCTTGGACTACCTTAACTTCAAGATGCGCAAGGGATCGTGTCTTCAGCCACAATTAATTCTGAGTTTGTGTGGGTAATCAATCATCTGCCATGTCACGACGTTTCGTGATTGCTCACGCGTCACATGTCATCGGATGAGAGTACTCGTGGTAGACGCTAGTACTCAGGCTGATAACAGCGTTATGGTCATTGCACATAGTTGTCTTCGTACGAGCGAGAGACCACCGATGCTCATCACCATAACGTTCAAACTCCAGACAGGACCGATTAAAGCACACCTTGAGCACAGGTCCGACGTCAAGTGATCTCCTGCAGGATCATTCTATGACACCTGTGTGAATATGAAGGGATCTTTCAACGAGTGCGGACTCGTCAGAACATTCAATCTTCCCAGAGCTATGATAGGCTGTTCAACTTCAGTACTCAGTACTCAGCTCCTGGGCCTGAACTCGGACTTGACTGAGCCGCTCACCTCGTTGCAAAAAAGGGTACCAAGCTATACTATAGGCGGGCAGGCAAATGAATGAAGGTCATTCTTGGCCAATAGTGGGATCCAACTTGAATAAGTCTTCGACAAATTGCGTACAACCTGAATTCGAAGTGGCCTATTCAAATTGTAAGAATTGAAACGTTCGATCGGGTAGTACCTGTCCGGCGGGACTTTCAAGAAGTTCCAACTCCCGGAATTAACGATTTCCTTCAGGCGCATGACGTTCTTCTGATGCTGTCCTACAAACGTTTATGCATTCCAGTGTCCAAACACCATCCTCCCTGATAATTTGTAACCTGCTAGTGATCCTATGCACACCGTGTACTTAATCGCAAAATAGATGATCCAGAAAGTGACGACTATACCACTCCAACTCTAGTTACCCTAACTTCACAACGGCTTACAACCCCGTGACGTCGCCCTAACGCGGCATTTGACCACCACCGATCTTGGCGAATTCCGCTGGACAGCCACCTCTGAGGAAATTGTTGCATATGCTGTATACATATATGAAAGCTGGGTTGCATTCAACGTGACCCATCACATTGTCGTACTTTGGCGTTTGGTATCGACCTGACTTTGCGCAAACAACGGGGGGAGTCAAGAAGGAGTCCAGGACAGTCCTTGATTTGGACGGAATGTGTTTGCCACGTGACCTGTCACGCTCAATCATGTCTGCGCACGTCCTGAACAATAAGTATGGGAGAGGATTGTCGCCTAGCATTTCAGCAACAGAAGACAATTGCGGAAATAGCTCAACTTGCTGGTGCAGTTGGCGAAATGTCTACAAAATTTTCAAATTCCACCGAGATTGCGGACAGACAAGAAATCCATTTATGGCAGGCCTCCGACAGGACCTCTCATGTACCATCACATCCATTCTTGATGCGAACCCATCCCTATTCCTCTGCGAAGTTCGAGAGCAGCTGCTTGAAGCACGGAATGTTGAAGTCTCGATTGCCACACTCGCGCAGCCTTCGTCGACTCGCAATCGTGCATCGAAGGTAGTGGCAGAATAAAACAAGTTGCTGCGTGCGCAACTCAGTGCACTGCATCATCCAGGATGATAGCAGGAGCTAATCAACAAGTGTGAGGATCGGGGGTGATTTTTTTTCGCAAGGATTGTACAAGACAATAAGCTCTGTTCGAGCCTCTACACGTGCATTGAGAGAAATTGGTATGATCGGCTTTGTCAGCTGGTCGAGACATAGTTCATCTAGATTCTAAATAGCGAAAAACCTGTGGGGCGGGGAAGCCATCAATTGAGTCTGTGCAACTTGAATATTGACCCCACCAATGAAGCCGGAACTACACTCCAATTAAGAGCCTGGTGCTCGATATTGACTGCATTAGAATCCTAAGAATGAAGACTAAGTATCAACTCAGGGGGGGACAAACTGAACACATACACTGGTATTGTTGCCCGACCCGGGGCTTGTTGTCCGATCGATAGAACTTCACGCAGCGTGCCAAGCGCCGGCTGTTGTACGTTTTACCCACCAAATACACACATACAAACAACGTTTAAGCATCCGAATCAAGGACTGAACGTTTTTATGCAACGTACTGCAGTATGTAAGAAGTGAGACAATTTGGTCAATCACGCGGCATTTACGAATTCAGGGTATGTAGCTCCATGGCGCTTTCCGACATGGCATTAGAATTTGAATATCTTGCTCTTTGCCAAACGTCATCTCCGAGACTGACAGGGACACTAGGCTCTGCGCAAGCAATGGTAGCCAATTATGGTTTGTTCATTCCGACGCGACCGGGATGGAAGAATATCTCAGCCCCGAGGCCTAGATACTCCGTGACGAAAGCATGGCGCGAGCCCATCTGGTGGAAACCTGTGCGTGAGTGCCCATTTGCAAGGCTGTTGTGAAGGTAATTTAGATGAGTCTCATTGTCTCGGGTCAAATATCGGCAATGACAGCCCGGATCAGGTTCATGGAAAATAAGACTCTAAGGGTTTCACAAGGTTTACTGCCTTTGTCTTCCACGATTCGAACTATGCTCTACACAGGCTCTTTTCACGCGACATTCATCCGAATTTCAACTGCCCGATCAGCTCACCCATGCCATGTCTCAGCGGCACATATAATACGGAGGAAAAATCTTGTGGACTAACTTGTTTCACTGTCGCATGGTGATACATAGTAAGCCTGGTAACGAGTGCAACATCCTTCTGTTCTTCTTGGTCGTGTCTTCTTCTATCGGCAATTTCTGGTGGTGACAACTGCGGCTTAACATGCAGTTCATTAAGACCTTGACGCAAGGTTTTCCAACCATTACTGGCATACGATGGTTCAATCTTTCTGTCCTTGTTATCACACCGGCCCTCTCCCTATACGGCTTGCTATATGTTCCTATCCTTCGGAAGACTGTCGTTGGCACTATCCTCTATTACATTTATTCCATGCTTGGTAGGTACTCGGCAAAAGGCATTTCTTCTGATCGCTGAATCTACTTCACTAGGTATTACTGCTGGTGAGTGGTGAGGGTGCCTGGAACGAGATAGTATTAGAACGCATCGCTCCAGGATACCACCGGCTTTGGTCGCACAGATCATATAATGCCTCGTTCCCATTACAGGTATTCCTTATCCTTGCGGGAGCGAGTGCAGTACAAGGCTCGTGTTACTGGTGGGCACGCCGACACCGTTCTCACCACAGACATACCGACACGGACTTTGACCCTTACAACTCTGAACGTGGCCTCCTCTGGACACACATCGGATGGATCATTTTCGAGTCAGACTTGAAAACTGGGCCAGCTGATATTTCTGACTTGCGTAAGGACCCTCTCGTACAATGGCAGCACCGATGGTACTTTGTCATCCTGACTATTTTCGGCTATTTGCTTCCAATGGTCATTCCTGGCTTGTTGTGGGGTGACTGGAAAGGCGGGTTCTTTTTCGTTGGTGCCCTTCGCATGACTGCGTGCCATCATGTGAGTTTCATGTTGTTCATCAAAGCCAAAGTTTAACCTTTGTCTCAGAGCACTTTTTGCATCAACTCTATCGCTCATTATCTCGGCAGCACGCCGTACGACGATAAGCACTCGCCGCGCGACCACCTTATATCTGCTATCCTTACGATGGGGGAAGGGTACCATAATTTCCACCATCAATTTCCCATGGACTACAGGTAGCAGTTGACATCCATTGTGTCGTTCCCAGTTTTATTTACGAGTCCGGCCTTTCCACCAGGAATGCATTCCGATGGTACCAGTATGACCCTACCAAGTGGTTCATCGCTGTGTGCCATTGCCTCGGGTTCGCCTCCCATCTCCGTGTTTTCCCTAGCAACGAAATTGAAAAGAGCGCACTCACGATGAAACTCAAGACTCTCAAGGATGTTCAGGACTCGATTGAATGGCCTGTGCCCCCGCAGCAATTGCCCGTGGTAACGTGGGAGACATGTGAGCAAACGCTACCTTGCACACAATTTTTTACTGAAAAATTACAAACTTTCTGCCGATAGTCCAGGAAGAGTCCCAGACGCGTACTCTTCTCCTCATCTCAGGTTTTATTCACGACGCATCCTTTTTCCTCGATAGCCATCCAGGAGGACCCGCTCTGCTCACACGAAACTCTGGGAATGACATGACAGCCTCCTTTTTCGGTGGGATTTATGCCCACTCTCACGCAGCGCATAACGTGCGTACCATACTTCTGTTCGCTTATCCAACAATGCTGATGATTGACTCTGATCCTCGTCGGTCGTTGTGAACACATAGCTCCTTGCGATGATGCGTGTGGGCATCCTTGCGGGTGGTGTAGAAGCGCCAGCAGAGCATGCCATCCCACCCAGTCAGCAACTTGTGATCTGTACTAATACCTCTCGTTAATAACACAGCTGCTTGACCCAACTGTCTCGCGTGTGTCCGGTTCGTTAGACAATCCACCTGTGTATTAATGCTTCATTCCAAAAACTACGAGTATCTATAGCGTAAATATACAAAATTGTAGCTTCTATCACAGTTTTCGACCCACTAGATCATCCCATATTCTCTTACACTTCGTTACTTTACGCCCCTCGCCTTCTTCCATTTTGTATGTAGTCTCGGTTGCCTGGCGACCCACACACTCGGCCAAGGGACGTTCCATTTATGTGCGTTGTATTTAAAATGGTATAACTTCCCAACTTGCTGATAATCAGCCTGTGATTTGAATTATTATAATCACAAGAGGGATAGAGATTGCTGGTCTGATGCTGAATACCATTTAATTGCGATCGCATTGTGTCACGAACGCCTACAACCATTTAATAGTGTCACTCAGTGTGCTTCATTACATCATTGCAACGGTGTGACGTCATTGCCCGTGTTGTACGCACGCAGAACGCGTCTCATTGACGCTCGCTGTGTTATGTAAAGTGAGATCCGCGTATACGCCACCAATTTACACTAACTAACCTTGGAGGTGCATCGATCGCGTAATGAATGCTGCCTCGTGTCGACCAGTTTAAATCTGCGCAAACTTGTCAATTGACTTCCATCTTGGTTTAAACTTTGGCCTTCATCCCACCGCACGTCAACTAATTGAAGCCTTCCAAGTTCCTGCTTGAAACATGTCGGAACCGACAGCAACGCAGCTCAAGGACGAGGGCAATGAGTTATTTAGGAAGCAAGACTACGTCGGGGCATTGGCAAAATACACCGAGGCTATTGCCCTGGATGACAAGAGCGCTGTTCTATATGCGAACCGTGCTGCTTGCAATCATGGGTTGAATAGGTGAGGCACAGTTATACTTTAACATCGAGCTGCGATAAAAATAACTGACCCCGATCTTTAAATAGAAACTTAGATGCTGTCGACGACGCGAAGATGGTACTGATGGGCCAGTATCATATACATGGAAAATATTTTAATGCGTATTAGGCTACAGTAATTGACCCAGGCTATGCCAAAGGGTGGTCACGATTGGCAGCATCTCGAGACGTAAGTCCTTGCGCGCTTCCTTCTCGCCTGATCTGACACCATGCTTAGGCCCTCGCGGACTGGGAGCGGAGTGCTGAAGCGTGGCAGAAGGCATTGGATGCACTCCCCAAAACTAACCTCAGTCCTGCGGAGCAGCGGCAGAAAGATCAGTATAGTGCCGGTCTGGATGCAGCCCAAGCGCGTGGCAAGGTCCCGAGGGACCCACATTTCATTCGTTTCAAGGCCGGCGATGGCAACCTCCCTTGGCAAATCGCGACGGGGATGCTTCCTGAACTCCGGCAAGCGGGTCCCGAAAAATACTCTAGTAGTGTGGGTTTCACTTGTAATGTTGCATACCATCTCTAAACGGTGGTGCCTTTCATGTAGGCTTGGGTGATCTCACATGCATACGAGGTATGTTTGTGCCTTTCTGTCTAATAGGGGCCTATTAACATGTACCAGGATTTCACGAAAGGGGTAGGATTTATGAATGAATTGAAATCGGTACCTCATTCTCAAGCTCCAGGAGGAATTGCCTACGGTGGAAGTCTGATGGTGAGTTCAAGCCGCTTTCTTCGGCTTGCGATGTCATGATACATAACACGCATAGGCCTTGACGTATTTGACCAATGGTTTGACGCGTGACGAGCGCGCGTTCTGTTTCAATCAACCCGACTGGATCACCAAGTACAACAAACAAGGCAATCTTATTCTAGCATTGCATGAGGAATCACACTGACCAAGGTTCAGTTACATTCGAAGCTACGGCTCGCCGAGCCTGGCACTCCGACGGGCCCGAAACTATCAAGGAGCTAGCACAGAAACGCCTGAAGGAAAAGGGCTGGAATGACGTGCGCCCCGCTTTGTCAGTGACTGTTCGGTGCGTCGTATGAGTTTCGTGCTGTAATATTTATCGATCATCCCGTGCAGTGCATGGATAATGAGAAGCATGTTGGAAAGCCATTTGAAAGAGGGACCTGCAGTCGGCCTTCAGTTTTTGACACGAGCTGTTGACTTGCTTGAATGGGGACGAAACGTTTGGAAGAATGTTGCCAATGAAGATCGTGGAAAGATTTTCCAGGATACGTTTTTGCGAAGCGTGCGTAGCATGCACCTCAAGATGTTTATGGACGTGCGTTGCAAGTCATGTTTCTTTGGGTGCTGGTTTACTCGTATGACAGGCATACGTCACCGACCCTGGCTTGAACTCCAAGTTTCCCCTTGAACATCTGAAGGAAGAAGCTGAAGACCTCCTCAAAGAGATTGACATAGCATCAAAGAGCCCTAGTAAGGAGGAAGTTGACCCTGGCTTTGTATCGTCTTTTTGTATCTATCCTGCTGGAATTGCTCATTCGTATGTCTTTGTCTGTTTCCCTTGCTTCCTGTCCTTCTCATGGTCGCCTTGCTTTCAGGATGATAGGATTCTATCATGCACAGACAGCTCGGTACAGCGACGACCTTTTCGCGTGTATTGGCTTTGCGAATGGGGCAAAGGATTACATGCAGGCAGCTAAAACATACTCCGAGGATGACGAATACCGCGCATGTAAGTGACCAACACAGACTCGTGCACGCATCTTACGAGTGTTCCCCAGTTTACTTGTGCTGCGCTATGGATTGTATGCGAAATGCCGGTGTCTCTATTCGCGACTTCAATAAAGTTGCCATTGAATTACGGGGAGCCGTGCCTAAGATGATGAAGATATGGGCGGTCTCTGCTCTACAGCAAGGTGGACGAGACGATAAAATACAAGCAAACTTGCGCATTGCAGATGATCTGATGAAGCTTGTCGCCGAAGGAAAGTTGACGATGGAAGATCCTGTACCTTTGTGATCGTTAGGATTAATACATTCTTATACATACCACACTCGTGTAATCATATGCCCTTGTACTTTACATAACCATCCATATATGTACCTTTCACGGAAGAGACGGGTGGAAGGGTGTTCGGGCGATTGTTAGCACTTTCACATCGCCTTGACAAGTTCTTCTCAATTTATAGATCGCCGAGTGATCTGCCAGCAACTTTTTGGAGCATCTGTGTCGAGCGCTCTTAAATCATAACCGCAATTGGATTCCACTCCACGTTTCCATCTACAATCATCCATTCCTTTCCTCTATGTGGAACTCGGGTATGCTATTATCAGGGTGTCGGTCCTCCAGGGCAGTTGGTAGCAAGCTGAGCCGAGTGTGTTGCCATCAAGATGAGGCGTGCAGCATAAAGCGCTATGGAGTCTGGTGACTTTTCACGCAGGTGAGCAGGAGGCAAGGGCTTGCTGTTATGAAGTAGGAGAGCTCCAAGAGGAGAGGCATTGTGGGGGAGGGAAACTAGCCTGTCCATGACTGGTTACTAGGGTAACTGTAGCGACGGCCAAATCGGCAGCATGAACCACGAGGACGGCAACGTTTTCTTTGATGTATGAGTGGCGGGAAGAGAGAGTCAAAATCAAGGTAGGAACAAGAGGAGCTCGTGGATTGCTTCTATAGTATGTGTATCATTGATGAGACACGACTTGAACAAATGGTAGTAATATCTAGACTTACGGAACCACAGGTCCCGTGACAGCGCGGTGTGACATGCGCGTCTAGTGGTGTGACATGATGTGACGACTGTCCTAATGACCCCAATCTTGACTCTTGAGTTCGTTTCCTCGATATGATAGACGCCCTGGCAGGTTATGTTGTTAAGCCCTGCAGTCATGGCAAGGAAATAATGAGTCGAGCACCAAATATACTACGGCAAGGCTTTGATCAGTCCTCTGAGGTTCTAGGTGTTCTGACCGCTCACTCTTTCTCTTTCAGATGGGCGTGCTCACTAGCATGCTTTTTCAGTAAGCCATCTGCATCAGGGACATCTCAGATTGAACGTTCATGAAGAAAGTGACACGAACTCACATCGGCAACTGCAGCAAAGCTATTCCGTTCATCGTCTCCGACAACGAGGTCCTGTAGATTTCTGTGCGAGCACAACAAGTTGATCACACGTTCTAAGTCCTCTTCATGCTCTTGAATCACTGAGCCACTTTCCTGCAATCCGCGAAACTGGTTATTGGCTCGCCCACTGATGTCACCGACGATCCTCGAGCTGCTTTTTCTCCATGCTCGACTACGAACAACTTAATTGTCTAACTATGTAGAGTCATAGTCCGGCTATCTTTTATCAGAAATTCCGAATTCGGCAGGTCAAATTATTGGCTACTCGTATCAATCATTATCTCCAACCTCATCCACACGTGGACGCCAATCTCAAGTTGTTCGTGAAGACAGTAGTTGAATTGATTGTGTCTTTCTCCTATCTCCACTATTTTTGACCAAGATGCTTAACTGAGATTTTTGGGTGCGTCTGCTGTGATTTTTTTTGCTGAATGACAACAGGACCTATGGATTCAGGTACTGTGTCCCACCATTGCTCTAGTATACGGCCCGATGACCATTGTCTCCCCGCCGCGGGTGGCGCATCTGCGAAGGGTGGGCACCTTGAGCATCGAGCAATTACGTTGGCTTGCGCTTCAAGTCGAACACGTTCCTTTTTATCTTCGCTCGTATAAATGGATGTGTCGTCCTGACAACAAGATTGCCTCGTCCACATTCATGAGGTCCACACAAAAGGGGACAAAAACTCGCCATCGACAATCGTTGCAAAGCCTATAAAGGCATCTTCTCTAACCGCGGGCTCCTTACACCGCTCCCGATTTCTATGCAAGCATCTCGCGACTTCTCACATGGCGCTTCAAGTAAATCATTTCTTATGTCACAAAGCATAGATGATCAAATAGATTGTTCAAATTCAAATTTATTCCTGTGGTTTCCCTCACGGATCATGGGGGGCGTCGTGTGGTCCTGTTTATATCCATACAAGAGGGCACAGTACTATGCATGCCGTTCGAGACGATGTCGATTAGGGTGATAATCTAGATGACAGAGGGTCTAGCTCGACATGCCGTTTTCTACAATCTCTGTACAATATCCAATGCGAGTACTCACCACTCACTGATTATTGCTGTATTGTAACTTATGCCGTTTTCAATATCTGATCCTCGTCTTTCTTCCGGCGTGTAGTGACCTTGGAACATTAATGTTCAGTACAGCACCGAGCACGACTTATGAAGTGTCCAATGATATCTGATAACTAGGTGTGATTCAGCGCGGAGGCTTGGCTCTAGTATGTGGGTAAGCTTGCCATGGTCTGTTTTACTACTAACTTCAAGTTTGCTTGTCGTTCTCGTCGTCTTCAGTAGATTATGGCGGTAGACAATTATAACACCACATATCGAAGAACTTGTCTCTGGACTCAGTTCTAAGCAATTCTGAACTCCATGACCATTGTATCCACAAGATCATAAACCTGGGTGAGTGCTAAGCCAACAGAGGCCCTGTCAATTATCACCAGTCAGCCACCGTCAACATATCAAGATATACTAGAATGAACTTACCCGAGGATCTTCACTTCGTCCAGGGTTCGTTCCTTGGCATTGTGAACAAGCCACATCGTAATGTCCATTTGGTACGGTCTGTGAGCGCCTGCCCCAAAGTTCGGTAATATAGGTTCAGGGGCCTTGGGATCATGAATTCAGATATACACGAGGCTGCATTCTGAAACTCACGGTGCTTAACCCGTCAGTTCCAAATCCGGGTTCCTGCACTGCGCGTAAGAGCACGCAATCATCTAGCACATAAGGTATTGGCATTGCAGAAAATATTCCATTGAACCACAGCTGACTTACGAATTAACACTCGGCTGTTTGGTCCCATGACCTTGCGAATGTTACGAAGGATCGTCGTTGCCTCGCGATCCTGCCAGTCGTGGATAACGTGCCTTAACTATATAATAAGATGATTGAGTTACTGGGAATGCAGGAGGAAAAGAAGCTCTTACATAATAAACATCCTTCCCAGTAACAGGTACGCCCTCGAGAAAATTGAGTGGCACGAACTCCACGCGCCCGTTTAGCAGTGCTTCGGGAGCATTCTTCTTCCATACCTAATCAGATACGAATAAGGGACCCGCTGAGATGATTATGGGTACTGGATGTTTGAACTTACACCTTGCGCCTCCAGAAGAACTTCCGGGAGATCCTGATCAGTTATTTTGAGATGAGGGAACATTCTCGCCAGAGGAGTAGAAAATGTCCCAATGCCACATCCGACATCCACCACAGATGAAATATTATCCCAAGGATAGTCTTGCAACCTACATCAGTCACACCAACGATTCATATATAGCGATGGCTTACGATGCAGAATTGCAGAACCGCCCATCATCTCATTTTGGCCAAGCATGCTCCTATGAAATCGCTATACATGTGACTCTGTAAACCGGCAATGGTGGATGAAGCACTCTGCACGCACCTCTCGTTTCTCATCCTATAAAATTTGTTAAGCGAAGTCTGAGGGCAGTGTAACAACGAAAGCTCACATCATCCTTGATCGCATCCCAGTAGCTACCCTTCATACCCACCTTCCTGAAGGCCAATACTCGGGGTGCTTTGTCGAGCTCAGTATGAATGAGAAAATTCTTCGTCAATCATACTCTCATAGAGAACTGCAGCGTATTTCGAGATGTCCTGAGCATGAAGTCCTGCAAAACATCCAGCGTTGTTTGTTGACTTGAGTATGAGGGATAGCCGAGTGTTTGCGAAGACGTCCCGTTCAACTGTTTAATACATTACAGGCTTTAGAGAATGTTGTCAATGGCCGTGCACATTACCCTCTTTAAAGCAACCCATGAGCGATAAAGCCCGTAAGATGCGCGCAGTCTTGGTCTTATCGAGGTTGACTGCTTCAGCCAGCCTATCGACTGCTAAGACCTTCTGGATGTTTGTCCAAAACATCTGCAACTGCGCGCTCGCAAAGCAACATCTGTGCAAGCCCAATTGTAATTTAAAACAAGCTTAGGAAATGAGCAAGGGAGGAAATATAATTTACAAGAGGCACTCACATTCATGACTGAGTGTTGGGGGGGAGCCAGTATTGCGCTCAATTGGTGATATGCACCTTCGAGCAGCCTAATTGCCTTTTTGAGGGCAATTGTATCTGTCGCCGAATCGAGAGGGTGGAAGGTGGTTGCGTCTGCACTAGGGACTCCATGTCCTGTGTTCTTGTATTCTGCGATTGCTTGGCGTGCAGAGGAATTGATGATGCTCAAGAGAGCCTCAAGTTTGGCCTCCGGTTCATTCAAGTCCGTCATTTTTGGGGAATGAAGGAACAACGGTACTCCCGTCAGTGGTTTTTATACCATGCTTCCTAGTAATAGACGAAGATAAGTGTTGTACTAAATGAGTGAATGTACAAACGCAATCCTTGGCGTCATGACGCATCAAACTCAAATAACGTGAGTTGGCTTTCGAGACGAGTTGTTAGCATATATCTCTGCCAGATCTGCTGAGACAGGCCATGAGAGCTCTCAGTGAGAATATTTTAAGACTTGAGCGTTGATTCTCATGAAGAAGTTCCCCACTAATCCCGACTCTCATGTTAGTGGAGGAGGTCTTGTCTGTAAAATATGTCTAATTTCCCCGCCGGCACTTCCCGTATTGTCGATCAATCCCGTTTAGTGTGACTGTCTATCTGCCGCCCATCAATGTCATGTCTGTGAAAGTATCACTGGGTTATCGAGTGACTGGCAAGAAAAAACGCACTCTTTGAAAAGCCTGCTGCAATCGTGAAGACGTCTGCTTGAACGCGAGTAGAAACTCTAGTTTGGACTTCGATTAGAAGCTATCAATGCTCTATCACACAGCCACTAGAAGAAGCTAGATTTAAGTCAGAGACAAGCAAAAGACAGTCTCGGTTACGTATTAGGTAGATCTATATATACACTCTGTACGTGCCTGCAAAGACGTCCGCGTCAGATTTCAGATAAGGATTCCCACCGTAACACTAAAATATATAGACCCTTTGCCGTTGTCACCTGTTGACTTGAAACAGAACAATTGTTCAGACCCTACCACAGTTGATAGTCGAAGAAACAAATGATACGTGGTAACTTGAAGTACTTTTTTCTACAATTTGAGCAGGGTAATATATCTGTTATTTTGGATTTTCACTTAGACCTCATTGAGGCCCTTGCCGGGCCCAGGTTGGGTGCATGGTTTGGAAGCATGGGGAGCACCGAGAAGGTACTGAAGTTATTTTCGCTGAGGATACATCCAACTGGACAATGGATGATTACACATGACATCGGTAAATTAATATGTCAGGGACCTCCCAACGCACCAGATTCAGAGATTAGCGAGATCACATCAAACACAAACGACAATGTTTTGGTGGTGAAACACACAGGCTGTCAGGGAATGATTAGTGATTAATGAAGCTGAATGAAGCACGAGTTAATAGTTCGTGAGGAAGACATCACGTGAATCAACGCGATTATCAAGCAGTAAGTATAACAACTCTACTGCAACACGATAACTGATAAGACAACACTCGAGGTGTGAGTGAAACGATTCTGACTGCAGGGGGTCGGGGGCTTGACGCGTGATCTTGATTACTATCCCTTCCGGTGCAATCGGTACCCCACAGAAGTTGGCAGTCACACAAATGTCACTGGAAGTCACAACATGTCACAAGGGCTAGTTTCAAAGTGAGCTCGGCAATCTGACAGTGCCGCAAGTTCAGTTAGTATTCGGCGTAAGCGAGTAAGTGCTATTTACCAGTAGATATGTCTACTTAAGTACGAGGGTGACCATCAGTGCTGTAGTTGCAAATTGAGAGGGATGTAATGAGACTCGGACCATGTCTATGTTCATGCACCACCGGATGCATTGTGGGACCTGGAGAGCTAGATTAGCGCAGAATTGATGGAGATATCCAGCAGTACAAGTCGGCACGTGCAGTATTAAAACTCCGTCACGGCATAGCATCGGCAGGTGACATTTCTGCGTGACTTCAGCACTTTCAACTATCTCACTCAGTTCTGCTTCGATCATGGTCATTCAACCTCATAATGAGTTGTATTAAAGAGAGAATGATATCTATGTTGAGAATTTTGCGTTCAAGTAGCTAGAAATACGAGTCTCGTGAAAGTGCCGACTGAATTCTGTGGGGTGTTGATTCCGTCGGAAGGAAGTGGCTTCAACCGGTGGCTCTTGGTCTATGGCTAGATAAAGTCATGTGTACGTCTTCACATACCAGCATATCATCTCAAACGCAGACGGGGCCCTCGGACCTCGGCTATACCTACACCTTAGACTCGACGGGGCCCCACCGCGTCTTACCAGTTTGTTTGTGGCAGTAGACAAATTGATTGTCGGTGGCAGCACACACCAGATTAGTCATCATGAAAAGCTTACCCACGCAGGCACGGAAGCTGACAATGTATCAAAACAAACACAACTCCTGAACGTTCGAACTTCGTTACCGACCGCCAGATCACCGCGCACAAACACCGACTAATCATAAATCTAAATCAGCTATCAAAGGACGCTGACGAAGGCCGCCTCTTGATAAGTTAGTCTGAGAAGCTTGAGAAGCCTCTGACTTTAAGAGACTCGCCTCGGATTATGGCTCATTGATCACCGTCTATGCTTTGAGCATACACGCTGTCTGGAAATGCGGACTCTCACGTCAGTATCAACTTCTAGACTCACCGTACTTACAAGTAGATCAAACCACGTTGTTCGCAGCTCAGATGATTTGACGAACGAGCTTATTCGAGAGGTGGAAAGTGCTGTTAAGCCTACATGTGGCTTACACTCGATGTTGGCGTCCATACCCGAAGCAGCATATACGAGCATCCTTTTCCGAAACTTTTCTAGGTAAGTATCTACATCCTTATTTTTGCTACTCCGCGGGGGACGCTTACAACAAGGTAACGCACAGGTATGTGTATCAATCACATCAATTGTCGGACTCCAAAGACAGTTTGACAGCTTATCAACCTTTGTGTGGAGTTCTACAGAACAGAAGACCCCGCCTAATCACGCTCAAGAAAAGTTTCTCAGCTCATCAATCCTTGTAGACCTCTACAGAACAAAAGACTTCCCTCGCTTGATGACTGGTTCATTTCCTGGGAGTTTTGTCGCCTATCGAACGTCTAGAGGCGACAGTGTTCAGGTATATAAGGCAACTCACCGCAGGCTCCAAATTCAGTTCAGCAGCACACCATGAGTCTAGCAAAGATCCCCTTCATCATCGCTTCGGCCATTTCCGTCCATATTTCGTTTTTTTCCGCTGCTCCGCCGCCAAAAGATGAAGAAAAGATGGCACCCAACGCATTTGAATCTTTCGTCCTATTGTTCCAGAAACTTTGGGGTAACGATATAAAGAAGGTGTGTTGTTTACAGCCATTGGTTGTTGACATGGATTATTAAACAATATGACAGTTCGCCACATGGACAGCGACGACCGTTGAAGTGGCAAGCATCCTTGCCTTGAACATAGATCCCTCGCAGATTCCAGACATTGGAGCTGTGCAGTTTTTGCGCGCGCTTCACCCCACGGATGTCACTCCCGCTTTCCTTGCCGGCAGCCTTGCCTGCATAATCGGCGGCGTGTTCAGGCGTTATTGCGTCTTGACATTGGGGAAGAGCTGGAGCTGGCCGCTCAGCATCAGAAAAGAGCACAGGCTCGTGACGGAAGGGCCGTACTCGGTTGTCCGTCACCCGAGCTACACTGGTTACCTTCTCCAATATATTGGAGTTGTCTTCATGTATGCAGAATCGGGATCGTGGTTGAGGCAGTCTGGGTTTTTACAAGTGCCCTACGTGAAATTGATAGCAGCGGCGGGCTTCTACGCGTTTACAGTCGGTGCTTGTCTCGCTGCCACCCGACCTCCGATCGAGGACAAGATGCTCCATCGCGCTCTTGGAAAAGAATGGGAAGAGTGGTCGAAGAGGGTGCAGTACCGATTGGTTCCTGGAATCTATTAATCACACACGTACTGAACGTTCTGTGTCGTTTGCTTCTTGCACCATACTGCAGGGATTACTGTTCTGCGGTGTCGATTGTACGCTATACATGACGTAGTAAAACAGTACATACTATGGTGGAACTTCAACGTTCTGCTTATCTGTGGGGCCTACTTCTCCGTCCGCAGAATTTTCTGTAATTAAATAGTGTTTCCAGTAGTAACGAGGAGTAAACTGCGTTTGCTGTATATTTTCCGTTGACAAGAAGGCCCGAATGTCGTGCCGATGGTGTCCTTTGTATATCAACAAAGAGCTTGAGAGTTAGCACGGGCAAGACAGCGAACTGACGCAGTATAGCTCGAGTGCCTGAGACGTTCAACAACTGGTAATCACACGAGCGAGTGGCGTCGATGCGAATTGCTTTCGCGGGATCAAATGCTCAATACAACGTGGGCTCATGTAGAACTGAACGAGCTCAAGCGCTCAAGCTCAAGGCTCAAGTGGTGGCGTGGATAAATATAAGTCATGGGCTACGATCAGCTGGAGTAAGTTAGGCACCTACATATTATAAGCACAGGTTCGATAATTTTGCATGCAACAAGCCTTGCGATTCAAGATAACGGATAATGCGGATGATCCAACAGGTTCGGCACCGTGATTTTGACAATCACAACTTGGCTTTTGCAGGCTTCACTGGCTCCTTTCCCCGACTCTTCCGCAGCGCTTCCATAAATTTCTCCCCTTCCTCACTACCTTGCAAGTTCAGGTGCTCCAACACCATCTGGCCAGGAGAACCTTTCAACCACTGCTCCAAGGAGAAATCTTCAAACTTTGGTGCACGAAAGACCTCAAGCATCTCCACTTCCTCATCCCCAATGTTCTCTACGTAATGACCAAGGCTACGGGGCACGATTCCGACGTCTCCAGGTTGATAATCAAAAGTACGCGCATTTCCACTGCCAGCGAAAACAGTTATTCGGGCACGACCGCGAATGAAGAATGACCATTCATCGGCATTTGGGTGCCAGTGGAGCTCCCGTAGGCCGTGAGGTTCTATAGTCACATGGGCAGCGGCGATGGTTGTCGAGACAGGGAAGTTTGAGGTATCAACGATGTGGACTGTACCGCCTGGTGTCTTGAGCGGGAGTTGGGCGAGAAGGCTGTGCGTGAAACGATGCTTGGACTTTGGAACGTCAGACGGCAAGCCAGGCGAGGGCGTATCAGGTGTGATCCCGCGAAACATATACTTTTCTGTTGACGACATTAATTTTTTAATGACGAGAACTGACGGTATCGTCAGATACATCACCTTTCTGCGACAGCTTGTCGAACACGCTAGGATCAAGGCCAAAGTTCTTTGCCACCACCTCCTTCGGCGTATGGGACAACCAGTCTGAAAGGAGGAAGGTCTCGTCCTCTGAGAAGTTTCCATCGTCGAAGATAAGCATGAACTCGCACCCACCCTTGCCGACGCCCTGGATGGAATGAGGACGACCTCTTGGCGCATACCAGATATCCCCCTTGGTCAGATCGGCCTCGTAAGCACCCCCTTCAACATCAAGAACTGTAAACCTGCAGCTGCCCTCGAGCATGTACGCCCACTCTGCTTCACGATGCCAATGAAGCTCTCGAATGGCTCCCTCATCGAGACGCATATTCACCCCCGCGAGCTCGACGGAGGCAGGCAATTCGCGGACTGTAGTCTGACGTGCCCATCCGCCATCTTCAATACGCATATGCGAGTCTGCGAATGACCATTTGAGGGAAGGGAGAGTGCCGCGATCCGTCGAGGGAGGGTGGACGAGATCAGGAGCTTGCTTTTCACGCTCGGGGTTTCGAGGCCCGATGATGTTGGAACCGCGATCACCACGACGGGGTCCGGGAGGAGGACTACGCATGATTGTCTGTGACAACTTGTGATGCTCACTTTCGTTCAGCCCCTTGGAATTTATACGCGTGCAAAGATCATCGATGACGTAGCCATACAATGACGTTCATGTACTAATTAAATTAAAGTTACTGTTCATGTACCAATGCACGCGAGCATGCTCATGATAGCTTCTCCCACTATCTTAATAGGCCTAACTATGCTCTTCTGGTTTCGGGAACGGGTTATCATCATCCTAGTTAACATACATGAATTCCACAAGGAGTTAGAGTAGTGGACGCTCGATTTCGCACCTGTTCTTGTTCTTTCTGCTTCAAGATCCCCGTACGCCGCTCACGCCCATGTTCGACTAGCTCCGGATTCTTCGTGATCTTTCCCTTGATCTCCTCTTGCAAGCCGCTGAGCTTTTCCCCAAGACCCTATTGGGACGCGATGCAACTTTGTTCAGTTCTGAGGATGTGGAGGCGGATGTAAACTTACTGCTCCTTGTTTGTACGCGGGACCGAGCCCAGCGGCTCCTGCGTGTCTTTGCGGCGGAAGCTGGTCGTCGGTGAGGGATTCAGATGTTGGTTGAGTTGGAGTTTCAGTGGAAGGCACGATCGACGTTTCGGGTTGGGTATTAGTGCCTACGGCAGACGGGTGTGCAGTAGACGAAGACATTGTGCGTAGATTTGAGGAGAATGGAACGACGGCTAGCCTAGGTTTTATACTCTTCATGTGCTCCATACCTACATCCTGTTCGATATTCAAATATTTAATTATGACGTCAATGGGTAGCCGTCTGACGTCAGTGGTTCAGATCTCAGATCAGAGTGTGCCGCATCAAAAGGAAACTTGATTATCGGTCAAGTATTTGTAGACCCGAGTCGCTATAGGTATATTATCGTATGTAGGCGCGGAGTAGATAACAAAAGGAGTAAACCAGAGCAAGCTGCACGGACAACGGCCTCACAGCTTTACATCTTCGGTATGAGGACCAGCATGAGGACCAGGACCAGGTATCAAACCCCCGGCAACACCACGGACCCCATGGAAGCCAACGGGCGTGCCCATATGACCAGCTGCGACACCCTTAGCAACATCATTGGGCGAAACACCAGCACCGTGAGGCAATCCAACACCACGCGTCGCTTTGAAGCTACCAGAGGTGTGCTCCACTACACCTAAAACAGGAGAAACTACCTCGGCGCCCTGTTTAACATTCGTGACAACGCCCCCGGGACCTGCAGAACCACTGGCAGTGAGATGCTCAGCCACATCAACGACTGGCCCGACGACGGCACTAGCGCCTTGCTGAATATTACCAGCAACATCACGAGGGAACCTCAAACCACCGAAGGGAGTGGGAGGGGCACCCGCATCGTGCTTCGATCCTGCGGGACGCTCGTCACGAGAAACCTTGGGACCTTTAGTGCTTCCACTAGGGCTCGGAATAGCAGCTCCGTTTTGTTGCTTAGGGGCGGTGGGAGCATATTTGGACACAGGAATGCACGTATCCGAAGCAGGAGAAACAGAAAAGCCCTCGGCGCAGTCTTTCACAATGCAGCGGCCGTTACCGCAAGTGACAGTGCCAGGAATGACACCCTCGATCTCCTTGCAGTTCACACCGTTGATAGGTGCCTTTCCGTAAGGAGCCGCCTTGACACACGCACCACCTGTTGATGTATTAGAGTCTGGCGATGTAACCGTGAAGATACAACTTACAAGTTGTAGCATCAGTTTTAACATCGACACACTTCCAAGGCTGACCAGTGCTAGTAGTGACCCCACACATGGTGAGACCATTAGCACACTTGGGATCATTGTTACGACGGGACAGAGGTGCTTCGCTGGGGCACTCCTTAAAATGACCGCACTTGCCACCACATTCCATGAGGTGGTCAGGACATTGACAAGACGTGGGTCTCTCGGCAGGGAAGGGAAGGTAACCATCGGTGCATTCAAAATTGCATGGATTGGAGTCGGAGCACACGGGGCTGGCGTGATCAGGGTAAGAGCAGTGAGAGGCTGTCGGAAGGCTCGTGATCTATTACGAGTCAGAGTCAGCGAATGCGACTGAGGATCATACAGACAACATTACCATGTTCGAGATCAAAGTCTCCACCTTGGTATGGTCGCCGACAAGTTTGACAGCTTTTTGTGCAACGACGTTTGATTTCACGAATGTAACAACGTCCTTGGCACACAGGCAGACATCGAGGTGGCCCGCAACGGTGGCCTTGCCTGATACAAATGACGGTCAACTTCAGAGTCTCAGAGCAACAGATAGGCAGCATACCTTGGCTATCGAGGACCTCCTTAAGAGTCAGGTCGGTGTTGAGAGAACCGCAGACATCCTGGCACAAAGGCGCGCCTGTAAGGATGCGGTGACTTGGAAAGAGCAAATGCGGTTGATGCAGAGAGAATGGGAACAGCAAATGATGATAATTTCATGGTAAAGAACGACTTGGAAAAAGAGTGTGAAGTAAGATGCGGAAGGTAAGGGAAGTGGGAGGGAAGCACTGAAGACAAAAAGACGATACAATGCCCGTTATATATGCTAGAGCTTGCGGAGAAAGCTATTATAGTATTAGTGCAATTCGCTTACCAGTTTCCATTCGCTTCTGAGGCTCTTCACAAAATTCACAACAAAAGCCACAACATACCCGATGACGTCAAGTGTAGCGGCGTAGTAGATCTAGTATGGGCCACGGACTGTTCACAAACAGTCAACGCGTTGCAATTGACATAGCTGGTGAAGAGCTGGAAACTGCAAATGCCATTTCGCAAGGCAAGTATACCAGACTCGAGTTGAATCCAGAGGCAAGCGAGGGGACGGAGATCCGAGAAACATAAATTTTCGGAGCTAATAATTACCAATTCAATACTAGCCTGAGCGGAGTACGCATCGTCAATATTAGCCTCCGCTTGTCAGAGAAAAGAAAACACACTGACATGTGGCTCTGCTCGCCGGTTTTCTAGTGCAGCTCGATAGGCCAAAGCTTGTTCATAGCAGCAGTATTCCAGCTTCGTCTAACGCAAGACAAACGAGGTCAGGCAAACAGTAGTTGGGCTAGAACCGAGCATTAGCTCCGTCCGTTCGGACGTTGGCGAGATTGCCGCCGGTGTGGGAACAAGCTCGACAGGCAAACTGTTCGATGACCTCTACTTACTGCGATGTGATAGATAGCTAAATGTCACGGTAATGTTGGGTATGTATATATATGGGTAATCGAAATAACAACAGAATACGGCGTAGAAATTAGGTCTTGTATGCATGAATACTGGGTGCGGAGAGGGGGCCAAAATATGAGAACGAGCGGGGATAACTGTATAGGATCGAGCGAGTGAGATGTATACCGTATAGTGAAACGACAAAGAGAAACAAGAGACGCTTTCGCTCAGCCAAACGTGTGGTGCCGGTTCCTTCCGAGCACCTTTCACATTTCAATGTCGCTCCGAGTGCTCGTTTGTGGTCGTGAGATCGGAATTACTCGGGATAACCAATCAATGACGCGGTCCCAGTTGTCCGTATCATTCCGAACGCGACTAACGCGGCCATTAATTCTCCAAGCTTTACGCCGGGGCGGTTCGCGAGCGTCAGTCACCAAATATAAGTACTGCAGGGTTGGACTGTTTCACAGGCTACCATCGTGAAAGGCAACGAGAGCAAAGTCCAAAGCTTCACACTTATAATCCAGTCATGAAGATCGTCACACAGGAAGAAATCGACGGCCACACGAATGCTACTATCCGCGGTGCAGCAGAAGGCGCATTTCTGAGTGCAGCCGTCGCTATCCCTGGTTCACTGCTGCTTAACCGTCGATGGGCATCCTATCGAGCACTCCCTCTATCTTTAAAAGTCATGGGTACCGTCATAATGATTGCGCCTTGCATATCCATCCAGGCTGAAAGGCGCGGTCTAGAATTCGATCGTGCACATTGGTGAGTCCCGATTCCTGAACCAAATATTTCCCTCTAACGCCCTGCAGGACCGGCGCAGGTAAATGGGAACTAGACAGAGAAGCAGCAGAGGAAGAGGCACGATGGGGGGCTCTGACAACAAAAGACAAAGTTGGAGACTGGGCATCACGACACCAGTACAGCATCATTCTTGGAAGCTGGGTTTTGTCAATGGCAGTCGCTGGCAGCATTATCTCTAGAGATAGGTTTGTGGTTTCCCTTACGTCGACGTTCTTCCACGTATCTGATGCAGACATGTGCAGACATCAGACATTACCTCAAAAGATTGTTCAAGTACGTATGTGGGCACAGGGCTTGACTATTGGCGTCTTGATTGGCGCAGGGATCCTTACGCACAATCAGCGCCAGGCTGCCCTTCAGCGCGTGAGTTCCATGTTTCGTGTATTCACATGGTGTAGATACTAATTCCTTCCAGCGGCCGGTTGATCACTCGTGGCAAAGCTTGGTTCGTATAATTACCTTATCGCCGACCCACGATACTCATTGCCATTCTACAGCTTGCAGAACAAGCAAGGGAGAAGGAGGAGGCAAGAAGGGCGCATTCGAACGCTCCAAATCCTCTGTAGAGCGCTCGCACTTGTCACCCATCGATAGACGGATACGTTCATCTCATGATTACCTTGCAACCAAGGTTTCTGGAGTCAGTACACAATTGCTTCAATTTTCGTTTCTCAGTCAACTAGTTCCGAGTTGGAGATGCCCGCTCAGCCAATGCTTGACTCTACAGTTCAAAGTTTGAACTCTATATTCCACATATGCAGACAGCGACAGCGTCATCCGCAGCTTCTTCTCGTGGGTTTGCTAGTTCGAATATTCCATGATGCTATCTCACATTCAATTGTAACCATGGATAATAGTATTCTATGCACAGATTTCTCTCGCAGACCCAGATCTGATCCAAAACGTTGGCGCGCGCGCGTTCTTTACTTGAAATTTAACGCACAAGCTCGTACTGCGAGAGAACATTGGAACCATAAAATATGACTTCAGCATAACACCAACTTTCTGAACGCCTTGTGGCACGATGTGGCTTATGTGCTTGTCATGTGCTGGCGAAATGTTGTCTATCGCGGTGAGTGCAGTGTCTCGCGTCGACCGGGGCTCAACGTATCACCCTATCTGATAGTTTAGACTGCAACGTGTACATGTACCTACTTGTTTTCACGCTGTTTACGCAAACGAACGATCAGCATCGGTAATCAAACAACGGGTTATAGTATTGTAAATGTACAGCAAGAAGCGGATCAGAGACTACATTCAAATCCCGTACAGCAATAGCAATATTAATACACGGTATCGATATAAAAACAATGAGACACGAGTATCTAAACCGATCGTCCTTCAGCTTGGAGTCTGAGCCGTCGTGTGGGTAAATAGCGTCCAAGGTATTATTCCGTTCGTCCTCCTGCAAAAGCACTCATGCTACCGCCTCCTAGAAACCACCCGCCTCCAGGCGTGACGACTCAAACTTCCTCGCTGCACTCTCTATTCGAGAGTCTGGCATCCGCGGGCGGGATATAGCCGGCCCCCATTTCGTCCACCAATCCTCCACCGCCTCCCGAGCGTCAAAAGCGAATAGGTCGATATATTCCTCCCATGTGTCACGTAAAAATTCTTCTTCCGCTTCGTCCCAGTCAAGCAGCGCACGCGCTCTTGCATCTCGCAAACCGTCATCGCGAGCTTGCTGTCCAGGACCAAAAGGCAGGCATACGAAATCTCGTTTCCGTAGTTCAGAGGCTTGCGTTGCAGCGCAACGAGGCTGCCGCAGCTCTTCGTAAGCGGAAAGGAGAATGGACGTATGCGATTTAGCTGCTGGAAGAGAAAAGAGAGTCGATAGTGTCATGGCATCCTCTATCGACATTGCAGCGTTGTGTGACCCGTTGGGCTGCAGAAACCAGCGATCATTGGGCGATGTATATGTTTTGCAAGAAATATACATACCATCAATGGGTGGGCGGCCTCACCAACTAGTACTACCTTTCCGCTCTCATGAACCCAATTATCAAAGGGTTCGTAAATAGTATGGCTAGTTGGAGTCATAGTCTGCGCGAGTTTAACTAGTTTTTGTGTTCTGTTCACCAACATCAGCAATGTGGAGTGAACTGAACCATAGATGTACCTAGGTTCAAAGCGGTCCAGCTTCAAAAACTTCTCATCCAATGGCTGTGACCGATCCCATGAGTTTTGTGCTGGCTTTCCATCCGTAGGAACATGCATGACTACGGCATATTCTTTTTGGATGACCGGGGATCAACCTTTTGGAGAGTTAGGCGAGATTCTATCAAGCATTTGTGACCGGGGTACGCACGGTGAGTAGCCCATGCATCGCACAATCATCACCTAACCATAGTGACCACTAAATAGGCATTCATATCATGCAAGGATGCGATCATCATTTTCATCTTCATACCTCTGGTGAGACCGTTAATTTAACAAGATCCTTGTGTTGCCGCATCAGGTCTGTGGGCACGGTGATGCTATAAGCGCCAATCCGCGTCAACCGTAAGAAATAATGATCAACCGAGTAGCAAAAGCAGTGCTTACTTCACCGACACACGCTTATCCAAAACGCCTTTCATTCCTTCAGGACCAACCACCACAGGACGTACGACGCTCCTGTAACCATCCGCACCAATAATCACGTCCGCAGACAATCTAGCACCCTTGCGCGTAATCACCATGCCCTTCCACGGATCGACCGATACGACTTCCGTGTTATATCGGAATTGGACGCCGGCGCTTTTGGCATACTCGACAAACATCGCGTGCAGTGCTCCATGCTATGACCAGAATTGATATTTTCATCAAATGTCCGGGAATGTCGCATTTCATGGACATGACAAACCTGCATATATAGAAAATCCGCCGCTAACGCCTTCATAAGCTTCTCGTGCAGTACGAGAAAGCCGAGTTCTTCCCCGGATTTCCCTGCAAGGAAGGTATATGAACACCGACGGATAACGGAGATCTCCTTGCGTATCGCTCACCATCCATGAAAGTAAACCTGTCGGCTTTTATCGAAACTCGGGCGATAGCAGGTCCGAGTCCCCAATGATTCAACAGGCGCGTCATGTTTGGTGGAGATCGTATGCCACCGTGACTCTAGGTTGGGTCTCAAGTTCATATCGCCCAGGATTCGATAAGATGGATTACATACATCGCACCTCCCATCGCCCTGCTCCACAACCAATACTTGGTGACCCGCTTGTTGTAGCGCATATGCGCAAGCGACGCCTGCGATGCTCCCTCCAACGACTATGAAGCGCAACATCTGCGAAGCCCTTCTGGGCATGTTCAGCGATCCTCCTGGCATGACGAATGTCGAGTCCTGCAATGATAACAAGTAATAGGGACGAGTCCAGGGTTATGTAGCCCGATAGAAGGGAACTTAAGTCCAAAGCAGTGACTCCGGTTGAATGGTGGACGAAAGTGGACTTTGTCGTCCTCGGTGAGTAAAAAAAGACAGTATCGCTAGAAGGGAAGCTAGACCATTAATATATACCTCGCTACATGCACTGCAAAAGAAGATTCTCCAGATCCTTGATTTTGCTGTTTTAAATCTGCGTATTCGTTATCAGTTTTTCATCATCACACGTAGGCCGGTCTAGTTAAAACCGGTCATCCCACGACGATGCTGTGATTCTTGTTTACTCACTGCGCACATACACGGAGCAGAGATTTATGTTGATCTAGCCATTCCGTGACTTGGTAGATCAAGGAATTTGGATGCTCAGCTGATAGGAATGACATTGGAAATTCTTCCTTCTCGCTGAGGAAGCGAAGTAATGCCAAGGAGTGGGGTCATGCGGTTGACAATCTGCGCTATTCTGGCTGTTTTTTCTGCCACGAGTGATAATTGATTTACATAAAAAATTCCACAAGCGTCTTGTGTTGGCGGTACGTCACAGGTCTGGCCCAACCAATAAGAATACCGCGGATCAATAGGTGGACTTTGTACGAGCCGAGGTTTCCATTAATATTCTACCGCACGACAATTTAGCCTGAGATGTATATCTTGCAAGGCCCTGATGGTATAGTAATCTTCGCATCGATAGAGTTTATTCCGCTCGGCGTCACAAACTTGGGCTGTTGCAGATGTCAATGGCCCCCGTCCCAGTTCATTCAACTTGTTGACAACCGACACCACACAATGCTTAGGGCCCCGCTCAGGGCTCCCACCAACAATACTAAGCAATCACTCAAGATGGCCACGATGCGGTCAAGTATACGTGCAAATCTGAAATAGGGCCGGTGAATAATCAAACTGTCGATTAGTCAACACTTCTCATAAAGAACAGGATGCCATCAAAAGGATATATCGCACTGTACAACCTTTAAAGGTGAAAAAAAACGACCGCCTGGTTCTGAGACTTAATATTTGCTGCTGACCGGCTTCGTATTCGAAATGCCGTGACCTTCTGTCAACGGATTTGTGTCGGGCGGCGGCGAAACGTCGGGATACAGCTGTAAGATACAATCGTGTCAAACGTCTACTTCACAGAGGAACTACTTACCTTTCCTGGGTTAAACAAGTTGTGGGGATCTAGTGTCTGTTTGATGGTTCTCATGAGGGCTACTGTGCCTTCCCCAAGTTCAGTCAAGAGGTAGTTGCGTTTACCCGTACCAACGCCGTGCTCCCCTGTGCCTAAAGCGTAGCATAGATTATGAAAACTGACACTTGACAAAAGAGAACACTCACATGTTCCTTCGAGTTCGATGGCTTTGTGATTGATCCTACTAACTGCTTCTCGTACAAGGGCAAGCTCCGCGTCATCCGCATAGAGAACAAGAGCGTGAAAGTTACCTTCGTAGCGTAGTATCAGTAAATTCGCACACAATGTATGCCAAGGAACGCACCATCGCCAACATGGCCAGCGATTGGCGCAACTAGACCGAGTTCCTCAAAGTCTTTTTTCGCAGCAGAGATAAGATCAGGTAGGCGTGACACTGGGACGCTAGATAAATATAGTCAATGAACCATACATGGGTGAGCAAATGATGTGGCGTCATCATAGGTCGCTGCCGGATCGGCGACCCCAGGAATGACATCGCTTACTTACCATACGTCAGTCATCCATCCTTGACATCCTGGACGATATGCAAGGCACGCGAAAAGCGCATTTCTCCGGTCCTGCCAGATATCCTCGCTTTCTTGCTTGTTTGCAGCAAGTTGGTAATCGGTCGCCCCATGCTTCACAACCGCGCTTTCCACATACTGTGACGTTTCCTGAATTGCATTGTCCGAGCCTTGGAACTTGAAGAAGAGAGTCACTTTCTCTGGCCACTTTCTCGCAGACGTCCCAAATTGGTTTAGCGCCTTGATAGTAAGTTCATCGATGATCTCGACGCACTCTGTGGGGAACAGGTATGCCACGCTCAGCATTTGACACCTCTGAAGGGCTTCTGACTTACGCAGTGCTGCGCCATGGTTCAAGATGTCACATACTGCATTGGTTGCATGTCGAACATCAGGGAATTGCGCAACGGCAACAGTGCTGGGCAGAACGGGAGCTAGACGCAATGTGGCTGTAATAGAATGACATGCCACCAAAAACCATGAAGGAGCATGAGTAAGTTTAATCAAATACACACGGACACACTCTGCCCACCTTCCGTGATAATTCCGAGGGTGCCTTCTGCACCTATGAACAATTTGGTGAGATCAAAACCCACCGATGACTTGCGGGCGCGCTGTCGTGTCTTGATCACTTCGCCCGACGGAAGTACCACCGTCTTACAAACCTCCTTCATTAGCCAAATATTATTCTTAGCATAACTGAAAAGCTCACTCACGGCGTTAAGAATCCATTCACCTCTTGCTGTTCCATATCTGACCGCATTGGCTTGAGCGAGTTCATCAGATTTCTTTGTGTTTCGCGAGGTTCTGACTCACTTCCAGAGCACCCAGTTGACATCATGCCACCTATCGTGGCATTGCGACCAGGATCAAGCTAGCAGATCCTTATGACTACGGGAAAACGGTATCATTTTCCTTGGTACATACCGGAAAAAACAACGGAATGCCTGAGAATATGTCGGTCAGTCTTGTGATACCGACTACACAGCGACATACCCTTTTCACTTAGCGTTTCATTCAGATGATTCCAGGTGACCCCAGCTTGGCAAACCACATCTGCATCCGACTCTGAGACCAAACATCATGTTAGTATCGACGGGAATTTAAAATCGCACAGAATCACTACTCACCATGGATTGCTATGATCTTGTCAAGAGCAGAGAGATCTACGCATATTGATCCAGAGGATGGCTATAAAATCCAGAAGCAAGATTCACAGTTAGAAAGAGTTATGATGACACTGAGTATATTTTCGTACAGCAGACAAGTTTCCTTCCAAGCTAGTCCCTCCCGAGTATGGTACAATTGGAACGAGATACCTGTTAGCTATCTTTACTACCTTTACAACATCTTCGGTGCTTCGAACGTGTACAACAATGGTATGGGGTAATCCTGTGAAATTTTATGGTCTAGAGCTCGAGGAAGACTGAGAAGCATGCTGACCAACAAATTGAGAGTACGCTGACTGTGCATAGGCATACAGTTCACCGGGGTCGGTAGATACAACAGAGGGTTCTGGGAATTCCGCCTGCAAGTCTTCGAGGGCCTTGGTAAAATTGCCTGTCGGCTCAGAACCAGTCTGAGGAGCAGTGGGAACAATCTCAACAGCGGCTTCCGCTGTCAGGTTTGGAGGGCCGGTATCTCGAGAGCGTGTCAGGGCAAAGAAGAGTGAGGCTCCACCGGCGATTACTGCAACTGCAACTGCAGATCCAAAGGATTTGGCAGTTCTAACTGTAGTAGTACTATACAATTGGCGGGGAGGGGTCCTAATTGGTCGCGAGAAGGGATGAATATTGATACATCTGGAGCTAGCGCTTGCGGAGGGAAAGAATCGCAAGGAAACCTTGCTCGTTCTAGCAGAAAGACCCAGAGAGATAAATCGTGTAATCGTAAAGGTCATAACTAGTGCATGAGTCTGATACAAGGGGAGACACGGAGAGAGCCTCGTATCCTCTTGCACCGGCCATCAGTGGAGATCAGTGGGACTTTAAGCTGTTGATAGAGCGGCGGCTCGCCTGGCAATTAATCTAATTCGAACCGAGCCCAACACTGAGCAAAGAAAAGAAGTTCGGCAAATTCGGGTTCTATAGGAGGCCTGTGATTGGGCCGAGCAAGCAGCAGGCGTTTGACACCTCTCCGTCACAATCGGTCCCGAGTGTACAAGGCATGAGAGGTGCAACCTCATGTCTATGACAATAATATATTACGCCACGAAGACTTTGACGTGGAACAGAGACTGGTACCAAGCATGGTCGGTGCGGCAAAATGTTATCAGTTAAAGAACTGCTTCGCTTACTTAGCTCAAGTCTAGCTGCCAAACCATTATTGGTGCATCCGACTGTCGGCTACGTGTACGAAGTACTAGTCGAACTTAATGCACCACTGCTAGTGCTAACTGGAATGGTGCTGCGCCCTTAAATTATTACCTACATGCCCGACTTCGGAAAACATATACCGAGACTTGTCACGAAATGGCCCCTAGAACCCAGCTTGCGCAGCAGCCCTCTCTGCGAAACTTCCTCTTGCTTCCCAGGCATGCTTGTATTTGTCAGTAGTCTCCAACTGGCCTTCGTCGGGGCTACCCCAACCTCCGCCACCGGGTGTCTCAAGCAATAGGTGATCTCCCTTTCCCATGAACACCGTCGCTTTCCCTCCTATGTTTATGTAGCGTGGCCCCACATCTTCCTCGGAAGTTTCCTCGGGTATATCACCATCTTCGGCGCGCCGTTGCTTAATCCAAGTATTGCGTCCCATCATGGCGGATTCACCGCCTGCCATGCCGTATGGTGCGCGTGTACGTCTCTGCCACATATGTGAGTTTCACCAGAGGAAGGGCACACCCGAAATAACATACTTCGCTTAGGATGGACACTTGCATCCCTTGCATAAACTCGAACTCTCGGATAACACCATCTCCGCCATTCCATTTACCCTTCCCTGCAGAGCCTGGTCTAAGACCGAAGCGGTGTATAAGAACGGGATAGCGGCGTTCAAGGATTTCAACATCGCCAATACGGGTATTTGTGATGTGAGTATGTACACCCGATGTGCCATGCCATCCTGGGCCGCCTCCTGATCCACCCGCGATGGTCTAAAGAAGTACGTCAATGCCAATACTAATTATGATGAAACGTCAGACCTCATAATAACCCCATCCAGCAATGGCCACGCCATTCTTATCTTTACCGCCCGTACCAAAGGTCAAGTTGCTGTAAAACATTCAGAATAAAACTTTTAGAAAAGAAACAACGAACTTGGTGCATCCTTGACTAGCAGCACACGCATGAAAAGCCTTAAGAACCACATCTACAATGCGCTGCGAGGTCAGTACATTTCCGCCACACACAGCAGCGGTCCTAGATGGAGAAAGAAGGGATTTTTTGGGAATCTTGACTGCAGTAGTTCATGTCAATACGGTTGCTGAACTTTCGGTTTGTGCCAAAGAACGTACCCTCAATGGGGACAAGACAGCCAGCGTTGAGCGGAATGTCAACATTCAACATTGCACGCATGCAATAGATCACGGCAGAGTGCACCACTGAAATCGGGGCATTTAGGTTGCCCCTAACTTCGCACCCTGTACCCTCGAAATCTAAAACAGCAGATCCTTTTTCCTCGTCAATCTCCACCTTTAACTGAATCTGCGAGTAGTGTCATGATTTTCAGCGCCATGATTTTGTGTAAACGGTGATCGGAACTCACTGGAGTTCCATCATCTAGATAGTCCACGGCACTGAGAGAATTAGTTCCCGACTGTTTGACGACGTCGCGTAGCAGACTTCGAACCGAGTTCTCGGCATTAGTCCTGATATGATACATGTATTCTTGAACAGTTTCTAGACTGTAGTCATCAACAACTATAGCCAAACATGATAGTTAGTGCATGGAGCAGGTAAATAGGTTAATATGACAAACTTGCTGTGATTAGCTGAACTCCCTTGTAGTTGGCCGCAATTTGCTTTGAAACATGAGTGAGCAACGAATTCTGAAAGGAGCACTTTTGAGTGACCTACCGCCTTGAGGTCACTCTCGACGTCCTTGATGTTCCTGCAACCCGAGCTCCCCGGATATTGTGCTGGTTTGTCGACCATATACTCGTACAACCCCTTCTTGTCAAACATGCCATCATGTACAATCTTCAGGCTCACAATTTCCGCTCCTTCTTCGAATATATTCACAGACGTGGGCGGCATAGAGCCAGGCAGTATGCCGCCGATATCAGCATGGTGTCCTCGGGAGGCAGTGAAGAATATGATCTCGTTAGTCCCTTTGTCAAAAACTGGGGTGATAATAGTAATATCCGGCAGGTGACTGCCTCTTGGTGAATATGTGCAACTGTGAAGGAAAGCTCCACGTACGATCCCCCAGCATGAGGAGAGTTGGTCATTAGCACATCGCCATCTTTCAACTCCTTTCCATGGAGTTTCATTTGGTATTTCACAGCACTGACACCAGATTAAGCCCCGCGCCAAAGACACTCAGCAACTACTCGAACGACTCACAAGCTCATAGACCCAAGGTGGATCGGGATGAAGGGCGCATTTGCGACCAAATCGCCGTCAGGGGCGAAGAGTGCACAGGAGAAGTCCAAGCGTTCCTTTATGTTAGTACTGATCGAGGTTTGTTGCAAAGACCTGCCCATTGCTTCTGCGACGCTCATGAAACGATTCGCGAAGAGCGTAAGCAAAATGGGGTCAGGACCACTAGATGGTTTCGCGACAGCCATGATTGACTCTGGTGAATAATGCGAGACTCTGGAGGCTTGAAGGCTTAATCTCCCACTACTTCATGCAGCACCGTGACTAGATCTGGAGCATTAATGATAATAATGGATCATGTGCATGAGGCCAGATCACAAGACGCGGACGACTCGGGACGAGGACCTCCGTGCTGAGATAAGCAGCCTTGTAGTATCCTCTGCGGCATACAGCTTACGACGGTAATGACCCTCGAGACCATATATGCACTGTTGATGCACCATGCTAGAAAAATACATCCCCAGAATGTTCCCAGATAGTTACATACATCTTCATACAATTTTACATTATTGCTCAAGCCAAAACTTCCCTCAAAATGTCCTACGATCTTCTCCACTTCCTCGACAGTGTTATAGTGGACAAGTGAGATGCGGACGACCCCGTCATCTACGTCCAGTTTGGGGCGTAGATTGTCAACAAGAGAATACGCGTAAAAGTGGCCGTATCGAATTCCGATCTGTGCAATATGCATAATCGAATATAATAAGATCATTGAAAGTCGGACTTACCCCTCCCTTTTTGTCAAACGCTCCTACGATATCCTTGCTCTTGATCGCGTTCTGTCCGACGACAACAAAGCTGACAGTAGGAACTCTTGAGAGATTGATCTCGCTTGTCCCAACAATGCGAACACCCCTGTTAGCTTGTTTTGCGTCCGTCAAAAAGCGGAGTAGAGGAGCCACAAGTTTTTGCTCGTGATTTGCGATTGCATCGAAAGAGGCTGCAAGATCATCTTCTGGAGTCAAGGACTTTAGATATGGCACAACTGCCGTTGCACCATACACCAGCTCGTAGCCTGGACCACCTGGTTGCAACTTATATGGCTTGTCGTCCACCTTCAGGAAATGATGTGCGATAGATGTAAGAGATGTCTGCAGAGCCGCCGACCGCACGTAGGCAGCAGCATTATGAGTCCCGTACACCTACGAAACAGTGTCAGATGCGAAATCGAAGGGAGTCACGGATATCGAAACCTTGTACAAAGAGAACACACAGTAATCAATATCCCACTTTTTTACGTCCATCTTTCTATGTGGTGCGTATGCAACACAATCCACAGACACCTCGACCTTTCTTGCGCCCTGTTCTTTGGCACGCTGGCGAAGTGCCTTTACTGCTTCTTCCACAGGAACCAACGATCCCAAAATATTGGAGCATGCAGTGATGGCGGCCAGTCTGGTTCGTGAAGACACCAGTGGCAACAGTTCTTCGACCTTGTATGTAACTGAGTAAGGGTTTTCCGCAGATATTGGCGTAGGTTGCCAATATTTGACCACGGCATTGCGCCGCTCAGCCAAACGCTTCCAAGGACCGTTGTTGGCTAAGACGAATGTTCAGTTGTTTTTTACAATGGAATACAAGAACATAATATCAGAGACCTTCATGTTCATAAGTAATGATGAATTCATCTCCGGGTTGGATATCGTTTTCGAGCGCTCTAGCGATGTTCTCGATAATCATCGTCGAACTCGGTCCAAAACAGACCTCATCAATGGAAGCAGCATTGAACAACTCTGCAACGGTGAAAGAGCCCTCATCCACACGCTGGGTACTCAGCACGCCGACAAAATAGTCAGCTCCCAACTGTACGTTGGTGTTGGTCAGATAATCTACGATCCGATCGATCACTCCTTGAGCAGTCTGTGATCCTCCCGCATTATCGGCGTAGATGTAACCTGATTTCAGGGATGGGAAGGAAGCACGAACTCCGTCGATGTCGAGGGTAGCCATCTGGTATTGCCAAGAAAGTGTAGTCCAAGATTAAAGGATGATCGTTGGTGTGAGCCACGTATCGCTCAATGGTAGTCATTCCATCATGCATAATTATATCGATATCCGATAAGGCGTCGCAGCTTCGACCTGATCATGAGGGCACATTATCTGTGTTGGCGGTCCAACTATAGTCTAAGTATGGATGTACGGTCATTAGGTGGGAGTCCTGACGGAGTTTGAAAACATAACCTGGCGGAACGTGCCGGTCCGCCAATTCTGTTTCGCTGCCACTGTCGACGACACACATGACTCCGACTTCAAGCTTCAAGCTTCATCAATATTATAAATGTCTTCAGTCCGAGTTTCATGTTTTTCTCAATAAGGCCAGGTCTTTTTCAGTAAGTAAATACATCGATTTTGAAGTGTTCTAACAGGTTTTTGTCATCCCCTTAGTACCTACTTTACTGATAGTCATAACAATCTTCATTTGAAGATTTTGGACTTGTAGTTCCATCTTGCAATTTCTATTATTCGGGAGCGTGCTCCGCCGAAATTTTGGTGGGTGATTCCAGACTTCCTGCTTTGTTGTAGATTCATGTCTTCTCTCTGCTCGCAGCTCATCCCAGCACTTCTCACAATTTTTTATAGCTTTGTCAGACTTCACCTCACTCACCCTCTGACACCTCCGCCGTCCCTAACACAACGTCCCTGCATCTTCTTGCACATCTCCGTACCCTCTTCGAATCTTCTTGCAGCGAGACCAAGTTGACCAAGCTTCTTCGGATGCAATGGCGGGTTACAACACCACGCCAAGTCATGGTGCGTGGCTTCCTCTGTTTGTTTTGCTCTCCGCCGTGACAGCGGAGAACAAATATGGGTCGGTTATTGGTACCGATATGTACATTCCCTTGCTTGTTTTATCACTAATGTCCTTGTTTGCAGACTTTCGAACAACTCATTTGTCGTTCTTGACATTCAGTGTGGCGGTCATGTCAAAATTGTCACCAACCACCACGGTCATTATATAACATCCTCTTTGACAATATCTTCTTGTGAAAACAATTACTGATCTATGCTCTAGTAAAGTGTTGATGATAGCGCCAAGGATATTTGTGACGCGGCGTGTCAACCCGCCATTTTGATAGGTTATACCGTTACAAGGGTGAAGCACGCTAATTTGTGAACCTCTCAACAACCTCCAAATGCACTCACTGAGCATTTTCTTCAGGCTTCAGAAAGTACCATGATTCTTACCATGGAATCTAGATGTCTTAGCACTGCAGGTCCATCCCAGTGTAGGCACATTAAATATCTACTTTTACACCTTTGTTAGTTTGCTCTACTGTGGAAAATTGAAATCATCATTGCATGAGACCAGATACAGGGCCCTGAGGGATTTTTACAATGGTACACGGAAACTTTAGCACCACAATGCTATTCCACACATCGCGATATTGTTGCGCAAGGTTCTGGGCGTCGGATGCTAGAAACCCAAACGGTCGTGGTGCTATTAGTATTCTTCCCCGCTCGAATTAATTTCATTTACATTATTTATTTAATTTGAATTTCTGAGTGAACCACCAAAGACTCAAATTGGACTACGGCGAAGTCTGCAACCATCTCCTACCTGTGTAAGTAGTACTTGCCAGGTTCTACAAGTGCCATACAAACCTACTTTATGAACACGAAGTCTGAAGATGGCTTCTTTGAGTTCTCTGACGGAATTTGTTGCCTCTCAAGATGAACTTCTTCGAGAAGCAGCTTTGACTCTTCCTCACGAATTCTCTCGCTGCACGTACTCCTTGGGTCCAATCAGGCAAGCTGTATACCTTTGCCTCACTTGCCAGTTGCCCCGCGGCATGTGTTCTTCGTGCTCCATCGCGTGCCACACGGACCACGAGCAAATAGAATTATTCCCCAAGCGCAATTTCCGATGTGATTGCCCAACAACGGCTATCCCACACGGGTGCACTCTGCATCGTAGTCAAGAGGAGGAAAACAGGGAAAATTCATATGACCAGAACTTTAGGGGCATTTTTTGTCGATGTGGCAGACCATACGATCCAAAATGCGAGAGGGAAACAATGATCCAGTGTCTCGCGTGCGAGGTGCGTACGCGTGCAATAAAGTTATGTCGTTTGTCATTGATGCACGTTGTTTCCAAAGGACTGGTTCCACGAGTCGTGTCTACACTTACGGCCACGACCATCCTCGCGGGAATCATCTCCTGTTCCTGAACATGAAGTCACAGACCACGCCGGTAATGATGCCGAAGACAACCAGTCTGAAGCCTCCTCTTCAGGGCTGCCTTTGCCGCTCGTATCTGCTGAGGACTATGATGCATTCGTCTGCTCTTCGTGCGTTCGTTCGATCGATACCATTCGCCGGTATGCTGGTACACAAGGTGTCATAATGGTGGTTCGTGACACAGAAGATAGCCCATGGAGGAAACTGGGCAATAACCCTTCGGATGCGCCGACAACCACGGAAGATGATCTACTGGATATAGATGATTCCTTGGCTGCCCCTGGGCAAAAACGAAGTCGGTCGCATTCTTTCCACTTGGAGGAGCCAGAGCGGAAAAAACAACATATCTCACCAGAGCCATCCTCGCCTTGTCTTGCCCCAGCACCAAATTTGATAGCACAAGCAATGCTTCAGGGTTCACAGCAACTGTCAGATATAAAAGTATCCCTGAGTGAGGGTGACGTTTTTTTGACTGAAGGTTGGCGTGAACGGTGGTGTCGTTGCAGTCGTGTGAGCTTCCCATACGCACGCTTTCTTACATTTCCGTTCACCGGCGAATTCCAGTGTTTTCCATCTCTCAGCGATCGTCCATATCTCCTTGAGGAAGAAGAAACTTACGAGCCCCCGGAAGATCCTGATTCTGGTACACTTGTTCTTATCTGAAACAGCCGCATGCTAACACGAATAAATTTTAATGTTAGCTCTTTCTCTGGAGGAACTCGGTATGCGCGCATTGGAGCGCCTGCCTCGTGATAGGGCGATTGATGGGATCCGAGCTTTCAATGATATGCGGTTAGTATCTCCATAAGATGCCTTTGACAAATCTTTCATCTCGCATTTTCACAGGGATGACTTGCTTGCATATCTCCGGCCGTTCGCACAGGAAGGCAGAATAGTTGGCGAAGCTGACGTCAGGCAGTTTTTTGAAACATTGCACGAAAGCAAACACAATTCTTGATTGTGTTTGCGACTGTAGCATTTGTGTTATATCAGGTATTTTCTTTGTTCTCCGCATAACGTCGGAACTCAGTTATAACAGTTTGGTATTACGCCTGAGTTGGCTGAAGAGTGATTGCATTTTGCGCCGTAACTGATCCCTAATCAAACTAGTCTCAAACACGGAGTCTGTCTGATGGTTCAATATCACCTTGGGGTTCGCTCGGTCCGTATACGATAACCTCGACACTCATTCCGCTTTCGATGTTGACGGCACATTAGACCATATGTTAACTAATTGATGAAAGTCTACCTGCCATCATGTCCGACTCGTCGCACCCGCCAACTTGGGCCTCTCTCTCGACCAGCCGGACCCGAACAGGTGACGATCAGACCTTTGCCCATACTTAAAGTGATTCGGTGCAATTTAGTATTGTTCTTCTAGCACCTTCATCTCTGAATTTTCTCGTACGATAGGAGAACGGAAAGTCGGGGCTATAACCGGGGATGTGTACCAACTCAGCTTGATCATCAAGCCGCAACACAAGTACCAGGCAATAGAGTTGAGCCAAAACCATCTCTCAAAAGTTCCTGTGCCCGAAATCAGCTCCACGATTACGCCCAGACATGAGAATTTTGGTCAGACACGTTCACACAAACGTCTGAATGCTATGTATGACCCGCCATTAATCATACCCGGTGGTCATATGTGCGACGGTGATCTGAGTGTGCCACGGGGTTTATGCGTACGTAACCACATAACCTTGTGAATAAGCATCAGAATTGGGTCTCTTATAGGTTAATATTGATAGCAGTATTTTCCCTTGGGGTTCTTTCAAGGATATACGTTTGACTAACTTATTCGTGCCTATTGGATCTCTCAGAGGCCGTGATGTGATCTTCAAACTTGCTTTCAGAGGCACCCTCCGGCACTTTAATAAGAACTCAACTCTCAAGGTTGTTAATACACAAGCTTTGAAACACGGCGATCTGCATAGGGCTCACCCAGGTGGAGTTTAGCGGAATAAATGTACAATGCAGACGTTCAAAGCTTGGCATGCATATCCATTGGAAGATAATCATTTCTCGGAATAAAAACACAACCAATCGATAACAACGTATAGATGAAAAGAAATACAAGAAAACGTGCAAGTCATAAGTACATACGGTCCGCAGAAGTTCGTGATACATCAATTACAACAAACATAGAGAAAAATAAAAGAAATCTCAGTACTAGCTAGCTTGATATTACACTAATCACCGATATCCGAGGGAGTGCGCGCTGAGATGAATCTCCGGGAATTGTAAAAATAGCGTATGGGCAACTTCCAGAAGCTTCATGGGTTCTCTAAGAACGTCGCCAAAAGAAGAACGGTCTCGACTGCGAGAGAAGGAGAGGATGTGGGCTGCGGAGTTTAGGGTGACTATGATTAACACTCACGATAGAATAGCCTATAACATGGCCTGTACCTGGTCATGGATGGGAATAGCGTTACCAGTGAAAACGGGCATCGCGTCGTGGTACTCCTTCCACGCCTCGTCAGAAATGATGGGCGCAGAGACGTACTCCTCAATAGCCAAGTTGTTGAGGTAGGTATCGAGATGAGGAAGGGTTGATGTAATAGCCTCATCTTCACGAATGCGTTGCAGAATCCGGGTCAATCCAGCGTTCTCCGAATACCATGCTGGATCGCGGCGGATGACGGCACATTCGTACACATCAAGAATTGGCTTCGGAAGTCCAGATTTCATACCGGCGGAATAAGCGAGCGCGTGACCCATGGCTTCAACCGCAAGCTCCGCCTGAGGGAGAATGAGAGAGTTGAATGACTCGCTACGGTGTCCCCCGCGCAAGCTGCTAAGAAGGCTGATATTCTCCTCTAATATAGAAGTTGCGTGCCGAGCAAGAAGCGACTCGCTTGGATCTGGAAGAGGTATCTTGTATCGCTGGAGGAGGAGCTCGGAGAATAGGCGTATGCATAAAGTGAGAACATCGCCCTCTGCGATGATCACGCCTTTTCCGTCATTCTGAATGAATATATGATACGTCAATCGAGCATCGTTAGATTAGATGCGTGCGAACCTCAATGCGAGCCATATAATTGTGCTCGAAGGTGCCTTGCGCACCGCATCTTTCAGCAACCTCGGGCACGCAGCGCTGGAAGTGTCGACAGACAGTGGTTTTAACGATGACTGCAATACCATGTCTAACACGATGGTCCAGAGATTTATCACCACTGAACTTGGCCACCATTGGAAACCAATTGCTCATAACGAGGCCAACAGCAGTTGCGTGGGCAATAGGCCACTGTTGAGTCCTGAATGTGATAATGGGTATGGGATCAGTCCCTTTCCCCACGAGTGACCGATGCATAGAATAGCGACCGGCAATGAATGCAGCTGCCTTAATGGAAGATATCCAGGGTGCTGTGACAGCGAGAGTTCCGAGAGGTATGCGCCATACCTCATCCCACCACTTCTCCAGAGGCGAGGTTGGCAGGGAATGGTCATAGATATTTGACGACACGAGTGCACTGAATGGAACATGGACTTGATTGAAACTCGTTATAGAGAAATCGAGAGGGCAAGTTCCAGGACGAGCACCAAGTCTGATCGACTCGACACCTTTGAACATTTCGCGCTCGTTGCAGACGGGCACAATGAAGAATCGCGGGCCACGGTCTTCGCCGTCAATTATAAGCCTGGCCATGACCAAAGCGACCTTCGGAATGCCGAAGGATGGGGTGGAAGCAGGCATGAATCTATACGCAATTCATCACGGGACTGCTCATGCTTAAGAGAAGGTACGTACTTGCATGCCTCCTCGCGAGGTGTATTAATAATGAAGCCCTCAGGGGTCTTCGTAGCTGTTGTCTCGATGTTGAATGCATCTAGGCCGTGACCCCTCTCTGTGAGGAGATAGATGCCAACAGTGTCGAAACGCAAGAGACGATTGACCAGAGGGCGGAGATCTGGCCGTTTGTGAAGATGCCGGGAAAGCGTTCCGATGGTAAGACCGACATGAGCAGCCAGTACAGTAAACATGGCAGTATCCAGAGACATGATAGGGTCCGTCATCATGGCCCAATACTTTGGAGAGCACACTTGAACATCAGAAGCCGATAGATCTAGATTCGAGGGACATGCATCTGCATCATGTGTTTGAGGATGATGAAGAGGTCAACGTACTGTAGGTGTGCATGAGAAGTCTGGCCCGCTGGTACGAGAGGGACACACGGTCATCGGTGGGAAGAAACTCGATCCGAGTAGTGAAGAGGGGATGATGAGGGAGATGATGTGCCATGTTCGACGGGACTGACGGGGAGGACACAGTGAATTATTCGGACAATCTTGCCGGCTTTTTATAGAGTTTGTCGATCATATCATCAGGTCAAGTCGGGTGAGTACTAACTAATTCGAAACAACACCTCCGGGCTCTGAAAACGTGGAGCCAAGTTAACCATTCTGTCAAATGATATCACAGCCGAACTACCGGATTGAGAATCAGGGGATAATATCGTAGGAAATTAACAAGGTTGTATATGACATGAGGATAGAAAGAGAGTCTATGTGCCAGGAACCAAGATACACACGGATTTAGGCCATGAGTGCAGATTCTTCCGATAGGAAGCGATGTTTGGAAGTATATGGCATAGACTCGGATCGTTACGGTTTTCGAGGGCAAGTTTGGGTAGCTGCCAAGCTCAGCTGCTATGAAAAGAGTAAGGTGAACAAAATGGCGATGTTCAAGTGAAAGAAATAGAAATATCGTTAGTACTCACACAAGGCGAAATGGAACCATTATTATCTGGGAACACCTGTTGCGTAACTGACACAGCGACACAAAGTACACCACCAGAACACAAGTTTGCGAATCTGAGCCATGGACATTGATTTTAGCAACGCTAAGTTATTGCCTGACAGCAAATGGACCTCCTGGTGTCACGACGCATGGTAAAAATCATAAAGAGATCAGTCAAGATTGTTTCTATCCGTTTGAAAAGTGATTATATAATCAGATGTTCCCAAGTTCTCTTCGACAGCTCTCACCACCCCGCTGAACGGTGCCATCACCGCTACCAGTGAGACCTGGCTACCTCAGGTTTACTTCGCTTTGGTGTAGACATAGTCTTCTCGCTCAAAATGCAGTTTTGTGCTAATCTGAAACCGGCATTTAACACACATCGCTTATTCGGCGTCTTCCCGACTGCACGGAAGGTAGGTTCCAGGCTCGAACGTTTCGGTCACAGATCGGGACTATGTTTTTTTATAACTCGGTTCTGACAATTGGTTATCTTTCGCACACGTAGTGAACTTGGTTGAAGCTAAAGCGGACCGGATAAAAATTATGCTTTGTAATCAGAGGGATTTGCAAGACGCGGTGCGATGAGAATCAGACGGCGCAGTCCGGCTTCCGCTACTGCGAGGAACGGATATATTTATCGAGGGTGATTAACGAAATCCAAAGGGCGGAGATTACGTCACACTACCTTTCGATCTAGATAACCCGTTCTTAATTTATCGATATCGGGGCCCAGTGAATCTACAGATTTCAAGAATGTGATGGCGGCCTCGTGTCAATCCAACCATTCCCGAAGGGAAGAAGCACTCACCAACGTACTCCTAAAGAACTTGAACTCATCATGATCTCCCACACGAGTTCTTTCATCCCCTCCCTCCAGTACCAACCATGACCAGTCCAACTCCGGCTTTGATCGATAGCAAGTCCAACCTGGCTCTCACAAAGAGCGACAACTCTAGTGGTGATGCTGAACTTGCTGTGAATGTCGAAAAGCCTCCTCAAGTTCCAGGTCCACCTCCCTTTCCCGAAGGTGGCCTGCAAGCGTGGCTAACAGTTCTTGGCGGGTATGTGCCAAGTCCATATCATATCGTCAGACCACCTTTTCACATGCGGCTTCCGTGTTTACTCAGGTCTATGATACTCTTTTGCACCTTTGGCGCCGTGCAGTCATTTGGCGTATACCAGGCATACTACTCTGTAAGAATTTCCCCCAGTCTACACCCAGTTCACCACTCACATACCTGTCCGTCTTCAGTCCCATTACCTTTCGCAATATGTCGCAAGTGACATCAGCTGGATTGGTTCTGTGCAAACCTTCTTACTGTTTGCCGGAGGTTTACCCGCCGGAAAGCTGTTTGATGAAGGGTTAAGGTCTTCATTTCTCCGTTCCCATCTGATATCTAAGCACTCCCTCTGAGCAGGTACTTCCATCACTGCATAGGAGCGGGGTCGCTCATTTACCTCTTCTCGTAAGTTCTCATCACCATCCTCAAGACTCCCGTATCAACGTAACTTCAGGATATTCATGCTATCGCTCGCCAAACCGCATCAATACTACCAAATATTCTTGGCACAAGGTATTGGAATGGGCATTGGCATGGGACTACTTTTCCTTCCGGCAATATCTGTCACATCCCACTACTTCCGGCGGCGACGTGCTGCTGCTATGGGTGTGGTTTTGGCTGGCAAGTCTTTAACCTATTTCATTTCCGTTACACCAACTTCCTTGCAGGCTCGTCGCTCGGTGCCGTTATCTATTCTATCATGCTTAATAATTTGTTCAATGGCAGTGCTGGGTTTGGATGGGGAGTTAGGTATGCAATACGACATGTCAATGAATTAACGTTAACGGGTTACTATAGGGCAGCTGGTTTCATCGATCTTGGACTCCTTGGAACCGCAAACTTGATCATGAAAACTCGTTTGCCCAGTCGGAGAGAGCGTCCGAATGCGAAACCAGTCGATATCAAAGCAATACTGTCCGACCTTGGATTCTGGCTATGTGTTATTGGGTCTGTATTGTTGAAACTTTATCAAACCAGGAGCTGACATCTTCAATTAGTGCCACATTGACATTCTGGGGCTTGTTTGTTCCATGTAAGTCATGGAATGTGTCTGTTTGCTGCTTGGCTCACTGTATTATCAGTCTTCTATCTCCAAGTCTTTTCAGAGGATCATGGACTGTCGAAGAACATTGGCTTTTACGCAGTAAATAGCATCAAGCAATGAAACTGAATCAAGTACTAAGCGTGGTTATAGATTCCCGTAATGAACGCTGCTTCAATATTCGGAAGGACGATCCCGAACTTTTTAGGCGACATTATTGGACCGTTTAATGGTATGTAGAGTCATCTATCGGTGCCACACCGAGAAGCTCACAGGTGGCGGTGTGCAGTGATGATCCCATGCACTGTCATATCCGGAGGGATAATGTACCTCATGTTCGCAGCCACAAACCTTGGCGGTACCATTGCCTTTGGTATCTTGTACGGTTTCTTCTCTGGTGGCTGTACGTCACGTTCACTACTATGTTCTTGAAAGTCAACTGACTTTGCTTCCAGTCATATCCCTCATCACTCCCGCTGCTGCATCGTTTTCGAGAGACCTTAATGAAATTGGGCAAGTATTAGTGCCTCCTTTACGAGACCTTGAGCCTGACAGTTACACAATGTATAGCACTCGCATAGGCATAACTTCCTTCGTCATTGCCTTTGCACTCCTCACGGGCAATCCCATCGCTGGTGCATTAGCTCAAGTTCATGGTTCTTACATCTGGTACAGACCACTCGTCTTTGCTTCTGTAAGCCTCCATCGTCAGAGTCCCTTGGTCAAGCCGCTGAAACTCCATTTTCCCCTTTAAGGTCGTCGTGTTGGCAGGTGCCGCCTGTCTCACCGCTTCGCGATCCATCCTATCCAAGCGCAAGAACACCAACATCTTATGATAACGATTCCTACGCGAGCTCCCACGACATGACTGGGAGTTCAGATAACACTCGAGAACAATTTTGATGACCAGACTCGGACCACCTGACTGTACCATACACGCCGCCAAGACGACTTTTACGGACCTTCTCAAATTCTTGCCCCAGTCAGCTTGTAATTGCGGGATTAACAAATATCCTGCTATCATATCTTGTCTTTTCATGTATATCGATACGCTTTTGATGTAATTCCATGCCTTGTCAACATAGCGTTTCTGATATGCTGATGTTTTATTCCGATCACGTTCGAAGCCGAAGGTTGCAAAATTTATCATAGGTGGTGACCGCATTAACTGTTCATGCAGGTTAGATAGGGACAGGGTCAAACGTGCCCTGGCGGCCCCCCGCCGTGAACGTTACGCTTATTTACTCCCGCGGACCAACGCGTCCCTGAAAAAGGCTGGATGCTGTGCAATCCGTACGGCAAAGGTCATGCGCCAATGACTGTAGTCGTGGGGTTGTACATGGGGGAAGTATCTTGATTTGGCAATTGATGGGGGAACATTCCAGGGTCACAGTGCCAAGTCAATTGTGGATATGTTGATGCTGTACTCCGAGGAGGGAATTATCATCAGGAGATTTTGAGAGTTCATAAGTCGTTGAATGAAATCCCGATAAATCCTCGAGCGGTTAATCCCCATGAACTCCGAAGCGTTTTCTAAAGGTTAGCTGGACTAAATGATGTATACGAACAAATAACCTAAGCATGGGCGTAATCCCCGCTCTTCGGTTCGACTGTCAGTCTATTCGTGACCCAACCGATATGGGGGCAAGTAGGTCGGGACAGGTAGACACTTGCGGTTATGACCCCGACACTGAAGTATAGTCTACATTCTTCTCCAGACAACCTTCTTCTGCGAATGTTCAAGACCACACTAGGCTATCAACAGCTGTCGACTAATAGCACTAACCTCTGCAAAGCTGGAACAGGTCGACTGGCGCAACAAAGCTCCACCGACGGTAAGCCAAGTATGGGTTAGATTCGGGTATCGCTTAAGCCATGCCTTGTTTTCAGAGGTGACCATGTGGGCGCGTACGTGATCGGAACGGGGTGGTGGAATGAATGGTTAACGTCACTGGGATACTCGGACAAGAGTCTAAAGTCCGTGGTCGGGACCGAAAGTAACCCTAAAATCTAGGCAGAACAAGGAATACGAAGTGTAAGATCATGTACGCGGTAGATCTACCGAACATAAAAATTGCTCTTACAGGCGTGCTTCTCTGCATTTTTTGTCGCGTATTGACAGGTTCATGTTGCGCCTCGATGTAGATGTGATAGGGTGAATGGTGGGCCCGAGCAATCATGTCAGAAAACAAACTCACTGACTAAAATGAACTATTCATCCTTGGTCTATGCCAAACAGGATTGAAGAGCTGGATGGTCTAACAGTCTTTGGAGTCTAAAGGACACGCTTAGCCACCGGAAGGAGGTATGCGTGCGCCGAGATACAAGAAAAATTGCATACATACATGATGCCATCTGGGCGCAGTAGCATGCACGGCTACCACTTTAAAAATTCCAGATCGGTGTGCATCTCAGTCCAAAGGCGGTCCTAGACTGTAGATTGATTCACAAGATTCTGTGAATAAAGCGAGCAGTTGATCGTAAGAGGATCGGGTGACAACCCACTAGGCTAATCGACAGTTAGTCTTCCCTAGGCAGATAGTCGCGGTGAGCTGCCATCATGTAATGTTGATGTTTGCGGCGAGACCCGAGTTGTACAAGTGTGGTATATAGATTCTCACGCTCCCGGACGTCAAATAACATTACCGGTCTTTCCATTACAACTTCAAACATGGCCGATAATCAAGATTCAAAATGTATTCCTGGGGCCTCAATATTTATCATGGACTACACAACCTTCTCACAGCCATCTGAACTCTACATGCGAACGTGGTGGGTCGTAATGTGCGCAGTAGATCTGCAAAGTTGCATGCGATCAGCTTGTGGTCGTGACAGAGTTCACTAACTTATTTTACTCGATAAGGTAGCGTCCAACATAGGGCTTCGCCACAACGGACAATAAAAGGGATATATATATAAAGGTTTACTCGACTATGGTCGATTGCGCGCCTGGAGCATCAACAGCGTCGTTTGTAGCATAGTCAATGGCGTTCGCGGCGGATTCTTGGCATATAGTTTGATGAGTTTTTTAGACCATGCGAGTGAAAATGACACATTTCGCGATATAATCAGACCAATATTGAATTATTTTGAAGAATGTAACGATCACAGAGCCTCACTTCATCTATAAGCAAACGTTAGCAGGAAGCTGTGTATCAGTGTGCCAGGAGAAAGCCCCACATTATTATTATATCTGCTCCATGGCCCAGGACTTACTCAGGACCCATATTGCGCAGGTGTAGTATCTTGTCCTGCATTGGTGGATAATCATCGCACTAACACTAAGGTTCAATGATGAAGGAAAGGCCAAGAATGACATGCTTGGACGCACTAGCGGGTTGTCTGAGTCATCCGCTCGTTGCCGTTCGCATTGGCGCGTTGGTGAAAGGCGTGTCGGTGCTGATATCTTTGGGTCGGCGATTCCAGATAGCTCTACAGAATCTGGATGGACGTAAAGGCCCCCTGAAGCTCCCCATAAGGTCTGTCCATCCGAACCCCCCAGATAACGCAATCGCGTTGAGTGGTGTTTGAAATTAGAGGTTCATCAGCATTACCAGACTCGCAAGATACAGGCCCACTTACCTTCGGTGTGCCAAAACCAGTGTGAATAATCTGAATGTTGAAGAGTTGAGCCACTTTACGGTGAACCAGCTCATGCACATAATCATCTTGTGTGATTGTGGTGCTCAAGGCCCCGGCGACAGCTACCGTTCGGTAGGTGGCACCGACAGCGCGAGAATGTTCCTCAATTGCATGAACGACTGTCTTCCTTCTATCAAGGGTTTGAGACTATGAAGTTTGAACGTACGAGGTTAGAAATAGGAATTTCAAATATGATTTTCCAGATTGCCAGATCAGTTTAAAACAACCCTTATAGACACCAGCACGAGATAATAGACCACACACCATTCGTAGAAGATACGGAGGAGACATCAGGGTTTGATGGCAACTAGGATATGCTCTAAGGTATGGAAGAAGTCGCAAAGCAAATTGATGAACCAGCCAATATGCAGGTCTGCTGATCGCTGCTATTGAGCTTAATGCTCGCTGACAGTTCTGTTGTCTTTAAATCAGCTCAAGATCGTGTATGACCACCGTGCAAACCACTGAGTTAGCTCGGACTTGGTCCGTGGCTTGAAGGGAGAGCTTCACAGAAACTCTTTGGTGGACTGCTAGAATCATTGGGGCGGGATGTCAGTTGCCGGGCTGGGAAACTCGTCTCCCTGTTTGGTAGACAAGGGTCTTAATTCTACGATCAGTGACGAAGTCAACTAAACCTATGAAAAAAGGGGTGGTGTAAACCGTGTGCACGACCAAATCCACTGAGCATGTATATTTTTGTTCTTACTGAAGGTATGCTTCACTGCACTTTTTTCTGACACTTTCGCCGTATATTGACAAGCCTCAATAACAAGGGCCGAGCGATCATGTTGGAGAACAGACTCACCAATTAAACCCGAGGTTTGAATAGCTGAACGGTCTGACAATCGGAGCCCAAAATTTAAAGGACACACTCAGCAATCACAATGAGGCCTGTGCGTGTCAAGATACCGGGATGTTTGCACACAGCTACCTGAGCGCAGTAGCGTGCACTGGTACGAATTAGTCTTCCCTAGACAGACGGATGGAGATGGTCGTTGGCACGGCCGCCAGTTTGAAGATCAAGTCCAGATTCTCGGTATGTGAGATTGTATGTATGAAGCAAGTAATTGATTGTACAAGGATGGTGTCCGACCACCAGGCTGACCATGAGTCTTCCTTAGACGACGAGTGCTTGAGTACAGTAACAAAGCAGCTGTGTCATGCGTAGAGCCTGCCACACCCACTTGGGTAAAGTGTTAGGATATTTTCCCACGCTGCGCCAAACGCAGTTTGTATCGTGACGGTCAGGTCTTATAAGGCCCAAGTCGTGGATCTTTCTACCCGAGATGCCCTCCCAATCAGCACTCTCAGCGGACGAAAAGTCTAAAGTGAAATCTACTCTAGAGAGTTCCACGCAAAAGATACTCACCGCTACTGCTGCTCGTATCTACTTCGCTCATCCACAGCCAAACAAGTGGTCGTATGGAGGCTTGCAAGGTGCACTCGCTTTCACGCGAGATAACTCCAAAGACGCCTTCATGCTGAGACTGGTTGATTCAACGGGGACGAAAGGCGTCATATGGGAACACGAACTATATGAAGCGTTCGAGTATCACCAGGACAGGCCGTTCTTCCATTCATTCGCGGGCGATGTAAGTCTGCATTTGCAATTCAAAGGAAATTACTCACTTCTACTCAAGAAATGCATGATCGGTTTTGTCTTTGCTGATGAGAAAGATGCAAAAACCTTCTACAAGAAAGTAACCACCCGTAAAGCAGAGAAAGGTATGGTGATTTAGAAGCTCTAGTTGACCACCTTTGACCTCTACTTCAGTCAAATCTTCCTCCTCAGAGAAGAAGAAATCTGCCAAGGGTGGTAGAATAGATAAGTCTATGATTTCAGGTCCAACCGCTGGTTCCTTTGTGCATGTTGCACACATGGGTTTTGATCCTGAGAAGGGTTTCAATTCCACTAACATTGATCCATCATGGACCGCCTTTCTGAACGAGCTGGAGGGTTCAGGCGTTAGTCGCGAGGTCATCAACCAGGATATGGATTTTATAAAAGACTTTCTCCGTGATGCACAAAATAAACCCCAGCCTACTAAGAAGAAGACACCACCGCCCTTACCTGCACCTAGAAATAAGGGGCACACGCAGCAGGATAGTGTTGCATCATCAGTCAATGTGGGTTCTGCACCTACTCCCCATGCTCCTCCACCTCCATCACGTCCAGTCTCTACTGCGCCGTCTCTTCCCCCTGCTGTAGCACCCCCGTCATCGCGTCCCACCTGGGCTGCTCCGCCGCCGCCGCCACAACCACCACAACGAGCCCCTCCTGTACCCGCGCCACAACCAATAAGATCTTCAGGACCACCTCCACCACCAGTTCGTCCTGCGAGTGCTGCTCTCCCGCCTCCGCCTCCTGTACGACCACCAGTTAGTGCTCCTACACGACCACCAGTCAGCGCTCCTCCTGCACGACCACCAGTCAATGCTTCGCCACCCCCTCCACCTTCATATGAGGATCCTCATCCTCCTCCGCCACCACCTCCTCCACCACCACCTCCGCCTCCACCTTCATATGAGAATCCTCCTCCTCATCTTCCACCACCACCGCCTCCGCCTCCACCACCGCCTCCTCCACCTTCATCTGGGAATGCTCCTCCGCCCCCTCCGCCCCCTCCTCCGCCACCACCACCACCACCACCACCACCACCACTCTCAAATGGGGAAGGAAGCACAATGGTATTACCCGCTTCCCCACAGCCTGGTCGTGCGGACCTACTTGCATCTATTCGTGGACAGAGTGTGTCAAATTTACGGAAGACAGGTGGTCCTCAGTCAACGCCCTCTCCTCCCCCCGCATCTGCTGAAGAATCTGGTGGTGGTGGTGCGGGCGGGAATCTGACCGCCGCGTTGGCTGCTGCTTTGCTAGAAAGGAACAAGAGGCTCGGTGATAGTGATGAAGAGGACGAGGATGACGACTGGGACTAATATCGCTATTTATTTTCAATCACGTTCTTACACATCATTCATAATTAGGATTTACCTTTATGCAATAAAGCGAGGCCTTGAGAAGCACTTACAGGTAAGTAAACGAAGCCCCACAAATAACTGGAAAGAATTCCCGACCCCTAATACATACATGCATGCATGACTGTTGTGACCGCAAAACTAGACTCTCTTAGGCATGCTTCACAGTTCCCTCATCGTTTGATCTTTTGGTACTACTTGGACAGTTTGTTACAGTGCCGCGTGTGAAATCGAAGCTGTAACAATATTTGGTGTCTGGGCAGTGGGCTCTGGGGATAGTTAGCCTGATTTGGCACTGGCGATTGCCGATGCGGCAAGACATGATCCTTGGCCAAATGCAAGGCCGTGCTTTACTCTGCTCAACGACAATCACCAACTCCCGTCGTCCTCTTTTCCAAACCGTTGCATTCCCTTATAGCCAACAAGGCTTTCTATAGAGACTTTCTAGAATATGGCGGATCAATTGGTGAGTCGCTATGTCACGTGTGGGCTTCCGATGGGTATTGATTAATACTGATCTGGGAACGACCCACAGTCTGAAGGTGTGAATACTTTCTTGGTGGGACGCCAAAGACGTTATCAGTGCTGATATGATTTGTTGCTCTTGTGCGATTTTCCAGAACAGATATCTGGTGAGAAATCGTCGCTGGTGTTGTCGCTGATCCCAGCGCTCATTTACCCGCCGCAGAATTCAAGGAAGCTTTCTCTTTGTTCGATAAAGGTATGCCCAACGCGATGTTAGTTATTACTTCACCTGATCCGAAGCGATGTAGATGGCGATGGCACAATCACTACCAAGGAGCTCGGCACTGTGATGCGCTCACTAGGTCAAAATCCTACCGAAGCAGAGCTACAGGATATGATCAATGAGGTTGACGCTGATGGGAACGGTACCATCGACTTCCCAGAGTTCCTTACAATGATGGCGCGCAAAATGCGCGACACCGACAGCGAGGAAGAGATTAAAGAGGCATTCAAAGTGTTTGATAAGGACGGGAACGGCTATATCAATGCTGCTGAGCTGAGACATGTCATGACGAACCTGGGTCAGTGATGATACCCAGATATAAACCATAAATTAATCCCATTTCTAGGCGAGAAATTGACGGACGCTGAGGTCGATGAAATGATTCGCGAGGCAGATGTCGATGGCGATGGCCAGATCAATTACGATGGTTTGTCTCTTTTTTTATATCGTACATATTCGTACTCACGTGTCATTCGTATCGCATCGGTTCAGAATTTGTGAAGGTTAGCATTTCGTCCATAGTATTTCAATTTCGAAAACCTGACCTTTTTTCAAAAGATGATGCTATCGAAGTGATGTGGAATGCGTCCTGTACCATAAAATTTACTTCGGCATTCTACTTACTCTTGTCTTTCTCTGCTCAAGTGACTCGATCTGCAGAAAGAGTTGCTTGTTCAACGTTCAATTGCTAATGTTAATTAGGATTGTTTTGAATCGTCACGTGTGGAATGATGTCATCGGTATGATTGACTCCGCAGGTGCGTATATAGGGGAGCACCCAAGTGCTGCGGCACTGCGCTCTTTCTTCATCACTACTACCATAGCCCACTGCTATACCTGTAACAAATGTCTCAACAAACGAAAGATACCACAACTTCACCCAGTCACCAACAGGGACAGCAGGAGCAGCAATTCAACATCCTTCCCCACCCCGCTGTACGCAGCCGCTTTCACTTTCTAGCTATAGTTTTGCTGATTATCATCTAGAAATCTAATGACACGGCAGACTTGGTCGGGAGGCCCGGGCGTGATGCGGGTTTGACCAGCAAGCCTGAGTTTCACGCCTACCACGCTCGAGATCCGCATGTGCCTAGCAAGGACATCCTCAATAGCCTCGAAGCTCCATTGGTTCGTTAAGATACATTTTGAACGTCATACCCTTTGCTCACAGTTGTTCGTAGAGTCGTGAAGAACTTCATAGAAGGGAAGAGGAGCTCAACAAGAAGTAGGAGTCGCACTTGGGGCTGTCCCATACTCTACGAAGGGTTGTATTTGGCAGTACATAAAGATCGACGTACGCGATACTTTAACCAACTGCAGCCTGCACCTTGCCGTATATCATTATCGACATTCGTAAATGGTGAATACCCTTCCACAAACAAAAGAGGCTCCGTAACATTTGGGCCATTCTATATCAGATCAAATATACAGCGCTGACACTGAGCTTTGTGCCCTCTTGCCTTTGGCTTTGAGCTTCTTGCTTTCGGCTTCATCGCCTACCAGTGGATGCGTGTGGTGGATTCCGAGTTTCGGTTATGAGTCCTGTAAAACGCTTCTACCTGCTTCAAGTTGTTGGAGGGCGAGAAACGGCACAGCATAAACGACAACACACCGTGTCTATCACGGGTGACATCAAGTCTAGATCTCAACTTTCGGTGGTCTTGAGCCTGTTGAGCCTTGTGGTAGTAGATTTTTGTGGTTCGTGATGCAGTCGGATTGCTGGGACGAAGCAAGGAAATATATCGTTGATAACATGGGGGGTGTTTGTGTAGAATGGGTTCTGCTTCGCAATTTGGTTGTCCCTTGGGAGTCGGGACCTGTCGGGATCCGACATCGCGCAAGTGAAATTAGCTCCACGTGATCAGAAATCACTGGTGGTACCATCTCAGCTTGAACTCCAAGGATCCATTAACCTATTCTCAATCATCATGCCATTCTATCTCTCTTACGGACAATCTAACGTGCTTTTCCTATTGTCATCCTCCCTCCACCTCCGTATCGTTGCTAGAGTTGCAGAGGTCCCGAGTTCTGACGAACGCGAATTGTTCCATCCCACTCGAACGCCGCACCGATCGACTTGACTCCACATCGCAAGGCTAGTTTCCCGATCCTTTCCAAAATCCTTACAGTGGTGGACCAACACTGGAAATATGAAGCTGGGCAATAACATTTACGAAGAACTCGTGCCTGTCCGACTAGTTTAGGCTGGAGCATTGTCGACTTTAAGGCCGATGGCCTACACTGCGAATTGCGGGACAATACCTACATGACGCGCGCGAAAATGAGCTCACAGTCAGAGAAAATGAGATGAATCACTTGTGCGTAGTTATCGCATTTCAACTGTCTTCCTCTATTAGTCTACCTATGGGAGAGTAGTGATTGCCTATTGTGAGTTTCTGTCATCGTTTTTCATGAACCTTCGATCTGAGGAGACGTCGCAGATCCGGGTCCTACCACCGAAATTTGGATATGAGATGTGCGATGAGGAGAATAACCTCGAGGGATCACATGCGTTCCCTAGGTAAATTATCTGTATCACGACCTTCCTATGCCATAGCAATCTCACCACACACCTGACGTCATACGTTCCGCTTCACTTATCTCTCGTGTTTGTCTCATCACTGTCTTATTTTATATCATGATGAAACCACTTGTATAATCATCAGAGATACAATGTCAGGCTGTTATGTTGTGTGTATACAATCTACATAATGTTCGCAAATGGTGACCGACTCTCTAAAAATGCTGTCCATCCTCTAAATCTGTCTGGTAGAACATAGAACGGCTCGCAACTGTACAAATGTTGCAGAGGCACTCCCATCTCAGTGCACAAAGGCTGTATTTCTGTGAAGCATCGTGCAGCTAACGCGAAATCACCATGCACAAAGGCAATCTCCCCCAGTCCCCGCTTGCTGTATGCTTTGAAATCAAGATGTCCTTGGATATCACAACCTTCAATAGTGGCAATGAAATGGGACTCGGCCTTGTCGTATGCGCCTGCAGTGAGCTCGATGCATGCTGAGCCATAAGATCTGTGGAGAAATACGAATGCAGTGCGCAGTGCAAAGGATTGGAGTAGTCCCGGGGCTGGGTTAACGAGTTCTCTCGCAAGGGAATGATCCCCCTGCTTGCTTGCAACAAGGGCCTTCAACACGGTATACCAAAGGACATTGTGCAAACGTTGTCCCTCGAACGTCTCTATGATTTTCTGTAGGATGTCCATGGCTTTGGATAATCTACCTTCGCAAAATGCTACCTCTGCAAGCCCCTCAAGTGCGTCTGTGAGATCATCGGTATCTGTGCATTGCGGGAAAAGGTCTTCTAAGTGTGTGTTCACCTGGACAATGTCTCCCCCGTAGTAAAATTTGGCCCGCCAGTGCCAAATCTTGGAATCCAAATCCCAGATGCAATCTTCCGAGGACTTCACAAATAATTCGTCTGCAGATGTTGTGAATGTAAACATCCGGGCCATATCCAAGAAATACCAAACTTTGGCTTCCGTTGGTTCACTGATATACTTCCATGACTCGGAGCGCCGAATGACCTCTAAAACCTGTTGGGATTGAACGAGGTGGCCTCGACATCTGTATATGTCTGCACATTCGATGACACATTTGGCCACCATTTCGTGGTTGCCGGCGGTGAGATAGAGTGGCTCAGCAGCCTGGAAGGCCTGTATGGCTTCTCTGAATTGAGAAAGAGTCATGTAGAGCCAGCCGAGATGCCACAAGCAGTATGCTTTGAGCTCTTGCACAGACGAGTTCTCGATGATGCTGAAAATAGATGGGGTAAGGGTAGTTGGGCGAGGAAGATGCCAATTCAAGCACTGCAAAAATGTCCAACAAGTGGGACAAGTCATCTCAGGGATGTGGGCGAGGTCGAAAGCAATGACATGCTCAATGTTGAGGTGATCCGAGATAATGATATCAGCATAATCATCTCGTTCTTCCGAACACTGCTGGACAGTGCAATAGTAGAAGGTGCGTAACTCTCGAAAACACGTGGGGTCAGGTGGTGGCAACGAATCTTGCACATAATGTCGAATTGGTGCGAGCATTTTGACGAAGCCGTCCTGACGATAAACGAGAGATTGTCTCCATAAAACATCACATATAGTGTCGATTTGCAGGGTAGATGGCAAAATGCGCTTGGACAGAGCCTCATTTAGACCCTGGGGCAAGAAGGCGATGATAGTCAAAGCATGCCGAACCTCCTCTCCAAGTTTCTGGATTGACGGCGAGCTGAGTGACAGCTGCATGGTGTATGACAAGCTTTGTAGCTTTCCCTCGCCGTGATTTAGTACCGCACTGTGCTGATCATTCCATCTCTCCAGCAGTATGGCCGGAGACCAACCGTTTTGCTGCGCTGCATTTGCGATTAGATTAATGGAAAGCGGGTGATATTCTAAGTCCTGAAGCAGGTTTGCTATTCCTCCCTCCCCATTTTCACGACTGGCTGGACGGTAAATTCGAAAGAATGCCTCTTGAGCAGAGTTTGAATCCAGTGGTAGAATATCCTTGGTAATCCATGGTACATTCGGTGCGCTCCTTCTACTACGCGATGTAAGAATCAGAATGACGCCGGGGATGCATGCGATTTCAGCAATAGCTTGTGGTATTTCTCTGAGCGCTGACGTTCCACTGGCCTCTTCAAAGGTCTCAGCATTATCAAGAACAAGAAGGGCACTAGCGGAACGAAGACACGTGGATATTTGCCGCACTGGATTAGCGCCAGTGAGCTCTATACCGAGGGCTTCCGCGAAACGAGTCGTAAAAGCTTCAAATGTAATGGCCGAAGGATCCATGCCATCGTAGGTCACGAAGTAGCGCCTATCAGCAAATTTTTCGGTAATGACTGCCTCGTGAAGAATAGTTTTGGCAAGGGAACTCTTTCCCATGCCTCCTGGACCAATCAACGCAACATGCTCGTCATTGACGATGAGGTTAGTCAGTTCTGCAATGAGATCCCCACGGCCATAAAACATGGAAGGGCGCGATGGAGGCGCAGGTGGGCGATACCTGATTGCAGTTAAAGCCACACATCACTTGCCAAAATGACAACTCACTGGGTGTCATTGATCCCACGACCGATGTCCCTGGGTCCCAACGTCAGCCTCTCCACTCTGATCGCGATGCCAGCGATCGCTTCCGTCCAAGGACATTACTCAGCAGCAGAAATTCAGGTGTAGTTCAAGAAACATACTCTGAATAGCACGAGGGCTTGATCCAGATCTTTCTCCCATTTGGTAATCCGGTCGCGATCGATGGAAATGGAGAGGAGCCTGTGCCAAAATCCTTGCTCCTTCGACGACTCTATATCGCTATTGATGCGGCCTACTGACCTGCATAGTGTCATCAGATTCTGGCGACGGCGACATTGGTTCGGCTCACTTGTTGAGCTGAGTTAATGCAGTGCCCCAAGTATCCTTTCAGATCGTCTTTGGTAGCACCCTTGGTCGCTTGTTCAAGGATGTCCCTGATGGTCTCGCACTTGTCAGCTATCGCTTGGAAATCGGACTTGTTCTTTATCACTGCCTGTATAAACGTAGGTCTTTACCAATCTGTCTGAGAGTTAGGCTAACGCACCTGCGCAACAGTCAAAATGTTTACAATCATTCCAAGGATGCCTTTCACCAGATCGATAGGCACAAGGTCTTTGGTGGCGTTGATAGCTGATATAGTGGCACCCAGCAGCTGGACCACATTATCGTCCTGGGACTGCTTATCTTCAGCAGATGGTTGTTTAGCATGTGGGATACTCTATATTAGATTAGATACATGGTGGTGAAACGTGAATGGCTGGTTTCTTGCCTTCGGTTGGCTAGCCCTTCCAGCCTTTGAATTTTTGGAGAACATCGCCCGAGATTGTGTGGTGGATTCGAATCTTAGGTGGGTTTGAGCCACCAAACTAGCGCCTTTACCGACCTTAAGGTAGAGCGAAGGGTGAGAAACTGCACGGCATGAACGCATGACCTACTGGGTGTCTATCATATTGATATCCATGTGTCTCATGCTCTCAACTTTGGCAGGAACTCAGGACAGAATTAGGATAGTCACCATGTGCATGTCACACCGCATCATCACAGCATCTGAGGGACCAGACTGCCCTGAGCAGTCCTCTGTTCACGCCCTGCCTAGATTACAATGGTAATTATGGATAGCATATCCTTACGTTTAATCGTCACTGACACGATATCTCGGCATCTCGAGGTGAGTGATCGACCCAACGAGTCAGATCGGTGGGTAACGATGGCAGTTTGACTGGTAGCAATGGAAGGACGGAGGGAGTGGCGGATTTGTGGATGAGGGACGAGGGTATTACGCTGGACAAAGTCAGTCTATGGTTTCAAGGTTTTTCTGGCACAACATTGAGGGACACTTGAGCAATACTGCCAGTCGCTTTGGAGATTTTCGGATATAACGCCCTGCTCATTCGGCATCAAGAGATTTGACGCTGATATGCTAACATTCTGCCCCCGTCTGTCTGTACCAGCAGCATGATACATATCTCTTATCACGTTCCTGTTCTGGTCATCTCGCCATGCACGAGTACGCAAAATCTCCACGTCATCTTGGACGAACAATCCACGCCCAACTTCACTAATCGCAATGCTCCCATCGAAGACGCTCGGCGCAGAATAAGCTTGACTTACCTGAGGGAATCATTCCGATTTTAGGGTGCGTCTGCTATAGTTGCTAATTTATGATTCTTGCATGATTTCCCCTGGACCATATGCGCAATGTTGCCTGCGCCATCCTCACGTAGGCAGCTGGAGCTATTAGTTGTGTCTTTGGCAGATGGATGCGAGATTCAGGATATCGAGAATGTTCCTTAGTCTGCTCTAGAGCAGGAGTGAGTTCAACATGCTGTAAAGCTCGTCTGTGCGTTTGCTCCCATGTAGGCAGCGATGACAGTAGCTGTTGCTCAAGCTGTTCGGAAGATAATTAGACGGAGGGTTGAGAGTATGAACAGTAATTGACAAACCTTAGGCTTCTCTTTCGCGGCCCTCTTTCCCAACTTCTCTTCCCGGAGCAATCTGCCGGGATCTCATCCCCACTCATTCCTAAAAGGCGTGTCTGATCGCCGGTTACACGCTCTAGCTCTTTGTGTTCCTCACAAATTACCATGTACCTCTTGATCGATGTCAACAGTAGCATCTTGAACCGTACTTCCGCTTTCAGGTGGGCGATCTCATGCTCATGCTGGCTCAGCAAATCCTGCGTATGTTCGTCTGACATCCTTTGAGTCAAAACTCCACGAAGAGGGCGACAGAACAAACTCACCATCAGCAAACGCCGTAAAATCATTCCGCTCATCTTCTCCTACGATGAGCTCCTCCCACAGGCTCTCAATTTCTGTGCAAGCATTAGCGATAAACATCCCCATTTTCTCGCGCTTCAAGTCAATCATGCGCTCCAATTTCTTCATACGCTTGAACCATAGAAGGCATCGTCCCGCGATTCGCCTCGACAAAACCATCCATGGCCTCCTCGTCCATACTCATGCGTCGCCAAAGCACCTCCAGTTGGTCATACATGGCTTGGATGTGCACTTTGCGGCGCCTCTTGAGTTCGTTTAGTTCAGCGTGCAGTTTATCAGCCCAAGCCAAGACCTGCGTCAGTTCGATACCACATGACTTTAGAATTGGTCCAGGTGACGAGTCTCGCGATGATGAGTCGAAAAGTTCGATGAAGCGTCCAAGAGACCTGGGGTATCCATGTCCGTTGGGAACTTGGGGACTTCTGGCAGGGTTATAGAGGGCTGTGGGAGAGAGAACGATGGGAAAAGCATGTGACTGTCGGTTTTCCCGATTGATGAAGGAGTAGGAGTCAATGGTCCGATGGTTGAGGATACAAATAAATCTGCACTCGAGTTGAGACGCGTGCTACTGACAGATAAAGATCGTAGCAGAGAAGATCTCGGCACAGCGAGTGTTGAGGATGAAGTAGCAACCGGTGTTGTGACAGTGGGTGGGGGCGGATCGATACCTAGTTCTGAATAAAGCCGGTCGATCTGGATGAAGACTTCACCCAGTTAATTTAGTTGCTTCAACTGTAAACCTGTGATCAGCGATATAGAGATAAACAAGGAAAGACTGACTCACTACTTCGCCTTTTCCTCGTGCAAGCTCCCTTTCAAGTTTGGAGAAACGTTCAGGCACAACATGGGTTGTCTAGTTCCTCAGTAGTAGCAACCGCTGGAGTTAAGATATCTTGTTGAAAGAAATGGGAGCCCAGCGTCCATGCGAGGGCATTCAGGCAATTGGTCAACGTTATGAGCTGCTCGAGTTTCATATGATAGATCTGAGACTGTCATCTCAGTAGATCACGCGCACAAAAGACCCGACTGACCTATCTTATTTTTCTGCTGGTATACAATAGCGCTTTCATATCTCCTTGGCGAGACCTTCTCAGCTTTCAGATCACTAAACCACCCAGCAACTTCAGCATACGTGGCCAGCGCTTTCGAATACCGAGCGCAACCAGATCCTCCCTCGCATTTTCCTATCCAATCTTCCACTTGTTTCCTCCGCACCTCTATCTGAGACTTGATGGCTTTGATCAAGGTATGTTGTAATGTTTGCAGTTCGTCTTCCGGAGCGGTTTGTGGTAGGCCAGTTGAACATGAAGTCTCCGCAGAAGTTGAGTTTGGGCATTGAGGTGCGTGTGTAGTGATGATAATAGCGTGCTCAGCGTTAGAGATGATGATGAGAACATGTTTGGCGCGATGAGAGATGTGGCATCCACCGAAATTCGCGTCAGTGACCATTTCGAACCGAACCGTGTCCAGGTCACGTGCTGGCGACTTTGCCCGTCCACACTGCGCGCCGCAGCGTGTGGGCGGTGAAATGTACCAAATCGTTGCATTACCTTATGTAGCCAGCAGGGCTTTCTATCGAAACTTTCTAGAATATGGCGGATCAATTGGTGAGTCGCGATGTCCCGTGCGGGCTTCAGATCGGTATTGATTAATATTGATCTGGGAACGGCCCACAGTCTGAAGGTGTGAATACTCTCTTGGTGGGAGGCCAAAGACGTTTATTGGTGTTGATATGCTTTGTTGCTCTTGTATGATTTTCTAGAACAGATATCTGGTGAGAAATCGTCGCTGGTGTTGTCGCTGATGATCCCAGTGCTCATTTAGTACCCGCCACAGAATTCAAGGAAGCTTTCTCTTTGTTCGATAAAGGTATGACCAACGTGATGTTAGTTATGACTTCACCTGATCCGAAGCGATGTAGATGGCGATGGCACAATCACTACCGAAGAACTCGGCACTGTGATGCGCTCAATAGGTCAAAATCCTACCGAAGCAGAGCTACAAGATATGATCAACGAGGTTGACGCTGATGGGAACGGTACCATCGACTTCCCAGAGTTCCTTACAATGATGGCGCACAAAATGCGCGATACCGACAGTGAGGAAGAGATGAAAGAGGCATTTAAAGTGTTTGATGAGGACGGGAACGGCTATATCAATGCTGCTGAGCTGAGACATGTAATGACGAACCTGGGTCAGTGGTGATGCTCGCTGATATAAATTATAAATTGATGCCATTTCTAGGCGAGAAATTGACGGACGCTGAGGTTGATGAAATGATTCGTGAAGCAGATGTTGATGGCGATGGCCAGATCAATTACGATGGTTTGTCTCCTTTTTGTATCGTACTTATTTGTACTCACGTGTCCATGTTCGTGTCGTATCGGTTCAGAGTTTGTGAAGGTTAGCATTCCGTCCATAGTATCTCAATTACAGAAATCTGACCTTTCTGTCGAAAGATGATGCTGTCGAAGTGATGTGGAATGCGTCCTGTACAATGGGGGCTACTTCAGCATTCTACTTACTCTCGTCTTTCTCTGCTCAAGTGACTCGATTCGCAGAAAGAGTTGCATGTTCAACGTTCAATTGCTAATATCAACTGAATCGTCACGTGTGGAATGATGTCATCGGTATGATTGACTCCGCAGGTGCGTATATAGGGGAGCACCCAAGTGCTGCGGCGCTGCGCTCTTTCTTCATCACTACTACCATAGCCCACTGCTACCTGTCATAAATGTCTCAACAAACGAAAGATACCACAACTTCACCCAGTCACCAACAGGGACAGCAGGAGCAGCAATTCAACATCCTTCCCCACCCCGCTGTACGCAGTCGCTTTCGCTTTCTAGCTATAATTTTGCTGATTATCTAATCTAGAAATCTAATGACCCGACAGACTTGGTCGGGAGGCCCGGGCGTGATGCGGGTTTGACCAGCAAGCCTGAGTTTCACGCCTACCACGCTCGGGACCCGCATGTGCCTAGCAAGGACATCCTCAATAGCCTCGAAGTTCCATTGGTTCGTTAAGATACATTTTGAACGTCATACCATTTGCTCACAGTTATTCGTAGAGTCGTGAAGAACTTTATAGAAGGGCAGAGGAGCTCAACAAGAAGTAGGAGTCGCACTTAGAGCTGTCTAATACTCTACATAGTACAAAGGGTAGTATTTGGCAGTACAAATGGATCAACGTATGCGATACTGTGTCCAACTGCAGTTTGTAACGTACCGTATATCATCTACATATCAACGTCTGTAAATGGTGAACGCCCATCCACAAACAATGTCCAACCTTCAAATCTTTCCGGCAACGCATCAGATGGTATGCCATGCAAATTTCTTGGGGGCACTCCCATCTCAGTGCACAAGGACCGTGTCTCTGCAACGCGCTGTGCGGCTAACGCAAAGTTCCCCCTTTCAAAGCCAACCTCCCCCAGTCCACGGATGCTGAATTCCTTGAAATCAAGATGTCCCTGGATAAGAACTCTTTTCGATGCCTCCCGGACCAATCAACGCAAGATGTTCATCGTTTAAAATGACGACAAGATTCGTCAACTCCGCCACGAGACTGTTACGGCCATGAAATATGGAAGGTCGCGATGGGGGCTCTATCGGGCGACACCTGGTTTTGTTTAGAAGACACGCACAACCTGCCGAAATACAAACTTACTGTAGAACACTGATAGGAGCATTTCCCTTGAGTTCCGAAGCGAATTTCTTCGTGCTAATCGAGAGGCCAGTAATTGCTTCAAACTTGAGATATTATTCAGCAGCAGAAGTCGAGATGAAGTTATCGAGACGTACGTTGAAGAGTGCCAGTAAGCGATCTAAATCCTTTTCCCATTTGGCGATCTGGTCGCGGTCAATTATGACAGAGAAGAGCCTGTGCAAGAATCTGTACTCCTTCTTCGAAGCCACTTCACTATTGATACGGTTTATTGATCTACACAGCGCCATCAGTTCCCAGCGACTGTGAAACCAATGTGGCTCGCACTTACATGTTAAGCTCGGATAAGGCATTTTCCAAAGATCGTCTTCGGTAGCATCCTTGGTCGCTCTTTCAAGGACATTCCAGATAGTTTCGCATTTCTTGACTATCGCCAGGAAATCGGATTTGTTTTTGATTACTGACTGTACAGACTTGAAGATCCATTCGTGAGGGTTTTCGAGTATTATGTCAACACACCCACGCAAGAATGAGAATATTTGCGATCGTTCCAAGGATACCTTTTGCCAGGTCAGGTAGGAACAAGGTCTTTCGTAGCGTTGATGGCCGATATAGTGACGCCTAGAAGATGAATCACGTCGTTGCCATTGTCCTGGGACTCCTTGGATTCAGAATATGGTTGCTTATATCTTACGGTCTGTTCGTGAGTGTCCTCCATTTCGTAAGTCACACTTTCTCTCAGGGATTACTTACCATTAGGATCGCGTAACCAACTATCATGTTTCCACTAGGCACTCACGTCACGATCACCGGCCTAGGGTCGCTAGCACTTATCATGTCAATGGTGTATTTGAATCACCTTCTTCAAGTCGAACCCATCATAAATCCTGTGCTCCGACCACACAGCGTGACCATTGTAATTCATGCATCATGATCATCAAGCCTCCCTTCAAATATGAGATCTGAGCGCTCTAGGTTGCTACACACTCACACTGGTCCTCGGTATTTGCCGTCGACGGTTACAGTACTTATTCACAACTGCTTGCTGCAGACTTCCATTCACCCATTGTGCTACTCAAAAATGTCGGCCCCGGACACCTTTGGTTTGCAGTTAGCCAAGGTAATTCGATTGTGCTTTTTGTCCAACCATTCTCTAATGTCTCCAATTATTGAAGTACACTAACGGTGAGGTCGTGCTGGTAACAATCTAATCGTTATTCACGAGTCTCCAAAGTCGCTGCATCAGCCATCCTAGTAAGTTGTGTCTCTTCAGTCTCATTATAGCTCTGATGTATGACCAGATTTACGACTACTTTGTCACTTTACACTTTGAGGTCAGACTGATCAGCCACCCATACCTTGGTGCTGATATTTCTTGCAGGTCCAATGGACCTGGGGACAGAAATGGGGAATCATTCGCACCGCCTTCACGATTTCACGATATGTACCTTTTGCTGGTGCGCTTATGACCTCGTACTGTAAGATATGCCGATGCGCACTACCACGCAAAAGCTGATTCCTAACCAGCCGCTGTTAAGATATGGGGCACGCAAGATGTGAATACACCTTTAATCTGTGTAGCTTCAATTACAACTCACAACAACATATAGTGTATACCTTTTAACGATGCTGTAAACGGTCGGTCCACATAGCTCATGACATGGCCCGCCAATAACATTTCGCAGGCCTACATTTCTTGGGCATCATTGCCTCGGAAGGTTGGCTTTCGCATACCACATTGCAGGATGCATTTACAATCGCACGACAGTTTTGTTGATTGCCAGGGTCTACGCCTTCTCTGGCAACAAAAGGCCTTATCTTATCATTCTTGTCTCCTTTAGTTTGGTACAGTGATATATCTATTTCCCTGTACACCACTGACCCGTATGACACAGGCCATCTTAGTGACGTCTGTGATTCTAAGTGCTGCTCCCATCAATTTGAATATCCCGGGCCCAGGCGAGGTCTCAAGGCACACTCCTTAGTCTTAATATTCATCTCCTTTCAGCCACCCCGCCTTGCGCATTTGAGGGGTCTCTTAGACTTAGTAGTGCCCTCCCGTATGGACTCTTGATGTTCTTCGAGATAGGTGAGGCGACTGTTGATTCAAAATTCTTTACTTGATAATTCACTTCCAGTTCTCATGTCCACCACTGCATTTTTGAGATATCGACACTATCTGGGTTCCCATAGTGTGCTGGTGAAGAGTATTTATCGTGATGGACTACTCTACATGTTCTGCATCACAAGTATTAATGCCATTGTTACTATTTATTTCGTGCTCACATCCCTGCAGTGATATCTACAGTCAATGTGATAGTTATCGCTGTGTTGCCTGTGAGTTCTTTCTTTGTTTTCGCCGACTTCGAAGAACTGAGTAGACCCTCTAGCTCTCGTACAGCGAAATACTAAACACGTTAGTCTGGTCGAGCATATGGTAGATATATGTTGTCGGGGGCTCACATCCCTCATTTTAGACCTCAGATTGTTGCGCACAGTGTTCTTGCTTCTCGAATACTGTTCAATCTTCAAATAAGCAAGGAATTACCGCTCTTGCTCACCTACCGATCGACGACTTCAATGGAATTGCTATCCCGTTCACACGAATTCGAAGCGCGGCCTGGAGGCAGTGTGACAGCTAGCCAGCCAGATGAAGCTTAGTCCTGCTGGTAGTTCTGTGAGTCACGCAGACAACGCTTGTTATTTAAACTTGCTGACTATGCTCACCTCTTTATTCCTATATTTTCCGTGTCCTTCATATTTTAGTGGTAAGCCACTCAACCCAGGTGTATGCGTTCTCTGCGCTAACAAACACATTGATGCACAAGTCTTTTTTTAAACAACAAACATCTAGATTTATTGATATTTAGAGTCTAAGACCTCATGTCAGACATCCCTATACGTAGAGCCTGCCACTAGTATCGAACTTGGTTGTACATGTGTATATTCTGTTGTATATGAGCGAACGTCCGATGAGCTATGTACTGCCCTGGCAGAGAAGCTTGCGAGGGCTATTACGATCTGTGATGAAGTTGAATTGGTGCGAAGCTAGTTCATATCACCCATGGCTACGAATAGTCTAAGACATGAGAGGGGGGACATTTTCCCCATGTAGAACAAGTATGGAATGCATTCAATGAAGATGTGCGAGAGCGTCGTGTCCTCGTCCGCAACGGCCAACGAAAACGTGGTTCGGTTCCCTTCTTCTGTCATGTTTAACTGATCAGTATAACACACATCCACCGCTTGCCCCGAATCTTTTTGCCAGTTCGCCATGACGAGGACGAGACGAAAATTCCCAACAAAGGTTCCGTCGAGGATGGTAGAGTACAACAAGGCATACATAGTTCATAACTACACAAATAACGTAAGTTTAGGCCGTCATGCTCGCCGTGCTTCGACGATAAATGAAAGTGGTCATCGAAATATCATCAGAAAAAAAATAAAGAGAGAAAAAAAATGCAGGAAGTCATGCTCAGCACCCGTCTTCCTCTGCAACGCTCATCCCCCGAAACCCGCTCTTCCATCCCCCAGCGCCCCCACTACCGCCATCGATGCTCGGCCGTGGTTTGAAGCTCTCCTTGCGAATGCGACCCGTCGTCTTTTTAGCTGCTAAGTCCCTAGAATGACTGGACGCCATTGAAGCAGAGTTATACGATCGTGTGCTCGAAATATAGTGCGAGCTCATGCTCGAGCTAAGGTGTGTCACGCTCGTATGCGATGTTGATCGTGGCATCGTCGAAGGATTACGGCCCCATCCCAGTGCGGCGTACCCCTGCAAGTTCTTCGAGTGGGAAGACGTAGGCTGCGCGTTTTGCATGGTTGGTCGGGGGAGAGCTGAATTGCCGCTGGGTGTCCGGCCCCTTGTAGGAGATCCTGGACGTGCTACTGTATGATGCGTGCCATCGATGAGTTTCTGTCGTTTATTAGTTCCGTGGGTATTTGAAGACATCGACGATCCTGGCCGAACGGCGGGTGTTACCACGCCGTGATTAGATGCATTTGATTTGCCAGGGACATATCCTGCTTTGGAAGCGACATTCGCCCCACTGTTGGCGGCTGCGGCGGGCTTCAGACTTTGCGAAGCCCCCCTGTTGAGCGCCTGCGCAGAGTATTGAGAAGTAGGCGTTCTTTTTCGGTTCTCCTGTTCGTTCGCCGATGCATTCTCCATCAACAGCTGGAGCATGCTTTCGCCATGTACGAGGAAAGCTCGTCCGTGCGTTTGCTCCCATGTAGGCAGTGATGACAGTAATTGTTGTTCGAGCTGTTCAGAAAATAATCAGACGGAAGGTGGAGAGTATGAACAGGAATCGACAAACCTTGGGCTTCTCTTTCCCAACCCTCTTTCGCATCTTCTCTTCCCGGAGCAATCTGCCGGGATCTCGTCCCCCACCCCTTCCTAGAAGGCGTGTCTGATCGCTGGCTACGCGCTCCAGCTCCTTTTGTTCCTCACAAATCTCCATGTACTTCTTGATCGATGTAAGCAGTGGCATTTTGAGCCGCACTTCCGCTTTCAGGCGGGCGATCTCATGCTCATGCTGGCTCAGTAAATCTTGTGTATGTTCATCTATGACATCCGCTCAGTCAAAACTCTACGAAGAGGGTGACGAAGACAAACTCACCATCAGCAAACGCTGCAAAATCATTCCGTTCATCTTCTCCTACCATAAGCTCCTCCCACAGACTCTCAATTTCTGTGCGAGCATTAGCGATAAACTCGCCCATTCTCTCGCGCTTCAAGTCAATCATGCGCTCCAATTCTTCTTCATACGCTTGAACCACAGAAGGCGTCGTCCCGCGATTCGCGTCGACAAAACCATCCATAGCCTCCTCCTCCACACCCATACGTCGCCAAAGCGCCTCCAGTTGGTCATACATGGCTTGGATGTGCACTTCGCGGCGCCTCTTGAGTTCGTTTAGTTCGGTGTGCAGTCTATCAGACCAAGCCAAGATCCCCTGCGTCGGTTCGATACCACATGAATTTAGGATTGGTCCAGGCGACGAGTCTTGCGGCAATGAGTCGAGAAGTTCGATGAAGCGTCCGAGAGCTCTGAGGTATTCACGTTCGTCGGGGAACTCGGGGACTTCTGGAAGGGCTATAGATGGCTGTGGGGGAGGGGACGATGGGCAAAGCATGTGGTTGTCAGATTTCCCGATCGATGGAGGAGTAGGAGTCGATGGTCCGATGGTTGAGGACGCAAATGGGTCTGCACTCGAGTTCAGATGCGTGCTACCGGCGGATGAAGATCGTGGCAGAGAATATCTCGGCACAGCGAGTGTTGAGGATGAGGTGGCAACCGGTGTTGCAACAGTGGGTGGGGGAGGATCGATACCTAGTTCTGAGTAAAGCCAGTCGATCTGGGTGAAGACTTCACCCAGTTGATTCAGTCGCTTCAACTGTAAACCTGTGATCAGTGGTATAGAGATAAACAAGGAAAGATTGGCTCACTACTTCGCCTTTTCCTCGTACAAGCTCCTTTTCAAGTTTGGAGAAGCGTTCAGGGACAACATCTCGTAGTGCCGTAGGGCTGTCTAGTTCCTCAGCAGCAGCGACCGCTGGAGTTAAGATGTCTTGTTGAAAGAAATGGGAGCCCAGCGTCCGCGCGAGGGCGTTCAGGCGATTGGTCAACGTCGTGAGCTGCTCGAGTTTCGTATGATAGATCTAAAAGACTGTCATCTCGGTAGATCACGGATACAAAGAATGCAACTGACCTGTCTTAGTTTCTCCTGGTACACAGTGGCGCTTTCATATCTCCTTGGCAAAACCTTCTCAGCTTTTAGATCGCTGAGCGATCCAGCAACTTTAGAATGTGTGCCCAGCGCTTTCGAATACCGAGCACAACCAGACTCCACTCCTTCGCATTTGACTATCCAATCATCCACTTGTTTCCTCCGCACCTCTATCTGAGACTCGACGGCTTTGGTCAGGGTATGCTGTAATGTTTGCAGTTCATCTTCCAGGGCGGTTTGTGGTAGGCCGAGTTGAACATGGAGTGTCGGGAGAAGTTGGGTTTGTGCATTGAGATGTGTGTGTAATGTTGATAATAGCGTGCTCAGCGTTAGAGATGCTGGGGAGGCCATGTTTGGCGCGATGAGAGATGTGGCATCCACCAAAATTCGCGTTGGTGACCATTTCGAACCAAATCGTGTCCGGGTCACGTGCCGGTGACTTCGCGCGTCCACACTACGCGCCACAGCTTGTGGGTTGTGGATCCAACACATATTTGAAATGCGCGTGAGCCTCCAGGACACAGGTCCCTGGTCCTAATAATCTGATTGTTATTGTCATTGTTATTGTCATAGCGATTATTCACCACCGAGTTGGGTGCACACTGTTCAGTCCTAGTACACTTGGGACCTCGGTACAAACCTAACCATTGAGACAAAGGTGCTGCACACTAGCACATCTTGCCAGAAGCACAATGAAGATGTAATGTTATCGTTAGTCTAGGACCAGCTCTATTCTACCTGGATAGCAGCAATGGATGTGTAAGTAGAGCGAGTACAATGTCCTGTCTAATTGCCACCTATCTCCTTGGCGAGCTGCTCAGCCTTGGACTTGACGTCCTCGATCGTACCGGCCTGTTCAACACGTCAACAAACACCACATCAAATTTATACACGTGTGCGTACCATGTAGAATGCAGACTCAGGCAAGCCATCGTGTGTACCAGCAAGGATCTCCTTGAAAGAGCGGATGGTGTCTTTCAAAGGCACGAGCTTGCCTTCGTAACCCGTGAAGACCTGTGCGACCTGGAAGGGTTGCGACATGAAACGCTGGATCTTACGAGCACGCTCGACCTAGTCTCCATCAGCACTGAGTATTGCTTGCATCTGTGTATCACTGACCGTCAACTTGTCCTCTTCTGACAATTCATCCATACCCAGAATGGCAATGATATCCTGGAGAGACTTATAGTCCTGAAGAATTTTCTGGACAGCGGTGGCAACCTCGTAATGCTCTTGACCAACAATTCGGGGGTCAAGCATACGTGACTTGGAGTCAAGGGGGTCGACAGCAGGGTAGATACCAAGCTCAGCAATACCACGCGATAACACAGTAGTAGCGTCCAAGTGAGCGAAAGTAGTGGCAGGAGCAGGATCAGTCAAATCGTCAGCGGGCACGTAGACTGCTTGCACGGAAGTAATTGAACCCTTCTTAGTGGTGGTAATACGCTCTTGCCTACACCGAAGGTCAAATCAATACTACAGCAAGCACAGCAATGTACATACATGCCACCCATGTCAGTTGAGAGTGTAGGTTGGTAACCAACAGCAGAGGGGATACGACCAAGCAGAGCAGACACCTCGGAACCAGCCTGGGTGAAGCGGAAAATGTTGTCAATGAAGAGCAGCACATCCTGGCCTTCCTCATCACGGAAGTACTCGGCGATAGTGAGGCCGGTAAGAGCCACACGAGCACGAGCACCAGGGGGCTCGTTCATTTGACCGAAGACAAGAGCTACCTTGGAGTCACCCTCAAGGTTGATGACCCCAGTCTCAATCATTTCATGGTACAAATCGTTACCCTCGCGAGTACGTTCGCCAACACCTATCGAATAAAAGAAATAAGGTCTTGATACGACCGAAAAAATTCGAGTTCAACCAACCGCAGAAAATGGAGAAACCACCATGGGCTTTGGCAACATTGTTGATAAGCTCCTGGATCAACACAGTCTTGCCGACACCGGCACCACCAAAAAGACCAATTTTACCACCACGGGCATAAGGAGCAAGAAGGTCGACGACCTTGATACCGGTCTCCAAAACCTCGGCAGTGGTTGACTGATCAACGAATGGAGGAGGGTCGGCGTGAATTGGCGAGAGCTTGACACCCTTTATAGGACCACGCTCGTCAATTGGCTCACCGATGACATTCATGATGCGGCCTAGCGTTGCAGTACCGACAGGAATTTGAATGGGAGCACCGGTGTCGACTACCCTTTGGCCACGGACGAGACCCTCGGTACCGTCCATAGCGATGGTACGGACGGAGTTCTCGCCGAGATGTGATGCAACCTCGAGGACAAGACGGCCGCCGTGGAAGTCCTGAACCTCCAGTGCGTTGAGAATGGGTGGAAGAGCATCAGTCTCGAACTGAACGTCGACGACAGCACCAATGACGGTTTTCACAGTCCCAGCAGCTCCCTTCACTTCTGTTGCATATGTCCGCGCTATAACCCGAGTTCATCCGGTTCAAATAGAATGACGCGAAAAAAGCCAAAAAAAAACTCAGTAAGCGGTAGAGAGAACAATCTCAGACTCAGAACTAACCAGGTTGCACTGATGCGCGCGAAAGACGAACGGCCGCGTTTTGTTTTGGGGAGGAGGAAGGAACGGCGACACGGGACAAAGAATAAGCAGCGGTGTTAATGAACCGACTGGTGTTCTTTGCACTGTCGGCCGCTCTCCGTGAGAGGCGGGTAACGCCGCGGGCAGTAAGCATTCTTGTGGTGAACGACGACGAAGACGACGACGGATGTAAGATTGCAAGAAATACTTACCCGACACACTTATTCGCAAACGTGCGAAATTCAAATTCCGTTCAAAGCTCCGCCATCGGCACCAGCAAAACGTTGTTACTAAATTATAATAAATATTATGGTCTTCTGAATCTGACTGTCGATGCGTGTCCTCAGATTTACGCTGTACAAGGCGAGCTTCAAGTTGCGGCCGAGCATCGTTACTTCTGTTGCGGGGCATTGAAGAGTGAGATCTGGGGGCGGCTGTTGAGGGATTTGGTGCTGATCATTTTTCTGACGACTTCCAATAAATCCATCCATCTGGTTCATCATGACTGTACGAGCTTAGCAGGTTCAAATTTATCGCAGTGATACTGATCATGATCCACACACGCACGGGCATCCCCGTTGTACTCCATCTTCATGCCCGAACGTTTGTTGCGCGGACGTTTGTTGATGTCATCTTGTTCCACCGATCACGAGGCACCAATCATTCGAATCTGACCGAACCCACAGCAAGTCCCTGACAACCTGGTGATGCGTGTCCACTTCCGATCTCAGATACCACAATATTTTGTAAGTATGCATCCCATTCAGAATTTTATTGATCTTTTTGCAACAGTACCCGCGTATCCATCATTATATAATACATGGAATTACCTTCAGGCAAAAGATACGGACCTATCATTGCGGTAAGTTTGCAGTCTTTTCTTTGTCTCGATCTCGAAATGTACAGTGACTTCGGTTGTGCGTTCTCAACAATGCAGTATATCATTGCTGGCGGGCAAAGGGGTCAAGAGCAGTGCGTGCTATGTAGCGTAAGCATTGAACAACTACCATATACGTTGCGTAACAGCGAACTGAGTCGGAACAGCTTGTGACATGTGCATGTGATGGACCGTCAACTCCTATGATCGGGCTTATATTAAGAAAGAAAATTCTTCTGCGTGATACTGGATTCGGGGCTGTGACTGACCATATTAAATAGCATGCAGGTGAAAGTTAGCACATCTGAAATACTTTCATCGTCTTCGCCATGTCAGCTACAACTATGGGTTATCAGACGGCGCAGGTGAATCCATCGCTTTCGAGCCTGTAGTACAATTTCTCATGTTTCAATACCTTTGCACATTGATAGTATTTCACAGTACATACTTCACTACTAGCACTCGCATTGTCTGTCTGACGATGGGAATAGTTGGAGCGATGGCAGCAGTGGTGAGTGTCTGAACTGCAGTCATCCCGAATGCCCTCCTCATCTTTGAACCTAGGCCTTTGACTACTGCTTGACGATTTCACAAGAGGTTTGTGACTCTGTTTGAGTCCGATGCACGCTAAGTTAGCTCGCAGGTCCAATTGATCTGGGGAAAGAAGTGGGACGCCATGAGGATTACGTTCACCCTCGCTCGTTATGCCACCTTGATGGGTACTGCCATGACCACGTACGGTAAGCTGCAAGTCCTTGCACCATGTATCACGCCTTGATATGATATATAAGCTGCGGTGACTGACCGGTCTAAGTACAAAAGCGTTCGTGAACTCGTGATTTGAATTAGACTCTCACTGACTGCTCTTCCAGTGTGCAACTTTCGGCGATGTCTCATACGGTAAGCAGCGCCAAGACAGACTCGAGTCCAGCGTGGACATTGAACATTCATTAAGCTTCACATCTGATTAGTATTATCGCTGCAGAAGGTCGGCCTGATGGCGCTCTCGTCGTTTTGAACTAGTACTAGTATGCTTATCATCTACTCTGCAGGCCTGCTTATTTTTCGCACATATGCCTTTTGGAATCAGAACAAGAAACTGCTGATGTTCCTTCTCGCTCTTGCTGCAGTGGGTGGCAAGTTGATGGTTCACCGATCAAATCCAAAATTGCGTTCGGACAGTTTTCTATTCTAGGGGCTGTTGGGACGTCAAAAATCGCGAGCTTCTATTTCGTTAGCCCTCCAAGTACCCGCGCTTTATGATATCGAGTGAGCACTTTTACTGAAACCAGTCAGGCTGCGAGTTTAGAACTGGAAAGGGTAGCGCCGTACAGTATATATTTTTGATCATTTACGAGCTAGGTATTCAAATTGATGCTCCTAAATAGCGAAGCTGTTAACCTGAGATGTCACAGTGCTCATAGTCCTCACGTTATATAAGAGATTCAGCTTCTACAAAGGTACTCGAAGTCGCCTCGTCAGCACCCTTTATCGCGATGGGATAATATACATGACCTGCGTCATAAGTGAGTCTCCTTGTTTATGGATTCACACAGATCTGACGAGAGTCGTTCAGTGGCATCCATCGCAAATATCTTTATCGCCCTGGTCGTTCCTGTGAGTTTCTAGGTATTTGGACAGGACTTACTAAAATGCTCAAACTGCAGGGCGACTCGGATTACACTAACATCATGGATGTGTTTGTGTATTCCTTCATCTGGCAGGTTTTCCGCTGACTTCTCTCAGACCACAACTCGTGGTACACGGGGTGCTAGCCTCCCGTATCTTATTTAATTTGCGGCAAAGTCGTCAGTCCGATTCTGTGATAATCGATGAAATGTTCCCACTCGCGAACATGCCTCGCACGCCTGATGCGGGTGAAACGACAATTGGCGGTTCTACTTTCGTCACTACGCACGAAGATTTTGGTGCCAAAGATTCGTACGAGTAGACTAAGTATGTTCAACTTGATCTAGTGTAAGTACGTAAATTTGCATGCATCAGGTAACCGACCTGACTACGATAATTTCTTAGCCAGTGTCTAAGTGAGTTTTCAAAAGTTTGAAGATCTGCTTTGAGTACCACTAATTGTTTTTTAACGTCATGTATAGGAAACGGGTACAAAATCTGGGAATATCTGAGTCTCACCAGTTTGCTGATGGCCCGCCGCCACCACTTGGGATTCGTGATCATGAGGCGCCAATCAGATCGAACTCAGCAAGTTCCTGATAACCTGGTGATTATATCCTTGTATACCACTTCTGATACCACGATATTTTCAAGTATGTATCCTATTATTTTATTGATCTACATCGACTTCCTGTGACAATACCCATCATTATATCATGATAATACATGGAACCACCTGTAGGCAAAAGATGCGCAACTTTCGTTATATCATTGTTGGTGGGCGAAAGGGTCCGTGGAGCGGTGCGTGCTATACAGCGTAGCGTACTAGTAAGCATCGGACATGCGGTGCTGGATTCGGGGCTGTGACTGATCGTATTAAATAGCACGCAGGTGAAAGTTAGCACATCAGAATACTTTCATCGTTCTCACCATGTCAGCTACAACTATAGGTTATCAGACGGCGCAGGTGAATCCATTGCTTTCGAGCCCGTAGTACAATTTCTCATGTTTCAATGCCTTTGCACATTGATAGTATTTCACAGGTACGCACTTCACTACTAACACTCACATTGTCTGTCTGACGATGTAAATAGTTGGAGCGATGGCAGCAGTGGTGAGTGTCTGAACTGCAGTCATCCCTAATGCCCTCCTCATCTTTGAACCCAGATCTTCGACTACTGCTTGACGATTCCGCAAGAGGTTTGCGACTCTGTTTGAATCCGATGCACGCTAAGTTAGCTCGCAGGTTCAGTTGATCTGGGGAACCAAGTGGGGCGTCATTAGAGTTACGTTCACCCTCACTCGTTATGCCACCTTGATGGGTACTGCCATGACCACGTACTGTAAGTTGCAAGTCCTTGCACCATGTATCACGCCTTGATATGATATATAAGCTGCGGTGACTGACCGGTCTAAGTACAAAAGCGTTCGTGAACTCGTGATTTGAATTAGACTCTCACTGACTGTTCTTTCAGTGTGCAATTTTCGACGATGTCTCATACAGTAAGCAACGTTAGAACAGACTCGAGTTTAGCATGAACATTGAACAGTCATTAAGCTTCACATCTGATGAGCATCATCGCTGCAGAAGGTCGGCCTGATGGCGCTCTCGTCGTTTTGAACTGGTACTGGTATGCTTATCATCTACTCTGCAGGCCTGCTTATTTTTCGCACATTTGCCTTTTGGCATCGGAACAAGAAAATACTGGTGTGGCTTCTCGTTCTTGCTGCGGTGAGTGTTAGCACTCGATGGTGCACCGATCGAACCAAAATTTTCATTTGGACAGTTTACCATTCTAGGGGCTGTCGGGGTGTCAGAAATTGTGAAAATCCTCCATCTTGCTGACTCTCCAGGTACCCGCGCTTTATGATATCGAGCGAGCACTTTTGCTAACCTATTGTAGGGAACCGGGGAGGCTGCATGTTTGAAAATGGAAAGAGTAGTGCCATACAGTATGTTTTTTTGATCATCTATGAACTAGGTAATTCAAGTTGATACTATTAAATACCGGAGTATTAACCTGAGATGTCGCAGTGCTCATGATCCTTACGTTATACAAGAGATTCAACTTCTACAAAGGTGTTCGAGGTCGCCTTGTCAGTACCATTTATTGCGACGGGATGATATACATGACCTGCATCATAAGTAAGTCTTCTTGTTTATGAATTCACACAGGTCTAACGAGTCATTCAGTGGTATCCATCACAAATATTTTTGTTGTCCTGGCCTTTCCTGTGAGTTCTTAGGCATTTCGACATGACTTACTAAAATGCTTAACTGCAGCACGATTACACTGCCATCATGGATGCGTTGGTGAATTCCTTAATCCCACAGGTTTTCACGCTAACTTCTCTCAGACCACAACTCGTGATACACGGGGTGCTAGCCTCCCGTATCTTGTTCAATCTGCGGCAAAGTCATCAATCTGATTCTATGATAATCGACGGAATGTTCCCGCTCGCGAACATGCGTAGCACGCCTTTGAATGCCGGTAAAACAACAGCTGGCGGTTCTGCTTTCGTCAGTACGCACGAAGATCTTGGTGCCAAAGATTCGTACGAGTAGACTATGTTCAACTTAAGTCAGTGTAATTAGATAAAATCGCATGATGGGTCCAATGCGTTTAGCGACGAACCTCACATTTCTGATGTAGTCCTATTACTATACCCTTCTGAATCTCGCGTTCCTTCCTTCATACTGTTTTCCCTCCTTACACCGAGCCATCGAGGTATTCTTGCACTCAGATGAGCTGTACATAGTGTAGATAGCCAAATATGTAATGCCTTCGCTTTAGCGACGGTTATTAACTTATGTACTTTTGGATGACCCGTCATGGCGAAATCCTTCATCCTTCAGATTTTCTTCTGTTGGCTTCTTTCAGACTGCAACTCACTATACACAGGGTGCTAGCTTCCCGTATCTTATCCAATCTGCATGAAAGCCGCCAACCTAAGTCCGCCATCATTAGAGGAATTGTCCCTCTTGCGCACATTCATCGCAAGTCCGCTTCAGGGACAGCGACAACTGGTTACTCTACCTTCATCAGTGAAGTTCAAAGGACCAAAGACCCATGATAGCATAGTGTTACATACTCCGACTAAAGCTACAAGAAGCAATTGAATACATGCAGATCACCAACTTTCAAGCGTCCTTCGAGCACATTCCTGAGACAACACAGATCAAGATCATTTCAGAGGATAATAAAGCGACGGACTCACTCTAAGTCTGGAGAGATTGTGAACAATTGCTACATTCACAATTGTGCGTAACCTTCTCCTGAATTCAGGTTTGCTGAGGACTAGCTGGTATGGTCCAGAGCAATGACAATATCGCGACACGTTGTCCGAGCGAACTTGCTTGCACTTGCCGCAGCGCATGTCTTGTTGCGTGAAAGCTCTTTCAAGTGATCCAACTAGTCTGACCAACTCCATCTCAATCGCAATACGGTCGTATTCTCCTCCGCAACCCCCACAGATCCAGCGTGGTCTAGCACCATCAAGACCGTATGGCATGAGTTCTGGATCACGGCAGAAGTCGAAGTCACGAAGTGTATCGCAATGCCGGCAAGGAACATTAGACAGTTTGAGCGGCTCGCATGGGTTGCGAAAAAGGGCTTCATTGGCAAACTCGCGCACACCAGCAAGGTCGAGGAGGTTACGTTTGAGCAAACCAATCTCAACTTGGTAATCAGAGGCGAGGCCAAGCACGGTACAGATGATTTGATGAATTCGAGAAGCGCATTTGTCATGTTGAGATGCGAACCAGGGAGGACAGGGAACTGGAACTGAGTGTTCAGTTCTTCGTCCACGGAGGCATCTCTTTGCTTGACTTGGATAGTACCAACCAACCGAAGCAACTTGCGTGTGAGTTTTCTGGCGATAAACTCCCGTGTCGCTTCAACCTCGTTGATTTTGTTCGGGTCAGGCTGGGTAAGCTCGGGGGCCAGATTCTGAAGCACTCGGAAGGGTGCTCTTGAACCTTCGTTATGCTTCTGCCGAATCTTGAAAAGCTCAATGATGAAGAATTGGATGACGGCACCAAAATCGTCTTGGATCGCAGGCGGTAGGAAAGTCTGAATATTCCACCGAGTCTCGATGGTGAGCTCCTCTGGGGGGTCGACAGCCAGCGGGTCTTCACACACGATCCCCCCCATGTTCGCAGAGTCCATGAAGAGAAGGAAGTCGTAAAACCGCTCTGTTTTGAGGTACATATGTTCGAAGAGTTCGTGTGATGTCACTGCTGTGGTTATGTAGGTAGCATATGCGTGAGCGGTGCCTGGAGGCTTCGACGTCGCTAGCAAAATCCGGCTGAAGTCCGCGTGGATAACGTGAGATCCGAGTCGCTTGAATTCAGCCAGCATCTGGATGAACGTTTTCCTCATGAGCCCATAAACGAAGCGATAAATATTTGGGTCATGAAGATGGGAAGCACTTGTGCTGATCCAGCGCCAGAAGTGATCAATTGCTAGCGTGGCCGGGCTTTCAAAATTTCCTTTGACTTTGTCAAGTAACCATGTCTTGACCATCGACTTGAGGATACCGAAAGTGAGACTTGAGATATTTGATTCTCCAAGGGTAAGGTCGCGCTGAGCCTCGCCTCCGGAGAACTCATCCAGTGTCCGGGACACGGAATCAAATGCAGTTGCTCCGCCACTTCCTTCAAGCTCATTGACAGCGACAGAATGAAGGATAGAGTTCACTGCCAAATTGCGAACAGTGACTTCTAAACACACGTTGGAATAGCATCCAGGCGATGTAAACTCTGTGTGCTGCACGTCCTCGGTTGGTCTATTATCATCCTCGATTCCACCAAGATCTGGACGTTCCGACGGCGACCACCAAAGGACAATGTCCTGCTGAATCAGTCGCCGGGCGAAGCTGATATCCGATAACAACAGCGGCTGATCACCGTCGATGTGACCTATAGGGACATCATAATAATCCGCTAGGGCGATTGAACGATCCAGCCAGGTTCCTAGTGACAGGTACCGCTGAACCATCTTTAGGGCGACGTCAGGTTGCCAGGGGAAGACATTGAGTGTGTGGACTGCTTTCGCTTTTGACATTGAAAGAACAGGGAATTTTGAAAGTTTTGGAACCCATGTGTCAAAGTAAATTTGATCCTTGATAGAGGAAATCACGACAGTGTACGACATATTTTCCAGGAGTCCGAGTTCTCTGGAGATGGATTTGAGGGCTGTCGTATCCTTGTTGTGGTATGTGGTATTGAAGTCGCATGAGGTGGGATAGTCGAGCGAACAGTTTCCATACTTGGATTGTCGCTTTGCCGACAGATCTTTGTACAACTCTTGAAGGCGGGGGATTTGTTGTCGACGGGGGGCGGGATCAACAAGGTGAAGTTTGACGGCACCGTTGGGCATGAACATCGCAAACACGTGGACATGCGATGTACTAGAACATGCATGATACAGGAAGATGTACTTCCCCGAACGACCGCCATCCAGGTATATTCTACGAGTAAGGGAGGCGCTGGCTCGGTCGAGTTGAGACAAATCAACGCCGGTGCTTTGAGCACGGTTCAGAGTCATGCCGAGTTCGTCCACAGTACATGTCTTGCCTAGTTTGAGGAGGGCACGCATCTCTAGTGAAACCTAAGCGGCTGTGAGTATACTATCCGCTCAAAGTGCAGATGAGATGTACCTGCCGCTCAAAGACGCCATCGACGTTCGGATCATTCATAAGGTCCATGAAATGCTCTTGAATTTCCTGATAAACGTCCTCCTTGACAGAAATCCGATAGAGATTGGAACAGAGAATGTCACGAGGAAGGTGGCGGACAACCTTCTCAGAGGCATAGTACTCTGGTTGAAATAAGCTGTCACGAGGCGGTGTCTTCAGGTGTAAGTAAAATTCGCGAGGAATGCGCAGTGGCACAGGCACCAGTTGGGCATCGACAGATACCCATAGGGTGAATCGCCCGGGAATCTTGCTGGGACGGATTTGCACAATGTCCCATCGCTGTGTTGTGCGAACGCGAGTACCTTTAAATATGGAAGGCACGATAGCGTCACCAGCGTTTCCCAAGCGAGCATTTCGCTGTTTCTTCCAGCGTGGTCTGATGGCCCTGATCCACGCGGAATAGCTGATCGTAGGATCAGGAAGCGGAGCTTCGTCATCTGATACTTCTTCGTCGGGCTCAGGCGTCCGTTTACGGGACCTCCGATTGACAATAGCAATGCGCGGGCGTTCCGAGGTCTTATCTTGTCCGAAATCCTCCATATCCAATTCCGCGTCAACTATTGCACTCTGTGTCCGAGCCTGGGACTGCGAGTCCGCAGTAGCACGCGTGAAAAAGTCGGTAACTTTGTTCTGCTTGAACTTGTCAACAGCACCTGCAACACGGCGGTGCAGCCAGTCAGGGTGGCGAATACGAGGAACAGGATTAGAGACTTTCTGCATCGCGGCAGGGATGGTAATAAGCTTCTGGATGACTGATCCCAAACGCTCCACGTAGTACTCCCAGTCGAGGATGGATCTGAGGTCGAAATTACAGAGGCTGTGGTCTTTGAGCCATTTACGCAAGTAAGCGCGCTTGACACTCTCTTCTGCTGAGAATATAGCAACAGGAACTGCCCGCTCCGTGACCGGCGCTCCGCTGGGTCTCGCAGAGATGATAAACTTGCAGGCAAGACCTTTGTCCTTGACCATCTGGTCACCAAGGAACTCAGCAAGTCGTTTAGCGGTGCTGATAGAGGTCGATTTCTGTCCTCCATACTCCGCCAACGTCTTGGACATGCTACGGTTCTCGGCAATGAGTTCGACGAGCTCCTCGTCGGTCAGTGTGTCAGCTTTGCTATAAAGGATATCGAGCCACTGATTCGCAACCTGCGCAACTGCACCATAGCATTCCTCCGTCGTCGTTCCCAGAAGAAATTTCTCGAAGATCTGTGACTGGAAGATTTTGATCAACTGGAGCTCTCCCCGGCGCTTCACCTCGAACCCCTTCAGCTCCGCAAGCGACCCATCATCGTTAAAGACGGCATACCGCTTCTTCAACAGCTTATCCTCCTCCTTCGACGATGGGAGAATCATAGCTTTATACGGCCCATCTAGTTCGAAGAAAATGGAGTTTTCGCTGTGCACGACGTATTCCCCGGTGGAGGCGTTCAGGTCGTGGTACTGGTGGTTGGTGAAGCGGGCATACACAAGGTGATTAAGCATCGTACACGGGTACGAGAACCCGATGGCTTTCCCGTTGTTCAATTTGAATTTGAAGTTCTCTGGGAAGACACCAGGAAGCATACACCAAATTCCATCCGTATCAAGCTCCAGCGGGCGACCGATCTGCTCGACGAGCGCGCGCGCCATCTGGATGATCGTTGCGCCTGTGAGACAGGTAATTCCTGCCATCTCCATGGAGTGCCATCGCGCACCCTTGCGCATCACGTACCCGTAGAACGAGTTAAGGATACATTTGTGCGCAAGCTGCAGGGAGTCGTAGAGTACAATCATCTTCTTTGCCTCATCGACCTCTGCGATCGAGCGTCCTTCGCTAACCACGGTGTCCAAATTCTTCTTCCAGATTTTATGCAACCCCTTGTACTCATACCGACGGTCACGGAAACGTCGCACTGTGTCGACATAGAAGGGATTCTCCCGCTGACACACGATCGATTCCCTTGTCTCCACCTTCGTGTCCTTGATCTTCTTGTACACCTTCCGAGAGTAGTCACCCAAGCGTTTATGCAACAATGCAGTCTGCTCCGCATCCGTCAAGTCTGGGAACCGTCTCTGCGGGCCCCCAGCCCTCTTTGGGGGAAAAATCTCCTGATTCAGTGCGTGCCTAATCATGTTATACTCGTCCCTCCTCGCAGGGAAGAATTCTCCCCTCCATGCCCACTCGAGCCGTCGATCGCATGTCTTTCCGGGACGGTTGAAGTCGCACACCGCGCATACAGACTCATCAACCATCGAATCTGGCTGCAAGCGGTTTGAAAGCATGATGTTGGGGTACATCGCTGCAACATCCAAGTGGTAAATTAGTGGCTTGTCCGTGCGCTTTGGGGTATCGCGTAATGCTTCGAGGGCCGACTGTATTTGCGACTTGACCTCGTCATAGTTGGTCACATCTTCCAGGGAGGATTTGGACTCCTCGGTGATGCAGAAGGTGAGTGCAGCATCAAGGTCGTCGATGAGCTGTTAGACGTGAGTCTGGGGTGAGTTGCACTGTGACAGGAAGCTTACTTGTTGTACGGCTGCGGGCACGATCTTGAAATCCGTAAGAATATCGCTGCGGAATACGCCAGCTTCGAGTGCTTCGACGTGACCTCCGACATAGGTCTCTGATGCAAGTAGGTGGCCCTCGAACATGTTCAGATGCGCGTCCTCGTGGCGGTTTGGCATGATGATGTGCCCACGGTACGCCTCAACCTAGTTCATGTGCGAAGTCAGCTATAACTGAAAGCCACGAAGGCCTCAAACATACCATTAGGAGCGTCTCACAAAGCGTACCACTTCCTTTTCGCAAGACCTCGTCCGGACAGAGCGGAATGATGTTACATAGTGAGAAAATGAAGGGGTGTACGTATTTCATGTACAAGTAGTACGTTGCTACTGCATCGGAGACGGAGTACTGCGCAAGGACCTGTGGTTGCTCCATCGCATAGCTGCAAGGAACATGTCAGTAACGTCAGGATTGAAGCGCGATGAACGTGGAACAACAGAAAAATTGAGCAAAATCGAGAAGAATATTCAGAAGCGATATAACACATAGACAGCTTAAATAACATCATGAAGACGAAAACAACTCACGGTGTCATCAACTCTGGATCAAGTTCGATTGGGTTGTACCCAAGCTTGGCCGTTGTGACTGCTTTCAAGCCCTGGCTTCCCTGTGGTAAATACGAGTCCCGCTTCACCCACCTGAAGCAATCCATGTGCACGCATCCGCGGGACTTGAACTCATCCTCGTTATCCTTGGCGAATCCCGTCAGCAAGAACATGTCCAATCCATTTGCCTTGGAGCGTTCACAGAGGAACGGAAAATCGAAGAAGTCGCCATTGAATGTTGCCATCACCGTAGGTTTCACATCCCGGATATGGTTGAAAAAACGCATTATAGTAGCTGCCTGCGAGAGATGTGAGTCCAAAATAAGCAAACAAACGACAAAATCACCTCGTCCTTCTCGTTAAAGATTATGAATGGGCCTTCGTATCCCTCCTTCGGCGTATACTCAAAGTCATCAATATCCTCGCTTACTATCTCCCGGTTCGTTATCAAGAACCCCTGACCATCCACCATGTATGAAATCATCATCACCTGATCCACCGCCGCATCCGGGAACTTCAGCGGCGCCTTCGTGGTCTCGATATCGAAGGCCATCACTACGGGGTCCGCGCGTTTCACCCTCTCTGTCAACTGCAAAAACGAAGGCTGTCCAGCCATAAACGTGATTCCATACCACAGTCCCACTCGCATCTCGTTGTCAATGGCAACTCGCAAGTAGTACGGCACGTCAAACTCGCGGATATCCACGATGCATGACGGTGCGTCTCGGTCTCTGTAGTTTGTCGCGCCGCTTCTGCTGATCTCCGCCCACTCGCCTTCGATCTCGACGCTCGTGCTCGCTGCCGCTACAACTTCGGCATACGCGTCAATCGCGTCTCGCTTTGCGCCATTTGCAAGTGCAAGTGGGGCTACGTCCCGTCGCACGGCCAGGAGGTCACTCACATTTCGAAAGCATAACTGTAGGTACAGACGGCGATGGCCCATGAGGTGGTTGGGCAGCTTCAGGTCTTCTTTCTTCTCCCGCACGATCCGTACAATCAAGCCTTCGAATCGCTTCTGTAGCCACTCTTCAACAGAAGACTCTGATCCAGTCTGTAATGTGTGGTTAATATTATAGACATTCTTTATTCAACGCAACTGCGGAAACTCACCTTGCATGCTATGTGGAAGTAAGGCTCGTACTGCATCGTGCACTTGAACATTCCTCCGTCATCTTGAATGAAGTAAAAATCGACTGCCGCCTTTCCACCCGGGTAGTCCGCATCCTTTATTAGAGTCTAAAAAAATGTTCGTAAATGAACGAACTGGGTCCTTAAACACCAAACGCAGGACTCACGGGATGCATGTTAATTAACCAGCCCTCCCTCCTCGCGCCCTCTTGCACTCTCACAAATCCCAGCTTCTCATCAACCTCGTCGCTCTCTCGAACCCGTTCAAAACGTTCTTCAAGTTGCGTTCCATCGTCTTCCCGCTGCGGGGCAGGACCATCACCTGCTGTGTTCGACCCGCCGCGACCGCGACCTCGTCCACGACCACGAAAGTATGTGTTTCCACGAGTGCTGCCTCTGTATCCGCGGCCTCTACCACTGGACGTTAGTCCAAAAGTGCCTCGACCTCGTGCCATTAAGTTTGTGGATAGACGATGGCGAAGAAGGACTGATCACGAGCAAATTGGTGGTCCAGCACGGTCTTTGTCACGTCATGTGATGATAGAACGCGCATGTCACATTGCGTTGTTACAAATATGAGAAGTGGCGCGTGTTGTTACCGCCTAGATAGCCCATTTGGGAAGCCTCATTAGGCTTAGCGATAGCATGTCTCGTCAACTATTAATAGGCTTGGTTCCAGTAATATCCACTGGTTCCAGTAATATCCCAACACCAGCAGTAAATAATGCCCTAAATATTCTGATACCTTGTAGTATCTCTACTGTAGCCCTATAGCTAGTAGGCTGGTGTTGTATCCTGCCCTTATCCTGCCCTGTGCTTGATTCCAGCTGTTCCAGCAAATTGCCTGTTTTGTCATAGCAGTTGATCTGGTGGGTTCTCATGCCTCCTTCCTCCTACCCCACTGCACACATGCTGTCCACACTCAGCACCACACCCAGGCACCACTCCCTCCACAATGCATCCACCCAGTGCAAGTGGTCTGTGCGCCACCAGCCTGCTCAGCACTCTACTGTACATCGTGACTACCTTCTCTTTCTCCTCTTTGTGTTATGTATGACCGCGCCTCGTCGCCACATTAGGCTAAACCTTTCACCATACGTATTACATCAGCACAGTAGCCGTCGCAGATGACTGTCCCTTGATGTAGGCTTATCTCGCTCCAACGTGGCCCTTACTCTGACTCGTCTGTGACGACATACACCGACCAAGCATCCACGTCTATATACCGGTTATGTATTAGGACTCTTAATCTACAGTCTTACCTACTCCTTCGCTTAGACCTCCACTAAGTTGTCTGATAACAACATTCAAGTGGAGACACTCTTCGACTGTCTAAAGACTTACATGAAGGCCGATCAGCTTCAGGTGTTACTTATTGGTACTTTGTCGCGATCCTAGTCGAATACGTTCGCTACCACCTACACCACCAGAGTCTCACTAGGGATCACATTCACTGATTCAGCTACTCACCTCCCCAGGGTCATCACTGGGGATCACTGTAGAATGAGATTCCTCTAGGCATAGATCATGCATATTTTGACTTATGACGACTGGTATAGTGTGCAACTCACTATCTATGACTTTCCTGTGAAATGCGCCAGAGGCATGACACTTTCCCACACTACATGACGCATTCCCACGCATGCACTTAGCACACTCTTCCTGCACTCGGTTGCCCTTTGTCATGCAGTGTCCTGGAGCCTCCATCCATCATCCAACCAGTTCCCTGGTGCATCCTTTTTTGTTTATTTCTCATATCAGACCATTTCTGGTAAGGTAGGGCTACTACAAAATCAACCAATTGTGACATGGTGTGACAGCTGACGAGATGCAAGGCACTGACAGTTGCAACATTGACACATGGGTGGCGCCACTGGCCATGCAAGGAGATTAGATGTATTAGATGTAAGTAGCAAGGTGTTGAGTGTATGTACTATTTAGCTGTTAACTATATTATTCTGAAGTCTATGTGATCTGGTTGTCACCAAGTTCTTGTAAAATACTGTCTGGAAGAGTGCAGTGACCTTGATATTTCCTGTTTGCCCATGCTGCTTGCTTTCTGTTCAGACCTTTCTGATATGCATCTAGAAACCATAAGGACTGGTTTGAAAACCTATTACTGTGTGAGTTTGACTCTTTCGATTCTCGAACATCAGCAGCAATACTTACTGACACATGCACTCAATGGGAACAGAGTTCAGTGCCTTATGAACATTGGTTTCCATCTCTTCGTCCTTCTTGGTGGGTGGATATAATTGGTAAAGTCTTTTAGCATATCCCCAACACTGTTCAATGAAGTTGAGTTCACAGTGAAACTTCGGCAAGATGATTAGCTTGAAGTGCTGCATGAGGCAGTGTTCTTCCAGGAGACTTGGGAATCAGCACTCCAAAGCATGCCACAAAAAGGTAATATTAAACTCACACTCAAATTTTGGTTCTCTTTGTTTGTCTCGCATAGACCTGGCCGTTAATGTTGGCATTGAAGATTCACAATGCTCATGCAGTTCCTCTTGCTGCATGGAGCCATCTTGGTGAGGGTAATGGAACCGGATGAGGTGGAACGTAATTGCTGGTCAACAGTGGTGCAAAGTTCTTGGCAAACTTACTTTGATAAATGCCACAATCCCATCTAATGTCCATAAGTTACACTACATACACTTTTTAATGAATCGGGTCCCTGTGAACTGTACTACATAATGTGCTCCATCATTCACAGGTTTCCAATTTTCTCTCCTTCATGTTATCCTAGAGCCTTCATCAGTTTGCAATTCTGTCACACTTTCAATACATTTGTCACGTGATGTTGGTCGATTTTGTAGTAGCCCTACCTTATCATATGATATCTTATTTTGTCATGGACCCTTACATTACATCATTTACATACCTAGAGTGCTCCCTATTCAGCTTCCAAGCCCTGGGAGTGCACCTAGGCACAGTTACCTGTTGCCTAGGAAGTTTTCAAAATACACCAACCACTATCATATCAGTTAGTCTCTAGAGTGAGAATCTATCTTCAGTTAGCATGGATCAGTCATCACCCTAGCCCTCAGCAACAGTCCATTATCACCAGTCTCCATTCAGCAGTCCCAGTTCATGACATCACAACATCCACCAGTCTTTTATATGTCCATGCACAACATGTGCCTTATTCACACGCTTCATGCTCCTATGTGCTCCACATTCCCACGCATGTGCTTTCAGCACACTTCACCAGAGTTGACCTGGCATCACTTTGTGGATCTTGCTATCCTTGCTTCCCCTAAGGGTTGAACATATCACCTGGCACACTTCAACCAACACCTAGAGAGTTAGAGGCTTTTCTCTCACCCCAGAGTGAGAGCCATCTTTCTTTCTTTTGCTCTGCAGCCTAGCAGAGTTGTTGAACCTTTATCACACTATTCAGATATTAAGTTTTAAGTCACTGATACCTGGTCTCAGCTACTCACCTATGCCCACAGAGTCATCACTTGGGGATCACACTATTCAGATATCAATTTTCAACCCACCGACACCACCACCATCCTGTCAGTTTGCTGCTTTCTCAAGTGTGCAGAACATCCAAAATTTGCAGCCGTCAGCTTCAATTCAAGGAGGCAGTGGATGAAAGCTGTCAGGCTCAAGTCCAAGGTATGTCTTCACATTGTTATTGCTTGCTTCTAACTAATGCCAATCTCTCTTAGAGACTTCAAGTGGGGGACGCTATTAGGGACCAGGATATCATTGAATGGACTTTCAAGTACCCTGTAGTACAAGGACATTATTTATAGTACTTGAGAACTGTGTACACGACAATATATCATCATGTTTGTGACACACTACCTTCATTCTGATGTTAATGAGTGATGCAAGCTAATTGACAATATGAAACTAAGAACAGGCTATGACTTAATGCTAGGTAAGTATAAGGGGACCTCCCTCACTCTGACATTGAATTCAAAGCAGGTGTGAGGCCAAACACTTGATCTAAGTCAGCTAACATTGCATCATAGTCAAAGGGGGGAGTGATGAAGTCACTACTGAAAGATTGGGAAGCACTAGGTGGTCCATCTGATGGCTGCTGCATGGGAGAATTGTGAGGCTGTGGAATGGGAGGAGGTGTAGGACCAGCAGATGGGGCTGCTCTGTCGTGAGGCTCAGCTGGCTCTGTATTACTGCTGTCACTGTCCCTGATAGTCTTGATGCTCTTGCACTATTTTTGACAAGTAGTTGTAGATGTTGCTGCACTGCAGCACTTTGTCCCTCTGTCAGATCAAGTGCAGCAGCGATGATCATTATCTCACCACTCTTGAGCTTCTCTTCATGCTCCAGACAGAGTTTCTCAAATTCTGTGTTGCTCAAGGACCTCCAGCACATTGTACCTTTATCCCACCTATCGCAAAACATATTGAGGTCTGGAAGTGCACTTGATACTTGACTGAGGTTTGTAAATGGAATCTTATCAGGCAATACTTCCACAACGACCTGGTACCACTGAATGACATTGCAGAAGTAATGCACCCATTGCATCTTTGTGCCAGGGTCACCAGTACACTCTTCTATTAACAAAATTTAAATTAATTCATTGTCATAAAGGCAGAAAAAATACTTATGAAGCTTTCAGTTGATGATGTCACAGATTTCTGCACATTTATTGGAGACCCGCTTCTGGTGGTTTTTTTGCAGAACCTGAATATAATCAGAACAATATAGTAATTAGAATGAAAACACTAACCTTTCATCCCCTGGATGGCAAAGCCTTCCATTTTGTTGACTAAATCTTGATTGTTGATCCACATGACAGTATCCATGAAGTTGTCAACACCTTAAGTGGCAAACATGATACCTTGGAGGGGAACATTGGTAGATCCACGTGTAGTATATATTCTGCACCTGTATGACAATGCAGGCTCTTGAGCTAGAGGATGTGAGGCAATGTTAGAGACAAACTGAACAGAGAACATACCTCATTTTCCACTGCCTTCAAGGTTTGGGTAATATTGTTGATTTTTGACTTGGTTGTAGTGCAAAAACCTGTCTTCTTCATCTCCTTCCATGCAGTGAACTCAGTGAGCAGTTCATCTTGCTCCTCTTTTGAGAGTGCAAGGTATTCAGACTTGTGTTCATGCACAAGTGATTGAAGCACTGCTTTACCATGGCCATCTGCAAAAAAACAACACATGAGTGCAACAGAGCATGACAACATGATAATAAAAACTTACCATTCTCTTCATCTTGGTTTTTCCCCCAGCAGAATGCATTCCATAAGTTGGCCTTAGAGTGCTTTGAGTGGAGAAGTCCACAACCTATATATAAATCATTTTGAACTTGGTGGATACTTTTATGGTGTGGAGTCGCAATTGTTTTGCTAACATCATCAAGCTGCTTCCATGTATCCTCTAACACATCCTTGAACTGAAGGGATTTGGTGCATTGCTCAAGCCTAAGAGCAGCATGGGCTTCTTTACTGAGCACAACCTTTGGATGTCAACAGACAGGTGGCTGAATGTGTCTTGCAGTTGAACTGTGCTTGTTGGCAAAAAATGACTGAGCAACCATTGGCTATGAGGAAGCAGCTGAGACTAGTCAATGACCTGCAATTATTTGTCCAACTATTTAATGCACTGAGAAAAGGTATTTTTCAAGTCTGTTGACATTGGGGTTAGGCTCAAATATCACATCATTCCATACTAAGCAAGGGGGAAACATTTGAAATCTACAGTAATAATAAACCAAAAAGGTAAAGTGCACACAAGAACACTAAGATGCCAAGTATCTTGAGGATAGTGGTAAGCACTGATGGCCAGTGCTACAGATGGAAATTAATAAAAAATGTGAAGAATGAAATATGGCTGACCTTTGATTTGGCAACCTCAGGGTTGATGTCTCTTATACCTACCTGTAGGTCCATAAGGAGGGCATTAGACAGAATGGAAGCTTGTTCATAAGTTAAGTCCCACATTGGAGACCTAAACACTGCCTCCCACCAGCTGTTGCAAACCAACTCAACTAATGTTCAGAGTTTTGGCAAATTCTCATCACCCAACTTCAACCTGATCAAGTGCTGCATCTGTATGTGGCCCAATACTAATAAGTGGGAACCCAACCATTGACAGATTGCAAGCGAGTTGTCCCTGAGCCTGAGTTGATGCTGCAACAAGTGGGACAGCCTTGGTGAATACATCAGCTGGTTGGCATTGACACATCTCTGAGCGTGGCATCAATGGTGTAGTTCAGTTTGCAGATCTGGCAGCCAATTTGGTGCTACAATGAATGGCAGTAGAGTCTGAATGATGGAGAGAGGGACTACAGACTGGTGGAAAAGGCATTGGGGGCTTGTGCAGAGCATTGGATTTGAGCTCCTGTGGCAACCATAGGTGGAGGGATGTATCGTGGTCCAGTAGCACTGATATGAGCTGCAGGGACTTCAACTTGTGTTAGCAATGTGAAGAATATAATAAATCTTTATTTACTTACAGTGCCTACTGGGTTTTACCCTTTCAATGGCACAGCATGCAGCAAAACACTGCAAATGAGGAACTGCAAACTCTTGTGTGAATGCCTGTACTAAGACAGCGATATCTTCACCAATTTGCTGCTGCATTTCCTGCAACTCACGCAGTGTGATATAGACATCAATGAGAACTTGTTTGGGAGAGAGATTTGGTGGAGTTTCACTGCCAGCACATCAAATAAGAAGGGATATCCCACCATTAAGACAGTCTTGCATGGTGAGCTGAAAACATGTTGTGAGTTTTAAGAAAAGAACCAAAAAAAATGACTTACTGCATCAAAAACATCCTGGAGGCTACATCAAGCAGTTTGCTACGTTTAAGGGACCACTCCTTTGCCTTGGATGGATTGAAGCTGATGTACGATGGGTGAAGACCCACATATTGCAGTGACCTATCTCCATATTATACGAGTGAACGGATGTGCATAATATCCCGTATTATACAGGCCAGTGGACTATGGGCCAAAGGTAGGAATATCCCTGACTATGATGGATGGGCCGGGAGAGATATTATTCCTGATGGAGGTGGGTGGGCCCATGTGGGGGATATGTACAGTAGATGAGTGGGCCAATGGACATGAATATTCTATAGACAGATGGGCTGAGGTAGTTGGATATTATGTAGATGGGTGGACCAATGTAGATGTGTATCAGATAGACAGGTATGCTAAGGGTACTTGTTATCACATACATGGGTAGGCCCAGATGTATATTATATTAGATGGGTGGGCCAAGGGTGTGATATATTATATTATATTAGATGGGTGGGCTGAGGGCAACAATATATTATATTAGACAGGTGGGCCAAGGGTGGTATATAATATAGATGGGTGGGCCCAGGTGAATGATAATTGTAGACATGACAGAGCTTAGGTAGTTGTATATCATCGATATCAAAGGAGGTAATAATTCAAAGTTGGAGCATGGGAGAGTTCCAGAGGAGTACAGGAAATCCTCAGAGGAGTTCCCACTGCACAGGAAGTGGAGAGACCCCAAGGTGATATCTCTATGGGAAACAGGATGGAAGAATAGGAGGTCCAGAGGACAGGAGGACTGAATATCTGGGGGACAAGATGTCTGGAGGTACAAGGAACAGGATGTCTGGAGGTCTGGAAGGAATAGGGGCTACATTGGACAAAGTCCAATGTAGAAACAAACAGAGGTAGACTACCCTAAGGTAGAGTTGGAGAGACAGGAATTGGACCTAAGTCCAGAAAGAGGGTAATTGCCAGAAAGGCAATGCTCTGGCCTAGGGAATCAATCCCTAGGCCTGATGGATAGGACAGAACTTAGGTGAACCAAAGTCCGGGAGAAGATTGGGCAAGTCTAAGTTAATATTCAGACTGAGGACTCTACAAGAGTTGTACAGGGGTTATATACTAGAGGATATCTGAGAGGATCAGTAAGCAATGGAGTAAGGCTATGTATGAGCATGTGGAAACATATTAGTAAGTGAGATGGAACATAAGTAAATGAACTTGGAGATGAAACTAGTACAAAGGTCAATCAGCAAGACAGAAACAGAGGTAGCTGAGAACTGGAAGGGGGGATATGCCTAAATAGAGTTACACACAGGATCTCAGACAGAGGGTGGGAATAGGTCTGAAGATCTGGAAGGCAAGGCAGAAACAGGACTGAGATATGTGAGGTGGTGGATGTAGTCTGGAATCTGAGAGGAGGTAAAGTCTGGATGTCTTGCTGAATGGAATGTGCATATGGTGGACAGGATAGGGTTGTACAGATCAGGCTAGTAGTGAAGATCCGGAGGTCTGGAGCTCAGGGGTAAATCCATAGTGGGGCAAATCCTGCTGAGGTGTGGAGCACACAGTGGAAGGGGATCTGGGAATGAGTTGGATGTGGGGTCTGGAAATAGGCCTGGAAGGCATGGGAATATTATGGGATCTAGGTCCAGCATATGGATATGACAGTATGCAACATGTGAACTTTTCACTACACAAATCACCAAGTATTGAGTGCCAAGACTCAAAACCTGAAACTTGAGAACCAAAAACCAAAAACCAAATCTCAAAGAAATGCATATAACATGATTTTTTTTGATTTCATTGCACAATTCACTGAGTGTCAAGTGCTGAAACTCGAAACCCGAGGCCCAAAACCCAAGGCCTGAAACCCGAAGCCCAAACCTCAAGACTTGACACCTGAAATTTGAAAACCAAAAACCAAACACCAAATCTTGAAAGAATGTATATAACATGAAATTTTTTTATTTCATTAAACAATTCACTGAGTGTCAAGTGCTGAAGCCCAAAACCTGAGACTTGACACCCAAAACTCAAAAACCAAACACTGCAAACCAAATCTCAAGACTCAAACTGAATCTCAAAAAAATGTATATAACATGAAATTTTTTATTTCATTACAGTGTCAGGTGCTGAAGCCTGAAACCTGAAACCCGGACATATGTTTTGTAGTACCAGAGACCATTGAAACCTGAAACCTGGTGTAGAGAATGAGATTGCTCTAGGCTTAGATCACCCATATTATGACTCGCGACAATTGGTACAGTGTATGACTCACCCTCCATGACTTTCCTGCAAAACACACCAGAGGTGCGACACTTTCCCACACACATGCTTAGCACACTCTTCCCATGCTCAGTCGCCTTATGTCACACAGTGTCCCAGCACATCCATCCATTGTCCAACCAGTCCCCTAGTGAGTCCTTTCTCATTCATTCTCACTATCAGACCATATTTAGCATTATATGACACTATATTTCATCATGGACCCTTACTTTACATCATTTTACATACATAGAGCACTCCCTATTTGCTTCTGAGCCCTGGGAGCACGCCTAGGCACAGCTTACCTGTTGCTTTGGAAGTTTTCATACACCTACCACCACCACGAGATACATCAACCACCATCATGTCAGTAGTCATTGTCTAGCAGTTAGAATTTATCATCTTCAGTCAGCATGTTTCAGTCAGTCACCCTAGTCATCAGCACAGTCTGCTATCACCAGTCTCCACTCAGCAGTTCCAGTTCATGCCATCACACCATCTATCAGTCTTTACACATCCGCACACCAGCTTGCAGCGCTTCACCAGAGTTGACCTGGTGTCACCCAGTGGATCTTGCTTTCCTTGCTTCCCTTAAGGGTCGAACACATTGCTTGGCGCACTTTGACCAACACATAGAGAGTCAGTAGCCTTCCTCTTACCCCAGAGGTAGAGGCTTCTTTCTTTCTTTTGCTCTGCAGCTTAGCAGAGCTGTTGAACCTTCACCAGTACTACTGACTTCCAAGTGTTGGGACTCAGGACTCAGTAGTCAATATAGGCAAATGATGATGAAATAATGAAAGTTGTTATTATGCTTAACTTTCTTAATGAAGGTTGTTGTCCAAGTCAAGGTGAGTGTCTTGGTAGTCTTTCCTTGTCAATTGGTTATCATTTGACCAAGATATAAGCTTAAGAAATCCAAAACATTGGCAATAATGAAAAAATGAAAATCATTATTATGCTTCACTTCCTTAATGAAAGTTTTAGTCCAAGTCTATGTGAGTGTATTGGTGGTCCTACTGAGTGTTGGTACTTGAGACTTGGGAATCAGTACTTGGTACCCAGGAGTCAGTAGTCGGGTACTTGGTACTCAGTTCTGATGCTCAGTACCTGGGAATCAGTAGTCAGGTACTCCAGCCAACAGTCCCAAGTCCTGAGTACCAACACTTGGTATTCAGTGGTTAGGTTTGGAACTCAGGTTTCAAGTCTTGATAGTGAGTTCTCAGGACTTGGGACTTATATCACTGCCAAGGTGATAATGATGACTACCAAGTGTTGGGACTCAGTACTCAGGATTCAGCAGTCGAGACTTGGTAGTTGATATTGGTAAGTCACTCTCCCTCAGGGATAATGAAAACAATGAAAGTTGTGGTCCGAGTCTAGGTGAGTGTATTGGTAGTCTTTTCTTGTCCATTGGGTATCATTTGACCAAGATATACAGTGGCTCAAAAAACTGTCTGCATGTTTTGACATTTTTCACTATCTATGTCATATCCCGTATGCCAGACATAGATCCCATCATATTCCCACGCTTTCCGGACCTGTTTCCAGACCCTATATCCAACTCATTCCTGGGTCCCCTATCCTGTCCACCCTATGCACATTCTGTCCAGCAAGACATCTGGACTTTACATCCTCCTGGATTCTGGACTACATCCACCACCTCACATATCTCAGTCCTGTTTCTGCCCTGCTTTCCGGATCCCCAGATCTCCGGACCTCCGGATATTAACTGTACTATCTCCAGACCTATTCCCACCCTCCATCCGAGATCCTGCACCTATCCCCATTTAGGCATCTCCCCCTTTCTGGTTCTTGGTTATCTCTGTTTCCGTCTTGCTGATTGATCCTTGTACTAGTTTCATCTCCAAGTTCATTTACTTATGTTCTGTCTTACTTACCAATGTGTTTCTGCATGCTCATACATAGCCTTACTCCTTTGCTTACTGATCCTCTTAGATAGCCTCTAGTATATAACCCCTGTACAACTACAGTAGAGTCCTCAGTCTGAATATCATCTTAGTTCCTGTTCTCTCACCTTAGATCTGCCCAATCATCTTCTGGACTTCAGTCCATCTGAGTCTTGTCCTTTTCTGTAAGGCCTAGGGAAGGATTCCCTAGGCTGGAATTCTGGACCTTCGGATTTGCCCCCTATGTCTCTGTCCCAAGTCTAGGGATTGCTTCCCTAGGCTGGAGTCTTGCCTTTCCAGCACTTACCCTCTTTCTGGACTTAGGTCCACTTCCCATCCCTCCGACTCTACCTTAGGGTAGTCTACCTCCATTTGCTTCTACATTGGACTTCGTCCAATGTAGCCCCTATTCCTTCCATACCTCTGGACCTCCAGACATCCTGTCCTCCGGACCTCCTATCCTTCCATCCTGTTTTCCTGTAGAAGTATTACCTTGCAGCGGGAACTCTCCTGAGCATTTCCTGCATTCCTCCGGAACTCTCCCACGCTCCTCCGGACGTCTCTCCCACGCTCCTCTGGAAGTCCTCCAGACTTCGTTGGACCATCATCAGACTTCCTCTGAAATGAAGGGCACATACTTGGGTAAGGGGCACAGCGTACGAGCTAAGGCCAAGCCCCTCTGAGTCAGTCTCTCTTCCTTTGAGCATGGTTCTTAACAATCTATGATATTGTGTGAGAATACATAAAGACCTCAGTGACATGCTAATACCATATTGTAGTGCTGCTTCAGGGCTTTGGATTGAGCACCACATCGTGAGAATCAGAGGAGATATGGTGGAGATACAAGGCTTACAAAATCATGACTCATGCAGACAGTTTTTTGAGCACATATTAAAACTATATAAATCATCATTTATGACACCATAACAATCATGCCACCATTAAATAAATTATGAAGTGGTGTCATTATGTCATTTTAAAACCATATCTAACTATACAAACCAAAAATTTCCATATGTCATGGTTATATTCACCATGAAAGCCACCCCCCCTGCTCAAAGGGATAATATCCTCTCTCTTTCCTATTCTGGCCTCTCTGCTTGTCAAATTTCCTCTAGAACTGGAGTATCCAAGTCCACTGTAGCCAAGTTCATCAAAGAAAGTCACACAGACAAGGAAAACTTCTGTGAAGGGCGTCCATCCAAGCTCACCTCTACTGATAGGAGGGCTATTATTCAACATATCACTACAGGAAAGGCTGATAATGCTGTCCAGGTCACCTATTACATCAATTCCACCATACCATCACATTCCCTGTCTCTTCACAAGACCACAATAAATAGGATTGGGTCAGATGGCAAGGTATATATGTGAAACAAGAAGGGTGCTAGTCCTCTCTGCATATGTGTGATAGAGAGGAGAGCCTTTTCTTCCTTGTTACTGACCTGAGATGAGCTGTCTTGAGAATGTTTCTCACAGTGTGTGAAAGAGACAGGGAATGTGATGGTGGAATTGATGTAATAGGTGACCTGGACAGCATTATCAGCCTTTCCTGTAGTGATATGTTGAATAATAGCCCTCCTATCAGTAGAGGTGAGCTTGGATGGATGCCCTTCACAGAAGTTTTCCTTGTCTGTGTGACTTTCTTTGATGAACTTGGCTACAGTGGACTTGGATACTCCAGTTCTAGAGGAAATTTGACAAGCAGAGAGGCCAGAATAGGAAAGAGAGAGGATATTATCCCTTTGAGCAGGGGGGGTGGCTTTCATGGTGAATATAACCATGACATATGGAAATTTTTGGTTTGTATAGTTAGATATGGTTTTAAAATGACATAATGACACCACTTCATAATTTATTTAATGGTGGCATGATTGTTATGGTGTCATAAATGATGATTTATATAGTTTTAATATGTGCTCAAAAAACTGTCTGCATGAGTCATGATTTTGTAAGCCTTGTATCTCCACCATATCTCCTCTGATTCTCACGATGTGGTGCTCAATCCAAAGCCCTGAAGCAGCACTACAATATGGTATTAGCATGTCACTGAGGTCTTTATGTATTCTCACACAATATTGTAAATAGTAAAAAATGCAAAAACATGTGGACAGTTTTTTGAGCCACTGTATGAGCATGTGGAAACACATTAGTAAGTAAGACAGAACATAACTAAATGAACTTGGAGATGAAGACTCATACAAGGATCAATCAGCAAGACAGAAACAGAGATAACTGAGAACCGGAAAGGCAGAGATGCCTAAATGGGGATAGGCACAGGATCTTGGACAAAGGGTGGGAATGGTCTGGAGATAGTACAGTTAATATCCAGAGGTCTGGAGATCTGGGGATCTGGAAGGCAGGGCGGAAACAGGACTGAGATATGTGAGGTGGTGGATGTAGTCTGGAATCCAAGAGGAGGTAAAATCAGGATGTCTTGCTGGATAGAATGTGCATAGGGTGGACAGGATAGGGGTGTACAGATCAGGCTAGTAGTAAAGATCTGGAGGTCCAGAGCTCAGGGGTAATTCTGTAGCAGATCTAATCCTGCTTAGATATGGAGCACACAGCAGAAGGGGATCTGGGAATGAGTTGGATATGGGGTCCAGAAACAGGTCCAGAAAGCGTGGGAATATGATGGGATCTATGTCTGGCATACAGGATATGACAGACTCCTCTGCTGTGACAAATTCTCTTGTTTCTCTTGACCAAGGCAATTCTCCATCAGGCGGATGAATGATGCACCCTCACACTCGACAGCATTGAGCATCCTGTGATTGTTGAGCTGGATTTGATACTGGAGACCATTGCAAAAATCACAGAGGTTTTGATGTATGCCTCAAAGTGTTCTTGAAAGGTGTGTGTATCCATCCATCTGGCCATCATGGGGTAGCACTCTCTTGCATTTTGATTTCAAGCATATCCTTTGGTCAGATGATGAGTCTCGGTTCATGTAGGTAGAATATCACACTTTTTGGTAGGCATCACACAATGTTCATCATGGCACATACATAAGTTCCCAAGGTCACGTGATAAGTCACGTGACCTGTCGGGGGGCGGTTGAGCTGGGACAGCTGGTTGTTGGAGATTGATGCTGATCGTGTATTTTTTGGCAGCGCAATATTTGATATCATCTAAGATCTGGTTCATCATGATGGTTGTGCAGGTTCGAATTTATCGCGGTGATGGCCTGACTATGATCAGCTGTGTGCATGTGCATCAGGAACTTAGTCAAGACCGTTGTACTGTTGTGCCAAATGGCAGTACTACATATTTTGTATCGCGGATTCAAATTTCAGACAGTATTATGGGAACTCCAGTATTAGTAAGCCAGCGTTCAACATCCCTGTCACTGTCACGGTACTCCATCTTCAAGTTCATGCTAAGTTGTTGCGCGATGTTGTCTTGTTCTTCAACCGTTCGAACTTATTCGAACCCACCGTGTATCCACCATCGGGTGATCGGGGACACATTGTCACAGACTCACAGCAAGTCCCCGATATCCTTGCATACCAGTACTAGCATGTATTCTATTCAGAATTTCATTGATCTACATCGACTTCTGAAGTTCTCATGCGGCAGTACCGCACGTATCCATCATTATTTGATACATGGAATTGCCAAAAGATGCGTGACTTTCATCGTAAGTTTGCACAGTCTTTTCTTTGTCTGAATTTCGAAATATGCAGTGTCCACTGTCTTCAGTATATAATTGCTGGTGGGCAAAGGTTCGTGTGGAAGTCGAGAGCGGTGTGTGCTATAAAGCATAAGCGTCGGATGACTATTGAAATATGCGTTGTGGATTACAGAGCCTCAGAAATAGTTTGTGGTGATTACTCCGCCAGTCTTGCTCTCTGAAGGGGAAGGGAAAACGCTGCTGTTGGCCGTTGCTATCTACAACATGTGTGTGCAATATTTGCGCATCCGTGTGCTTCAGGACCCCGGACCTATAAGACCCCTGGCCTCTGCCTGCGCTACGCCTCACGCTATCTCATCTCCATGTAACCCCTGCACTGTGCTCCCTACTACAACGGTGCACTGTCCAACTCCCATGTTCCACGATCCGTATTCGGGAATGTGACTGACCGTATTAAATGGCATGCAGTTGAAGGTTAGCACATCACGAATGCCCTCATCTTCACCATGTCAGCTACGACTATAGGTTATCAGACGGCGCAGGTGAATTCATCGCTTTCTAGCCTGTAGTACAAATGCTCATGTTTCAATGCCTTTGCACTCGATAGTATTTCACAGGTACGCACTTCACTACTAGCACTCACATTTTCTATCTGACGATGGAGATAGTCGGAGCGATGGCAGCAGTGGTGAGCGTCTGAACTGCGATCATCCCCAATGCCCTCCTCATCCTTGAACCCAGGTCTTTGACTACTGCTTGACGATTCCACAAGAGGTGTGTGACGACGTTTGAGTCCGATGCACGCTAAATTAGCTCGCAGGTTCAGCTGATCTGGGGAAGGAAGTGGGACGTCATTAGAGTTGTATTCACCCTCACTCGTTATGTTACCTTCATGGGTACTGCCATGACCACGTACGGTAAGTCATGAGTCCTTGCATCATGTATCGTGCCTTGATGAGATCTAAGCTGCGGTAACTGACCGGTCTCATTACACAAGCGTTCGTGAACTCGTGATTTGAATTAGACTCTCACTGACTGTTCCTTCAGTGTGCGAATTTCAATGCTGTCTCATACAGTAAGCAACATTAGGACAGACTCGAGTTTAGCATGGACATTGAACGCTCGTTAAGGTTCACATCTGATAAGCATCGTCGCTGCAGAAGGTTGGCCTGATGGCGCTTTCATCAGTTTGAACCAGTACTAGTATGCTTATCATCTACTCTGCAGGCCTGCTTATTTTTCGCACATATGCCTTTTGGCATCAGAACAAGAAATTGCTGGTATTCCTTCTCGTCCTTGCTGCGGTAAGTGGCAACTTGATGGTCCACCGATCAGACCTAAACTTTCATTCGGATAGTTTTCCATTGTAGGGGCTATTGGGCTGACAGAAGTTGTGAACATACTCCATCTCGCTGACCCTATAGGTACCTGCGCTCTATGATACCGAGTGAGCACTTTGCTAACCTATTGTAGGGGACGACCAGACAGGCTGCATGTTTGGAAGTGGAAGGGGTAGTGCTGTAGAGTATGGTTTTTTGATCCTTTATGAGCTAGGTAAATCAAGCCAATGCTACTAAGTACCGGGATTGTTAACCTGAGATGTCACAGTGCTCATGATCCTTACGATATATAAGAGATTCGACTACTACAAAGGTGTTCGAAGTCGCCTCGTCACCACCCTTTATCGCGATGGGATAATATACATGACCTGCATCACAAGTACGTCCTCTTGTTTATGAACTCATACGGGTTTAACAAGAGTCATTCAGTGGCATCCTTTGCAAATATTGTTATCGCCTTGGTTATTCCTGTGAGGCTTGAGGCATTTGGATGCACAGGACTTACTAAAATGCTCAATCTGTAGGGCACATACACTAACATCCTGGATGCGTTAGTGCATTGCTTCATCTCACAGGTTCTTCTGCTGACTTCCCTCAGACCACAACTCGTGATCCACGGAGTGCTAGCTTCCCGTATCTTGTTCAATCTCCGGCAAAGCCTCGAGTCTGATTCTATGGCCATTGACGGAATGCTCTCACTAGCGGACACGCGTCGCACCCCTGGAAGCCATAGTATCGTATTTGTCAATCCAAATTCAGGGACCGTAGAAGGATAGTCTTGCATATTCGGCGAGGATCCCCAGCCCCCGCAGTTGTTTTCGCCGGTTCTACTTTCGTTAGCATGCATGCATAAAGTTTACTTTTCCAAATTATACCAAAATGATTTTGTGTTTAGTGTTACATTCTCGAAGGACGATAGAAGGATGATGTCTCTAAATGTCGTGACCAGCAGACCATGCACAAATAAGCGCATAATAATTAATCAAGTACCCGCACAACACGTATCCGTACGGTACGCTGACAACGACTGACGATCAACTTCACAGTTTCAAGTACTGCTACTTAATGAGAAGCTCGCGAGCATGATCAACCTGCGACTCGAAAAACAACGAAAAACATTTTCACAAGACCTGAATGACACTTACCACTTGGTAAAGAAGGAACAGCTGTCTTCCGAAAGTTCCTTCTATTAAAATCCGACTACAGGGGACTATTAGTATAGATAATTGCACTGCCGCGAGTCTGGAAATTGGCATCTTCTCAATGGGTCCTCATTTTATTCGAAAAATATGTACAACTGTAAGTGAAAGCTTTAGAAGATCAATTCGAACAAGCTGATTCAGGTACTCCCAGAAGCGTCTTCATCTTCAAACAGCTTAAAATCCATACCCTGCGAAAATCCATCCAGAATGAAGTCCAAAAAATTCCTCCTGTGCTTCCCCAACCACGAAAGACAACCGACGATGGCCATCTCGTCTATCCACTTTCTGAGGGTGTGGCTTAGAGTATCCCCTCCTGGCGACGGCTCATATCCTGGGAGTGATTTCCGCAGTATCATCTTCATATTCGAGAAAAGCAACTTTGAATGCTCTTCTGGCATCTTGTAAAAGAGCCGGGCCTTGGGCCTCTCGCGCGGCTGCGAAGAGTACGGTTTTGGCAGGGACTCCAGCATTGTGCGACCAAGACATTGGATCATAGAAGCCGTTAACCGGTAATAGCTCTGACTGATGAAATTGGTGGCCGGCCCAGTCATCCCGCATACTCCTCGTAATGCATATGCCATATGAAAACCAGAAGAGAAATCTGATGGTGAAGTGCGCTCATACGTAAACCGCGTGAAATCCACAACAAATACATCTGCTCGGGTGCCTTTCTTGAATAGCCTTGACAATATTTCGGGGGCCTGTGGGCTGGTACACGAGAGTGCATGCCACACTGCTGGGCTGCTTGATGCACGTGCAAGAAAGCTCACTACGGCGACTTCGTCTTGGAGCTCTTCCAAAATGCTTTCACCTCCGGACATCACCGCGCCCAGTCTACTCATGCAAGGTATCATGAATTTGAAGAGTTGAGAAGACGACTCATTGGAAATTGAAGGCAGTAAGGGAGTGAAACTGACGCCCTCTCTGACAGGCATCTCATCCTCTGAATCTTTGCAGACCTTGAAAGCCTTCTCGACTTCTCGGGTGATCTCGTCTGCGAATGAAGTCGGCTTTGCTTTCTCCATGATTCTAAAGACTAGATGTGCCCTGTCGTATGCCGTTTCGAACTGCCTGCTACCCGTGCATATTTGCATTAGAAGCACATAGAGCACTACATCAACGAGTGTAAGTGCGTCAACATCCTGGTCGAGGACAGCCACTGGTGGCTGTGATGGTGGGCGAAGAGCCGACACTTCTGTGTCAATGTTATTCGACAATTGCGTAATGAGGGGAACGAGCAGCTCGCTCGCAAGGAAATTGGCTGGCAAACTCCGGAACGCACGCGCGGTGCGGAGCATACTCCCCCTTGACAAGAAGGTCAAAGAGCCCGTCTTCGTCACGTTGACTAATAAAATGGAATTAAACTCCAATGTTTGGGGTCGCGACAGTTTTGTGATCTTGAACACAAAACTGTCATTACCCCCTTCCTGTGAGGATCTATAACGTGCAAGTGACATCGCAGATTGGAAATTGACGTGTGCGATGTATGTACCGCGTTCTCCACTGGCGTAAATTGGAGTTGGTGGTGCTGGATTCACGTTGAGCAAGGAGCTCACGAGCGCACCCGGCTTTATGTATTTTTTCGTTTCCGGACGCAGTATCACATTGCGCAGGACGAGAGCAATGCGAGGGCTGACTACGAATATGCGGTGCAGGCCGGGGCAGCCACCTCCCAGACCTTCCCACAAGCCAAATGCATTGTGCGTGATGATAAATTCTTCCCCTTCTGCGGCTTCCCAGATACTGAAGAAGTAGCTATCCGCGTGAGTGTGGTAGGTGTAAGCTGGGAAATGTTCGAGATCAGGTGGGATATGTGATTCAGTCATCATTTTTTGAAGACCTTCTTCACCGTACTTCTCTACGAGTTCTGCAGCATCTCGCATGATGTCTGAATGAGACGTGTCCAGGTAGTATCTGAGGACGTATAGCCAAAACTCGACGGCGGATTGAATACCCTTCGCTTTCATGAAGGACTCAATCCACTGACGGCTCCTTGCATTCTCCGGGTGATCGGCTTGAAAGTAGGCGTTGGAGCACGATACCTTGCGATAATGCATGACAAACAGGAACTTCCGCAGGAGCTCAAGCGACCTCCGCTTTAGGGTGAAAGTACCCTGAGGAAGCGCGTTATGCAAGTCCATGATGATGGAGGCTGCATGACGTTCGAGGTCCGCTAATTTCTCCTCTAGTTCGTTAATATTTTGGGTGTTGCGGATGTCCTGGTAGAAATTAGGTACGCCATAAACCTTTCCGATAGGACGAATGTCAAGGTTACCCGTAGCAATATCATAGTAGTGGACGTATTCAGGATCAACGCCGGTGAGCTGAAATTCTCTTTCTCGTTCTCTTTTGGACCTGCAATGAATACCACTCAGTGTTCTGGTCTAGTGTCTACACGCAGAGTGCTCGAGAGGGCTCTGAAAACACACCTCACAGGTCCCACTTGGAATCTTCGCAATATAAACCGCGGAATGAAATGTTGGTATTGTGTCATAGGTGCACATGAACTCGGAGAGCCATCGGTCTTCTGAGCTTCTTCTGTAAGCTCCGTTCTGGCTTGTTGCTTTGAGGTATTCCTGCGACGTCGTGTCATTCTGCAGAGTTCAACGAATCTAGTAGGGACTGAGGGCTGAGGGCTGAACACGCCACGTTTATGGCGCTATCGTGAAACACTTTATGTAAAGAGCGTATAGTACTACCTTATTAAGTTATGCGGTGATCGATGAAGCAACGTTCAAACCTCGTTTTGACCAGTGACCTCCGAGTATACATCTTAGTTTTGTCACAGACGAGGCTATTCAAGAATGTGAAAGATAGTCTCGATATCAGACGAAGTTTATATATGGTGCTCACGAAAGTCAGAGTTACCGCCGGTCTGGGACTAGTCTGTGGGCCGCACAGCCACGGTTCACGAAGCGGGGTTTAAACATTCGAACTTCGCTATTCAAATATATTGACTCACCGACGAGCTTTTATTTATTTCATCGTCTGCAAATCTGTACGCGTCTGCCCCACCTGCCATCTCCAATAAAATATACCTCCAGGCTGAGCAATATTGTTCCTTTCGAAAATATAATGCATGCCTACCTTTGGCCCTCGTCGCTCTTCCATCCTGTCTACCTCGTCTGTCCTCCTGCTAGTGCACTGGGGCCTCTTGCCATCTACTGCCTCATCTATCTTGTCCATATGATTCCCTCCTGTTTTGCTTATCACGAACCCCCATGCTTCCAGCAACATCCTCATTGTCACTGGCTGATGTTACATTCTTTGCAAGCTTGTCTCTGTCTGTCTGCAAGTAGGCTCATCACTGTCTTGCTTATTGTCTTGAAAGGACTGGGCGAGAAGAGTAAGAAATACAACAGGGTAAAGTATCCTTGCCCCTTACCATTTGCTATAACTCCTTGATTTCTTTGTCCCCCATTTTGTGCTGTTTCTTTTCCTTCATATTCGCCTTTTTGTGATCCCATATACAATGTATACTTGTCTTGATAGTGCCATGCTCCTTTTGAAACCATAAGAGAACTGGGTCATTCAAGTGGTAGGATCTGGCTAGAAGGCAGATCTAAGATATCCTATACACCGATGGTGCCCAGGATATCTGCCAAGAGAGCTAGCACCATGAAAGTGAGTGACTGCCTGTCCAGTTACAGACTGAAAGCTGTATATATGGTAGGTCAACTCATTTAAAGGCTATTGCCAAATAAGGCCAGGGCACCACCCTACTGTTACAGTTATGTCTGCCCCTATTCATTTTTCCTCACTTACATTGTATTACATCATGACTGCGCCATACCATCATTGACTCATCCATTTCTATACTTGTATTACATCGCGATCGCTACCACTGTCATTAGATGACTCATTGCTTATCTCTGACTCATTGTGCTTGCCCTAAAGGACTTACTTACTATATATACTTGGTCATGTACCTAGTAGATCTTTACTTTAATCTTACTAGGTTTTCACCTGAAACTTCTCTTGCTTAGGATCCCCAATCTTAAGTCGTCTGAAACCAATATTCAAGTCAAAGACACTCTCTTTGCCTTGTCTTCCGACCCTTGCATTTGCAAGGTCTTGACTATAACTTTAGCCATCACTCTTATCGAGCTGCTATTGTTACGACCATCCTAGTTCATAACAAAAGATTAAAGTCCTACTCTGACCCTCTCCATCAGAGAGGTCCCAGAAACCCAGAAAACAGAATCAGACAGAGAGAGACAAAATGTCCCCTGTAATCAGACACATCACTAGACCGGACGATCAGAATGTCAGCACCTGCCACCACCTCAGAACTTAAAGCCGGAGCCCCAACATCTTATGATGGGAGCCCCAGCAGGCTTTACAATGGTTATATGCGATTAAGGCGTACTTTGTGCTTAATGCTACGATCTACAACACCAACGAAAAGAAAGTCATTACTGCCCTCACATATATGACTGAAGATAGCGCTATGGGATGGGCCCTCACCTTCTACACTGAAGTTGATAACTCCTCCTTCTCCAAATCCTATGGAACCTTCGCAAACTTCAAAACTAAATTCAAAGAAGCCTTTGTACCAGCTGATGCTATTGGCACAGCCATGAACAAGCTCTGCACCTTGAAACAAACGAGCAATCTCACCTCCTATGTCGCTAGCTTTAAGACCCTTGCCACACAAGCCTCTGTAAAGCAAGATGCCATCTTAATCACATTTTTCAATGATGGACTGAAGAAAGGGATCGTCAATTCCATTTTCCAGATGGAAACTATTCCCACAGATTTCAACAAATATGTCACTGCAGCCATTAGGCTTGACAGCAATTGGCAGAGAGGTGCCGCATTCCGACAGAACAATCACGCTACCACCAAACCAACTGGACAGCAATATGTGCCAAGACCATCCATTGATCAGCATGATCCTAATGCTATGGAGGTAGATTGTCTTTCCAAAGCAGAAAGGAACGACCATATGAAGAAAGGGTTATGCTTCACGTGTCACCAGAAGGGACACATGACCAGGGCTTGCCCACAGAAGAGGAACAGGAAAACCCTGGTTCATTGTGAAAAAATAGAGGAAAGCGACAAAGAAGATGAAGATACAACGATCTGTCGCCTTGCCGAGGATTTTTGATGTGGAAGACTGGATCAATGTCAGTATCTTCCAATGTACCTATCAGACTTGTACAAAGTATTGGAATCAGAAAGGAACTTCGCATTCGCATTTCCCTTATCTCAAAAACCCATCTGAAAACCATCAAAACAACTGCCATTGTTGACTCCAGTGCTGCCAGAACATTCATTTCTGAAGATTTTGTCAAAACCCACAAAATCAGGACACACAAGCTAACCAAACCATTCAGAGTTACCACCGCAGATGGGAGTTATGCGAAGGGCAGTGCTATCACTTGATATTGCGTCCTCACAGTGAAAATCGATGAACGATCAATGATTGGAAAGTTCAATATCACACAACTTGGTCATCATGATCAGATTCTGCTTGGAATCCCCTGGCTATGGGCCATGGATCCAGTAATCAGATGGAAAGCAGAAATGCTTAAACTCTCTCGAACCAAGAAGAGCAGTCTGATCGAGGAAGACGTGGACAACGAATGACGAAAGAACAGTCTCCCGCTTCTCTTCCAACAAAATCATTCAGTGCAACCAGCTCCAGTTGTAGTATCACCCAGAGAGTTGTTACCATGAGCCACCATCGAAGAAATCCCTGATGAAGAGGCATCTCCTGTCCTGCCCAACCTTGACCCTATTCCTGATGATGATGATGATGATTCCTTTGACACCAAAGAAGACATATGGACTTTGGACTATGCACCACCCATATGCGAACTTGCTTCATATCACCTCAACAATGACAAGTTTTTGGTTGAATATTCTGCTGATGCTACCAAGCTTCAGGTCATCACCAACATTTCGATGGATATCCCACTAACCAGAGATGGTACTAGTGCTATGGAACAGAAACCCATGATTACACCCTTATCACAGCCTGCAGAATATGTCAAAACCAGTAACAAAGCTCAGCAATTCACGTTAGCAGCTGGACTTGAACAGAAGAAGAAGACATTTGAAGAACTAGTCCCTTCCTATCTTCATGATTTCGCCGACATCTTTGCTAAAAATGGTCTTAACCAACTACCACCTGAATGACCCAGTATTGACCATTGCATTGAAACCAAACCCGGTTTTATCCCTAAAATGTCAAAGGTATATCCATTATCAGAAATGGAGTGCACCACCATCAAAGCGTTCATCGACGAAAATGTGAAGAAAGGTTTCATTTCCAAGTCAAAGTCACCATGGGCGAGTGGTTTCTTCTTCATAGGAAAGAAAAGCGGAGACCTACGCCCTTGCCAAGATTACTGGTATATCAATGATTGGATGGTCAAGAACGCATATCCCCTCCCATTACCACTCTCATTAGTCTCTCGGTTGCACAGTGCAAAATACTTCATGAAGATGGATGTCTGTTCTGGTTACAATAACATTCGAATTCATCCTGACAATCGGTGGAAAGCTGCTTTCACTATGGAGTATGGATTGTTTGAACCAAACATCATGTTCTTCGGTCTATGCAACTCTCCTGCCACATTCCAAGCATATATGAACCAAACTTTCCAACAGGAGATTAACGAAGGATGGCTCATCATATACATGGATGATATTTTGATCTTCTCCAACAACCTCACTTCTCATCAAGAACAAACCCAGCGTGTCCTTGAAAAAATTCGCCAAGAAAAACTGTTCCTAAAACTGGAGAAATGCACGTTTGATGCACAAGAAGTGGAATATCTAGGCATGATCATTTGTCCTGGATGTGTTGCAATGGATGTCGCTAAAACCGACAGTATTCGTGACTGGCCTATCCCTACGATGGTAAAAGAAGTTCGATCATTCTTGGGATTCTGCAACTTCTATCGAAACTTCATTCCCCATTATTCTGACATTGCTAGACCCCTAATTGACCTCATGAAGAAAGATGTCAAGTTTCTATGGTCAGACCAATGCATATCAGCATTCTCCGCCCTAAAAGAATGCTTCCTGAAGCAACCTGTCCTTTGAAACCCAGATCTGAGCAGACAGTTTGCGGTAGCAACTGATGTGTCCCTTGTTGCTACCGGTGCAGTATTGCTGCAAACTGATGAAAATGGTGTTTACCACCCATGTGGGTACCTGTCACAGACATTGAACCCTGCAGAACATAACTACCAGATTTTTGATTGTGAACTCCTTGCTGTTATTCATGCTCTAACCGAATGGCGCCATTATCTGGAGGGTAACCCCCATCCCATCATCGTCTTCACCGACCATAAAAATCTGTTGTATTTTAGAACTGCCCAGAAGTTAACCTGTAGGCAGGCCCGATGGCAGTTGATTTTATCCTGCTATGATGTTGAACTCCACCATGTCACTGGAACCAAACTCGCAGCCCCTGATGCACTTTCTCGCCACCCTGATCATGGGGCTGATTCCACCGCAGATAATGCCAATGAAACCCTTCTTCCTGACTCCATGTTCATTCGCCTTCTTGACGTAGAACTCATGACCTCCCTTGCAAATCCTGACCCCTCTGACCCCGACCCCATCTTTAAAGCTGCT